TAGGACTTGCCGATCAGAAGGTCGGCGGTTCGAATCCCTGTGACGGGGTAAGCTCCCGTTGCTCGGTCCCTGCTCCTGCCAACCTAGCAGTTCAAAAGCATGTCAAAGTGCAAGTAGATAAATAGGTACCGCTCCGGCGGGAAGGTAAACGGCGTTTCCGTGCGCTGCTCTGGTTCGCCAGAAGTGGCTTAGCCATGCTGGCCACATGACCCAAAAGCTGTACGCCGGCTCCCTCGGCCAATAAAGTGAGATGAGGGCTGCAACCCCAGAGTCGGTCATGACTGGACCTAATGGTCAGGGGTCCCTTTACCTTACCTTTTAACACTAGGCCAGTGGTCCAGCTTGCTTCCTCCTAGCATGGCAAAAGGGAGGAAGGGGACAAGTGAAACTGTAACAGTGTCTCCTGCTACTGATGTATTTAAGTATTTTTTGTTGCTGTTGGCCTTTATGTTTTTCACAATGTGCTTGTATTCCTTTTCGGTATCCCCTATTGTCTGCTTGCAATCCTTTTGCCGAAGTTTGTGCTCATTTTTGTTCTTCACATTTCAACAAGATCTGCATTTTCTGAAGAAAGCTTTCTTGCCTCTAATAGCTTCCTTAACTCTGCTCATTAACAGTGTTGCTGTCCTCTTGGCCCTGGTAGGCCATTTCCTGATCTGCAATAAGCATTCTAGCTAAGTATCTATTATTTGATCCTCTTGATGTTCCCTTTCATCTTCCTTTTTACCATTCCCCTCATTTTTGAAAAGTTACTTCCTTTAGGAAGTCCAATTTGACTGCTGAACTTTTTGGTAATTGTCCCGTTACCCCTATTCCTGGAAGAGATGCATCAGGCTTCCCCAACCTTCGGCCCTCCAGATGTTTTGGACTACAGTTCCCATCATCCTTGACCACTGGTCCTGCTAGCAAGGGATCATGGGAGTTGTAGGCCAAAACATCTGGAGGGCCGCAGGTTGGGGATGCCTGAGATACATCCCAAACTACGGTAAGCAGGGGTTGTTGTTTTCTTCAGAGATCAAGAGTGGCAAAGGGAAAGGGGCTTCTTCAGGCAACAACTGAGGTTTTTTCACCACTCCTCCAGCCTGCCCTATATGCTAGTCCTTATGGTAGGCGGTTCGTTGCTGCCTGGAGCCAGTCAACCCTATCATGCATTTCATAGAATTGTAGAGTTGAAAGGGGTCACAAGGATTATCTAGTCCAACCCCCTCCAGTGCAGGACTCTTTTGCCGAACATTTTGAGTTTGAATTAGTTATCTGAGGGCCGGCCCTATCATTTGGCAGCAGGTGCTGGGGGGTAGCAGTGAGGTGGTAGAGGAGGAGAGAACTGTGTGTGCACCCCTTAAGCTCGCTTCCTCCCCTCTGATGCAGCGGAGGGCAAGATCTCCTCCTCCTCCTCCTCTGGTGTTGAAGAAAGATTCAGCTACCAGAATGGTTGGCTTCTGTTTCTGGAACAGGGTGTGGGGTTGCACCATCTTGTCCTTTGCCTCAAGCAGAAAAATGTCCTGGTCTGGCCCAGAATCGATACCAGTGAGGAGGTGCCACATCCCTTGCACTGAGGGAGTCCCATCTCAAAGCAAAGAAAAAGGGATGGGTGCTTTCTGCAAGGAGCCACAGGCAAATACCTGGATGTTGTGCCAGGTTTGACAGAGTGAATGGAGGGTGGCTGCAACTTCTGCAAAGCAGTTCTGCCTCTCAGCTTTTTCTTACTTTAATGGTGAGAGAGGGGGCCCATCTGGGCACTGGGCAGGAGGTACCCTGGGCAGGGCAAGTGTTGAGGGCGTTAGCAGAGGTTGATTTAGGGGAGTGAGTGCAACCACTTTGGTTGCAATGCATGTGGAGCCTCACAGGGGCTGCAACTATGATGTGGAATGTAAGGTGAGAGGCAGGAGGTCACCAAATTTTGGCATTGCACAGGGGGCAGCTGGAATTTGAAAGCCCACGGTCCACCACTGGTGTGGGGAGGAATGAGGGCCAGGCACCTTCTAGTTACAGCAGAGCTCACACATGGAAGGACTGGGCGAGACCAGCAGCTCCCACAGAGAGCAAGAGCTGGTAGGACAGCTAAAGCCCACAGAGAGAAGCCAGAGCCACTGAAATAGAAATGATATTTTATTCCTCTTCTCATGTGGGTTTTGGGACACAACACAAAAATGCAAGTCCTTTATCACAGCAGCACAGCAGGGTTGCCTATTTCAGATGAAGACACAACAGTGGGTTTGGCTTTCAGAGTTACAACACTTTTACGGCTGGATGGCTTTCTACCAGGTGTGTTAAATGGCTGTTACCAACTGCACACTACAGACACAACGGAGAGGCACATGGCAACAGACGACTGGTGGTGTACACACAGCAAACACTGGTGGAGGGGGCAGAGCAGGGTGGCCCACTCACTCACTGGTGTGAGCAGGAGATGAGGCCACCTGGGTGGGAGGCAGGTGGCCCCAAGCACAGCACTCGCACTGCCCTGCACAGGCATTCCCAGTGGCCTAAGTCCATCAAGGTCGGAAACCAAAAGTTGGCTGGGCCGGGCAGAGAGTGATCCTCCTGGGGCTAAACTGTGCTGACTGAGACAGGGGCCGAATCCCTTTGCAAATTCTCACTGTCCGAAACAAGGCAGAGGATAGGGATTCCCTCCTTCCAATGGCATGGAGCTGACTTGAACTGGTCATGGGGGCAGGGGCTCAACCTAGCATTGGAACAAATTTAACAGCTGAATTTGCACATGTGGCTGCGTAAAGCATTGTGGAAAGACAACCTGGTGGTGACAAATTGATGGGGCAGCGATGGGGTGGAGGAGGCTGAGCTCTGCAAAAGATAAATGCTCCTGCCTTTTGGTGCCAGGAGCAATTGCACAGCATGGCTCCAGACAAGCCTGTGTGAAGTGAGGGTGTCACCCTTCCAAGGCTTTGCAGAAGAAACCTGGAAACTCTGCAGATCTCGCCACACAGTGGCATGGCTGGAGGGGGCTGGAGGCAGAGATTTGCAGAGGCAGCACTCCCAGGTAAGCGAGGCAGTGCTGTTGCTGACATCTTCCTCTCCTAGTCACGTGTGGAGTTGGGAAATGAGAGCTCTCCCCTCACCCCTGGCACAGAACTAGCTCCCTTTTCTGCCTCCTTCTGCTTCACCAGATGACACTGGCATCTTCCCTCAGGTTGGCATCACAGTGGCATGGGCAGGGGGCTCCTCCTCATCGGCCTTGCTGAGTATTGGTTGGAGGCGAGAGAGGACACAGCATTTTTCTTATGGCAAGGGGAAGGGGACCGAGGGGGGCAGGGCTGGAAAGAGAAAGTGAGCTGCTCTTATGGCTGAACACTGCACATTATATGCATAAATATCCTGGGCCAGATTCCTGCACCCTCTTCTCTCCCCCAGCCCCACTTCATTGCTTTGGCCAGCATCTGAGGTCATGGAAAGGTACAAGGAAGAGAAGTTACCCTATGGGGATATTGCACAGGCCGAAGGAACCTCCTTTCTCACTCTCCAGGGATGGAGCATCACGTCAAAACAGCATGAGGAAAGTGAAGAGAAACAGACTCACACGACAACATCGAACTGGAGGCAACGGTCACCACGGATTAACATTACACAGGTGGACGGTATTGGCAGTAGTTGGGGGTGGGGGAGTTTTTTTAAAGAGAGAACCGATGTTCCAGGACACAGCCCAACATGGACACAGAGCTGGCAGCATCTCCCTGCAAGGACCCAGGCAGGTCCTTCGCCTCAGCCTCTCTTCACATTGTTTGCATCTGAGGTCTGCTTGTCCGTTGTCTGGTCTCTAGATCTACAGGAGAGAAAAGGGAAGGAAAGGAGGGGTGGCAGCCTGGAAATCTCAGCTTTGCTGGTGGTGGAGCACAAGGGGGAGGACACGCTGCCTTTCTAGGAAGGGGCCCAGATTGGGCATGCTGGTTGTGTCTGACTTGCGTGGTTCAAGATCAAGGGATTGCATCTGCTCGTTTATCTTAAAGACACACATTAGGAGAAGAAGCGGCAGGCAGCCGCCTGTGGCTCCCACACACCTCTGCTTGCAACAGCCTGCAAGGCCATTTCTTGGCCGGCTGCCAGGAATTTTGCATTCACAACTAGCAGTCACTCAAACAACTTGGCAGGAGGGAGGAACCCAAGTTCAAGGAAAACACCATCTGCATGTGAGTGTGTCTCTGCCTTTGACAGGGACAACATTCAACAGAGAAATCAGGCTTTGCAAAGGCAGAAATCTGCAGCCACTACCGGGGATTAGATCAGGACTCCATAAGGAGCTCAAAAGGAACATGTTCCAGCTCCTGGAACTGGGGCTTCCTCCTTGCTGTTCATCCAAGGCTCTTCCTGCCCCCCAGCTCCACCCAGCAGTCTCTGGGAAAGGGTCATGGGGGGAGGTGGGGGCTGATGCAGCTCCAGTATGGAGGGAATGCTGAAATATTTGCACCCCCATTTCATTTTTTCTCTCCTTTAACTGGCAGAGTTGGGAGACAGGGCAAGAGCCCACTGGAAAAGGAGAAGCTGTAATTAGTGTTTGTTACCTTCCAGCTCAGGAAGGTTTCAAGCCTTGACTCTAAGGATTCATCCAGACTTCCTTTTGCACAGCCCTTTCCAGGCACAGCTCCATGTCCATGTGTTTTCCTTTATTGTCCGGGCATTTTCCCCAGAGAAACTCACGTTTTACCGCTGAATCACAGCAAATGGCTATCCATAGAAAACCCTGGGGTGTCACTGGTTTTGTTTGTTTCAGTATAAATGCAATAAAAAATAAACGAACAGGGGAAGAAGCAAAAGAAACCCAACCTCAAGAGATGCTGCCCTCATGTAGACAAAACTGAGGAAAGAAGCCCTCTCCAATTCTCAAATCACTGTAACCACATTCCACAGAACAGAAATAGAGTGAAGCGGCCGTGGATGGGTCAGCCTTCTGCCCAAGCTTCAGTCCACCCCACTGGTATTGCCACCCCATGAAATGTCACACAGCACTCACTTCCTCTCTGGAAAGCTCACCTCGTAATTTCTGTTCAGTTCTCTGCTTTTTGTGCTCCTGTTGCTGCAGAAAAGAAAAGAAAAAAGACCATCTGAAAAATGTCCCTGACTCCTCCATGTACATTTTCTCCTTGTAAGGAGCACTCAAGTAAGCTGCTGTGGGGGAACACAATATCTGACCACCCACTCCTTTTGGTCTGGCACCTCCCACTGCCAGACAAAAGGGACACGAGAGTTTTTGAAGACATCCCAAACGCCAAGCAGGGAGAAACTATTTCCCATTCAACCAAGAGTTCCTAGAAAATTGGCCATGCAGTTAAAGTGGTCTGTCTGCTTCTGCAAACCAGCACTGCTGTCGCACAAAGCATCCTGGCTGCTTCCTCTTGAAGCCAAGACTTCTACGCACAAAAGAAACATTTGAGCACACAGACTGCAGGCAGAGTCAGGAATTCAGAGCGTATCTGAAGCACTCCTTCAAAAGCACCCTTGGTCAGGTGCCAGGAGGCTCTTCCCCACACAGAAGGAGGAGGGACCCTCAGGAAGCTTCTGCACAGCAAGTATGAAAAGCCCTTACCATTTGAGGCAATCAAATTCTCCCCCTGTGCCTCCTCATCTCCAGGAGCCCTGCAAAGAAAGACAGAGAGTGCAGTGAAATGGTCAAATTGCCTCTTGCCCCAGCTGGGATTAGGGGAGCAGGCAGGGGCCCGTGAATGGCTGGTGTTTCTGGCCACAGTTCTGTAAAGACTGTTCTCATGTATTTTTCCATCTTGGGAATCTATAATTACAGTACATTTACAATTTAAAGACACCTAAGAGGGACACTTCCCATCTGCCTGAATCTCAAGGCCATCAGCTGTCAAGGCAACTCCTACAGAGACACCTGAAGCTACCTTTATACAGAGTCAGGCCATTGGTTTGGATTTGGATTTTGGATTTGGATTTGATATCCCACTTTATCACTACCCTAAGGAGTCTCAAAGCAGCTAACATTCTCCTTTCCCTTCCTCCCCCACAACAAACACTCTGTGAGGTGAGTGAGGCTGAGTGACTTCAAAGAAGTGTGACTGGCCCAAGGGCACCCAGCAGCTGCATGTGGAGGAGCAGAGAATCGAACCCGGTTCACCAGATTACGAGTCCACTGCTCTTAACCACTACACCACACTGGCTCTCTGGTCTCCCAAGCATGGTGTTGGCTACACTAACTGGCAGCAGCTGTCCAAGATTTCAGGCAAGGGCTTATCTCATCTTCTAGCCCCACCTGGAAATGCTGCCTGGAAATGAACCACAGACTTTCTGCATGCAACACAGATGCTTGAACACTGAGTTATGGTTTCTTCCCCAAATATCTTAAGGGAAAGTACAAGGATGCTTTTAACTTTGCTCCCTGGGTCTAAACTGGATGTGACATGCTGGCCCATAGTTGCCCATGCAAGAAAAACAGACTTGCAGGCTGAGGTGGAAAAGGAAGATAAGTTGGTGTGTCTGGAATTTTGAACAGAGAGATCAAAACTTCTTCTTTCAGCTGCTCCTTCCAAGGCTGCTTTTATTTCAGTCAAAAAACACACACTTGGATCTAAGCTGGAGGAATCCAACTAGAAGGTTGCAGCCACTGTGGCCCTTGCTCCCTGGAATAGGATGTCATGGTATTTCAAGTTTCATAGGAGTAATGAATGGATGGGGGTGGGGAAGGGGCTGAGGAGAGAGGTGTCACCCAGATGGAACCTGAGATCCCCCATGCTGCCACATACCTTGGCTTTTGGTTGAAACTGCACCTACATCTTCTGCCTGGGAAAAGAAAGAGCATGCCATGAATGTGGAACCAGAACCACAACAAAGGGTTGCCTCTGGAAATTGGGCAGATGTCCCTCCAAAGCATCATTGGGCATAGTTCCCACCAGAGCCCTCCTCAGTGGCAGGCTATCTCCGTGCTGCTGCTGCAGCCCACTTCATCCCATGGTGGTGTGTCTAAGGAATTCTTAGGTCTCTGGAAACTGGTGAGAACATTCGGAGCTCATTAGCTGAGCAACAGCTCATCCTCTGTCTGCAGGAGCAGGAACCAAACCACTCCTCTCCCGTTCTTGCTACCCAACAGAGAAGAGGGAGAAGAAGAGAGCCACAGCTGGGATGCAAGGCTCTGAAACTGCCTCCGGAGTAGGCAGGTTTCATTTAGGCTGCAGTAGAGGAACTGAAGGTACTGCATGGGAGGAGGGGAGAGGGAAGAGGTGCCCCCCCCCCAGGTGGGGCCTCAGTGTCCTCCACATATGTCACCACACATCTTGGGCTTTGGGCCAGTGTTTTAGACTGACAGCAACTTTTCATATTCAGAGCAGCCCTGTCCCTCACAGCAAATTTAGGCGGCGCTGTTCAGGCCAAGCCATTTTGCTGCTTGAGGTGCAGTAGATTTGGCGCCCACAAACCAAATCACACAGCAGTCAAGGGTGGCCAAATGATTTTGGCACCAGAGGTAGAAAATCCCAGAGGTCTGCCTTCCCCTCCTTGAGATTACACAATATGCAGCAATAGCCCATTAATAAGCTGACGGCTTGTTGCCTTTTTATGACGCCTTTCACTCTGCCGCCTGAGGAGGCTGCCTCACTCTACCAAACGGGAGGGCCGCAGAGAAATTTGCAGACTCACTCAGTATAAGGAGGATCCCCACAGTGAAGAAGACCACAGCGAAAACCAAGCCACCGATCCGAAGGGTCTGGTAGTCTGGAGGGAGAGAGAAAAGGAAGATGCCACCCACTGCTGTGTTTGCAAACAGGCCGCAATGCCCAGAAACACACAGCACAGGAAAGGGTGCTTAAAGATGCTCACCATAGTTAAAGGGGTCTTTTTCCTTCTCTTGATCAGTCACTGGAAATAAAAAACAGAAGAGCCCCGTGAATATGAATCCCTCCACAGCAAAATACATGAGAATCCATTTCCCCTAATATGTGTGTGTGCATGTTTCTGGGCAGAGAAACTGGGGCATTTGCTACCTGGGGCTTAGGGAGTAGCCAATGGAGCGGGAGAGATATCAAGAGGATTTATTTCTGTAAGTGAATGCTTTGCAGGTGTTTTAGCTTTGAAAGCCTGATTACATACCCACGAAAATTAATTCAATAGTACAAATACCCAAGTCACCCGAGGAGATAATGCTTCACCTCAACGCTTTCATCACACAGAGAAACAATGGCAGAATGAACCTGTGTGTGCTCCTAAAGGCTCAAGAAGCAAAGACCTCTCCCGAGTGCCTTGCTCTGTTCTCATCAGGTGGCTCCTGCCTCTCCAGGGATGGCACTGGCAGCAACCTCAGGCAGAGAGCAGTGGGTTGGGGCAGCTGTTTTCATGAGACCCGTTCTCCCCACCCACCCAAGACTGCTACCTACCATCCACCAGCATCACTGGAACCAGCAGAGAGCAGAGAAAGATCAGCCCCGTTTCCATGGCTGCTGAGGAGGAAGAGAGAAAGCAGAAAGGGGGAGCAGGCGGTCAGACCAAAGAAGGGCCAATGGGAGATGTGTGGCAACAGGACAGTTAGCACTGCAGCAAGTCAGCCCACCCTCCAACCTGTGGGATGTAATCCTTTGGAGCAGTCAAGTACAACATTTCCTGTTTGCCTAGAGTGAACATGCATTGGGAATGTTGGTCCAGCCTGTTGAACTTCCTGTTACACCTGGCTGGAGCATCCTTCCTTTTGCATGTGACTAGTAGGTGGGCGTGACCTTTCCATTGGGTACCATGGGGGAATGGGTGCCATTGCAGCCACCCCTCCAGGACGCACAACCCCGGGATGTGTGCCACGCCCCCGCAGGCAACACACCACGCCCCCAGGACATACGCCAGCCACACCCCTTCCTGTTCTCTGCTCCGGGGGCTGCAGCATGTTGCTCCACCACTGGACCTTTCCAGACCTAGTAAAAGACCAAGTCATGTAGCCACCTCCTTTCTTTTTCATCCTGCGTACTTCCTGATTCACCTGGCCTGTACTGCTGACTGTCAGCCAGCAGTCCCTAGGTTATCTCCCATATGGGGTAAACCTGTTTGTACATATTTGTAACTTTAAGCCTAAAGCCTGCCTTCAGGGATCACCCTGTGCTCTGCCTGATCATGAGTAAAACTTCTTTTTGTTACTTATGAATAAGACTGTTGTGTCTTTATTCTTTTAGGAGGGATTCAAGGGATCTTACCAGGAACATATCCAATCTGGGCAAGCCAGATTGAATTGCTTTCTGTCTTAAGAGACTCACATGAGTCTGCAACCAGCTTCTTGCTGTGTAAAGGGGGGAATGCACTCTGCTATATAAAGAAACTTGCTAGCGCGAGTTAGGAAGGATTATATTAATCAATGTATCCTCTCCTGTTATCCACAACATTCCCACACAACCCTGTTGCAACTCATTGGGCCCATTTTGTGTTGGACAAGGAATCCTGTGACATCCCCCACAGTGGGAAGATCTCTACCAAATTCCCTTGGCAGTTGCCTCCCATCTTTTCCAGAGCAGCTGCCCACTCACTGCCCAAGAGCAGCACATGTCACCCTCCAAGTGGGCTTGAAGGTCAGTGGCTCAAAGCCCTTTAAAGCTAAACTCTTAAAATATCACTTAAAATATACAGAGTAGCAGAACAACAGCACAAAAAGTGAGCTTTTAAAGCCTGTTTAAAACCAACAAGCAAATAGGCTTGCCTTGTCACAGGCTGACAATCCATAATTTGGTGCGGGAGGCATTGCCAAAAGGGCTCCATTCTGTGTGTCTGCCAATCTAATTGTGTTCATAGGTGAGCATCTCAACAGGTCGTCCAAAACAGATCTTAAAAGTACAGGCTGCATTGCATTGGTGGGAGCAGTCCCCAAAACCATCTGAACCCAAACATTTAGGGCTCTAAATGTCTTGAAATGGGCCAGGAATGTGGGGAAATGTGCAGCCAAGACCACAACTGTGTAATTGCTAGAGAGTCACAAACAGGGGGGTATGATGTCACATAACCCCTTTGTGGTGGGAGGGGAACAATAGAAAACTTAATATTCTTCTTCCTCTCACTGCACACAATCTTCTTCTTACCTACAATGGGATAGGTTGCCAGCAAGCTCTCTCCAAAGAACACACACCATTTTTGAGCTGAACAATGGGCTCTTGTAACTTTTAATTATTATTAATTGCCTGCCTGATTTTCATCACTGTATCTATCTGGCACGTCTTTTGGCTTGAGTAAACTTTATATTTTCTTCTTTGCCTAAAACAGGCCTGAAAGCGATTTCTTTGTGAAGAGGGAACTCAGATGGGAGATGGTCCAAATCTGCCAAAGCACCCCAGGGATAACATAACAATTCTTTTTAGAAGGTTGCACAACCTTGCCTCCGAAGCTTCTAAAGATAAGCTGCACATGGATGGTGATTTTTTACTTGCATTCTTGCAGAAGTGAAAAGCAGGATGATAAATAAGCAATTAAATATCCTCTCCTATCCTCTAAAATCCACCCAACAGGAAACATACTGGTGGCCTGATAACTGGTGCAATATAGGCATCATATGTCCCATATGTCCCACCCAAACTGCATCCTGTACCAGTTTTGGTTTCTGAACCATATTCAAAGACAGCCTCAGATAAAGTGTATTGCAATAGTCTAGGCTGGAAGTCACTAATGCATGAATAAAGGTGACAAAGCCCAACAGTTCTAGATAGGGTCACAGCTGGTGCACCAATGGGAAGGGAGATTTACCTATGAGGTTCTGGATCAATTTCTCCCTCATCTGTAACCCAGGCTCAACTCTGTGCAACAAAATTTAACCCTGGTGCTGATCCTGGGAAGTTGTCCTGAATATGGGATTGCCCTTTATTGTATGGAGGATAGATGCTGTCCCTGTCTGTAAACGGAGCCCCATTTGCTGCCTTGGTAACTTATGGCTAAGGTTAACAGAAGCACCAGAGCCATCAGTCAATGGAGTCTTTCTTCACAGGTCAGAAAGCACCCAGCAAACTCATACCTTGTAGTGCTGGCACTCAAAGGGTGTATAGTTCTCTCAAGTGCCCTTCAGGTTGCCAAATCTTGTGTTCCATCCTGCAGATTAAGGTAAAGGTAAAGGGACCCCTGACCATTAGGTCCAGTCACGGACGACTCTGGGGTTGCAGCGCTCATCTCACTTTATTGGCCGAGGGAGCCGGCGTACAACTTCCGGGTCATGTGGCCAGCATGACTAAGCCGCTTCTGGCAAACCAGAGCAGCACACAGAAACGCCGTTTACCTTCCCGCTGGAGCAGTACCTATTTATCTACTTGCACTTTGATGTGCTTTCGAACTGCTAGGTTGGCAGCAGCAGGGACCGAGCAACGGGAGCTCACCCTATCGCGGGGATTCGAACCTCTGACCTTCTGATCGGCAGGTCCTAGGCTCTGTGGTTTAACCCACAGCGCCACCCGCGTCCCCATCCTGCAGATTACTCAGGGCCAAACTACTTTTAACGTGTCTGTGGGGTTGTTGTTGTTGTTTTAAAAAATAATACAGTTGTACCTTGGATCCCAAACACCTTGATACAGTACTCGGACATTTTGGCTCCTGAATAATGCAAACCCAGAAGTGAGAGTTCCAGTTTGCAAACATTCTTTGGAACCCGAATGTCCAATGGGGCTTCCACAATCAATCAGAAGTCGCACTTTGGTTTTCGAATGTTTTGGAAGTCGAATGGACTTCCAGAAAAGATTCCATTCAACTCCCAAAGTATGACTGTAGTTCTTTTATCACCAGGGATAAGGAGGGCTACAGTCGGGACCAGGACTTCAACCCCTTTCCCTCTCTGTCATGGTGTTGGCAAAAAATACCAAAAGCACCATCTGCTGTTTTTGCTGGGAGGAAAGCTGTGAAAGAATCTCTGGTCTACCCCCAAATGTCACCACAAAAATATAATGCAGCTGGAACACATTGCCCAGCCGCAACATTAACACACACACACACACACACACACACACACACACACACATCAGCATTTCATGCCAGGTCTGCAGCTGAGAGGCAGTGTGCCTCTGAGCGTACACAGCATTCCCTTCTTGCCACCTTGAATGTAGAATCCACCTTGGTAATTAAGCTGCATGGATATATATAAATAAATAAGAATGATAATCACAATGCACCGTGAGCCCGTGTGACGTTTCTCTTCGGCAATGTGGTGCTTCCTTTGCTGGGCAGGTAAGGAGTCCATAGAGGACTTCATTTCATGACCTGCAGCACACATCCTGCCTAGCTTACCAATACTCCACCCCAGAGCAGAAAGGGCTACAGGCAAAGAAGAAGCAGGCCCCCACCTATGAACCTCTTCCTGGGCGCTGGACAGAGCCACTGAGCTTAGCCTCAAAAGCCATGGATGTAGCATCCAAGGCCCAACCAGCAACCTCCCTCCCTCCACAGCTACAGAACTGGCACTGGGATGCCTGGGGCGTAGAGGGTCCTTCTGCCTGACCACTGACTCTGCTGCCCCGTCCCAAGCCTTCCCCAAGCCTCCTCTTGCATTGAGAGTCACAGTCAGGGCCACAGAGGAGCAAACCAGTTGCCCTCAGGGATACATGTAACAAGCACATGAAAGATAGCCCCTGAAAGGATTTGATGCATTTGTCACCAGAGGATGTGGCAGTGGTGGCTGTTGCTTTGGGACATGCTAGACAAGACAGCTAGGTTCACCTGTGATCAGACCTCTCAACAACCACCGAGAATATTAATGCAGACAATATCATATTACAAGAAGTTGTGCAATAGAATGGCAATCATGTAAGAAATCTTATTGGATGCTCGGTACACATTGAATACTGTTGTGTAATAATGAAATATTGGGAAGGCTGTCTTAGAAGTAATATAGAACTGAAAATGATTAAAATTAGGTGGGGAAAAATATGAATTTATTAATGCAGTATTGTTTTAACTAAGTGGTTCCCTATAGGTTTATTGTTGTAAAGACCCTCTAGAACACGGGTAGGCAAACTAAGGCCTGGGGGCCGGATCCGGCTCAATTGCCTTCTAAATCCTGCCCACGGACGGTCCAGGAATCAGTGTGTTTTTACATGAGTAGAATGTGTCCTTTTATTTAAAATGCATTTCTGGGTTATTTGTGGGGCCTGCCTGGTGTTTTTACATGAGTAGAATGTGTGCTTTTATTTAAAATGCATCTCTGGGTTATTTGTGGGCCTGCCTGGTGTTTTTACATGAGTAGAATGTGTGCTTTTATTTAAAATGCATCTCTGGGTTATTTGTGGGGCATAGGAATTCGTTCATTTTTTTTTCCTTCCAAAATATAGTCCGCCCCCCACAAGGTCTGAGGGAAAGTGGACTGGCTCTCTGCAGAAAAAGTTTGCCGACCCCTGCTCTAGAATGACTTTACTGTTTTGTTTGCTGTTGTTGTGATCCGTTTCATCAACGTGAAACATAGAACGATAACAATTTATGGAAGATTGTAAAGATAAAATACAAATCGTGTTTAAATTGTATAAAATGATTCAGGGCAGCCCTTTCCAGGTATGGGGTGTGTGTTTTTCCACACCCAGGCACAGCATCTCAGCAAGTGACCACTGGAAGCTGTAAAATGGGTGGGAAGGAGGCAGAGAGAGCTGTGGATACACCTCCTAGCAAAGCCTAACACTTCAGCAGGGGCTGCCAGCTGGATGCCACCTGTCCAAATGCTGCAACGCCAGATTTGGGTCTGCCTGCTGTACCTTGAAGGGCAGCCACTGAACTGGGCAAGTGGCTGGAATCTGTTCCCTTTGTAAACATGTCCCTGAGCCAGAGCTTGCCACCAGCTGCATTGCATGGCAGCCTGCGCCGGGGATGGTAATAACACAGGTGTCCTTGCCAGTGCTGGTGAGCGGGGTTTCATTCTGCACAGCAAGAGGAGCCCCAAGGACCGCCTCTCTGCAATATGGGCATGTTCTTTTGGGAGTCTGCTTTCTGCTGCTGCACCTGGAGAGACCTTCCCTCAGCATGGGGAGCAGAGAGCTGTTCTTGGCTTCAAGGCTGAGCAGAGCCCAGTCTAGAAGGCTCCACACCAGAGTCTGGTTCTCATGCTCCACTCAGCCCTTTCTGCGGCAAGACAAGAACTTCTCCATCATCCCTGATCCCCGAGATAAGTCAAGTGTGCCAAGGGAATCCTGTGCAATAAGTCACCCATGAAAAGGATCAGGGATTTTTTTTAAAGCATCCAACTTTCCTGTGGAAGTCCCTTGGGTAACCTCATAAATGGCAAGAGCCAAGATCAAGCCACAATGAGAACTACCCAGTGAGTCAAGTGTGCTCTGTTCCTACTGCTATTATTCTGCTGTCTAAATTGTCCATCCAGTAGTCTCTGCCTTGAGGACAGCAGTCACTCTGGGGACTAATGCATCATTTAGCAGATCTATCATGCAACAAGCCGTTTTCTTTTGTGATTTCTCCCTCCTCCTAATGGCCAGACATAAAGCGGCCTTTGAGCAAGATCAGAGAGTGAGATAGATACTCTGCCTGTTCAGTGTTGCCTGCTCAGCTGCAGTCCTCAGCATGAACTGGGCCTCTCCTCTTCTTAAAAATTAACCATGAAATCCACGAGTCCTCTCCTAGGATTCCTCTCCAGGATGGAGATGGAGGGGGACTGTGGGATCCTGACCAGTAGATGGAGACAGTATAGAACCCTCATGACTAGAAGTCACTGATAGCCTTCCTCTGACCAAGAGGACCCCATGGCAAAGCTCGTCATTGAGGAAATCTTCCCCTCAAGTAATGATCAGCCAGGCAAAACCAAGCTTCTTGCTGGTGTGTCTCAGAAAGTTCCCCATGCCAAGGGACTTGCTTCCAGCTTCCTCCACCCAGCGTGCTACAGAAAGGGCAGCCTTCCACATAAGCCATTTCCTCTCCCACATGCAAGGACCCTCCTGCAGTAGAGAAGAGGGTTGGGGTGGGGCACCAGCCACGGCTTTGTTGTGCCAGCCACAGATGTCAAGGAAAGGACTGCCAGCCTCCACATGCCACCCCAGCCCCATGGCAGGATCTGGCACACAGCAAGCAAAGACAACAGTATGGCTGCTGCCGCTGCCGCCTCCTCCTGCAGCTGATGCATGTAATCCAGCTGGAGAAATATTTGGGATGCTTTTGTTTTGCTGACCAATAGCTCCATCATTCATGCGAAGAAAGAGATTAATGGAATACAAAACTTAACACAGGCTTTTCACATTTAGGGAATTTACATATGCAAATATATCCATGCACGCTTTAGTACCCGAGCATGGATTTCATGTGCTAATCAGGCAGCTGCTTGCTCAACCACAAAGCAAAAACTCAGCGAAAGTTTGCAAAAATGCACCAAAGCAGTAAAGCAAAGACCTTTGATAAGCATCTACTGGTGAGCAGCACTGGAAGCTGCACTGCTGGGTTACTCACACCAAGAGAGAGGAGGCCAAGGTGGGTGGGGAACTGAAGAACACACAGGGCCAGCCCAAAACAAGATGACGTCTTTCCCTGGTCAAGAAGCCATCTGGACTGGTAATTAGTGAAGGGGTGTCGTCCTCCACTGCTCCTCACCCTCACAAAAGGCTGAAAAAGGGAGGCCAGGTAGGCCATGTGGCAACAGACCAGAATGGTGGTGGTGATGGGGAGATGAAAGGGGAACAGCTGGGGGCCACCCTCCAAAATCCCCAACTGAGGAAGTCCCTTCAGTCTGCCTTATGGCATTGCACAAGGTCTGAGGTTGCCCACCCCCACACTTGACCATGCATGACTGCTACACACCAATACTGCACATACACAAGTGCACACACCTGAGTCCAAGGTGAGCACCTGCTCCCATTCAGGGACCTCAGCATAAAGGTGAGTGTAAATAGCAGCCTCAGTCCTTTTGAGAGTGCAGGGCAGCTCAGTCAGAACACCATGGACTCCATCCTTTGAAAATGGGCTCTTCATTCTGTTTACTCGGCTATAATCATATATTTCAGCCACACACAAAATCCGCCCACCAGGCTAGAGGGCAACATACCTAGCGTTGGATTTTAATCGGAAGGGAGGGATTTTATCAGATAAATGAGGACATTCATCTCATCTCATTCTTCTTTAAAACGTGCATCAGAAAATGGACTTTTAGGACTGCATAAACATTCACCTTTCCCTTTTGCTTTTAAGTTATCCCCGGTGCACAGCTGAGGCAGCAAAGCCAATCCTGCACCTCAGTCTGTAGCTTTTCATGATGGTTTTGGCAAGTTCTGCTGCCTAGTCACACAGATACACTCCCCGCCCCCACTCTCAGTTTGCCTGCCTGCCTCCCCTCCTCCCTCCTAAACCAATCTGGACCACCCAACTTCAGGATTTGTTGTTGACTCATTGGCTGTAGGCGTCACTTTTCCTTCCTATCTGATTTTTCAGGGTGTAGAAGAAGGCAAGGCAAAAATGGAGGCCAGCTCTCTGTTCACAGATGATGTGAACCCTGGTTAAAAAGAAGCATCCAGGTGGCAAGGGGCCAGCTTTCCCCAAATACAAACTCCAACACCCATCCCCAAGGAACAGACAGACTCTTGGCAGTTCATCAGTCACAGATCTCCCCCAAACCAACCCCTTTAGAGAAGAGTTTCTCTGCCTCAAGCACATTGCACCCTTTTCTTCATCCGCCCCTTAAAACAGGCAGAGCCCAAACCCTGCATTTTCTGCACCCTAAGAAGAGTGGAAATTCATCTCTGCAGCTCAGCAAAGGAGAGAATGTCAATGTTGCCCATCGTCTTCCCGAAGCCACCCAGCCCCTGCTAACATCACAGCTTCCTGTTCTTGTTAAGGGGCCTGGAGGCATCTACCAAAGATCAAACCTGGTTAAAATCATGGTACTGCCCTTGAGTCTTGCCTGCACAGCTCAGCTGCCTCAAGGGGGAAAGGGGGGTGCATGTGTGAACACAGGCAGGGATGTCACTTTGCTTCAACATCAATCAGGCTTCTAGTGTGAGGGAGGTTTTTTCAGTCTTCTGCTCCAGAGATTCTGAACCCGGCCTGCACTGTGCCTGACAAGTGCTTCCCGCCACATGAATGCGTTCCTGGCAGGTGGAGTGAGAAAGAGAGAGAAAGAGACCCCTTGGCTTGTGGTCAAGCCTGGCTGCAGGAGCAGTGGGGTGGGGGAAAGCACGACACCCCAACCACCAGTGCAAATGCCATAAAGAAAAGGAGCAGCAGTGGTTTGCAATAAGGTGTGGGTGGTGCTGTGGTCTAAACCACTGAGCCTCTTGGGCTTGCTGATTGGAAGGTTGGTGGTTCGAATCCCTGCAGCGGAGTGAGCTCCTGTTGCTCTGTCCCAGCTCCTGCCAACCTGGCAATTCGAAAGCACGCCAATGCAAGTAGATAAAGAGGTACCACTGTGGCAGGAAGGTAAACTGCATTTCCGTGCACTCTGATTTCCGTCACCGTGTTCCATTGCACCAGAAGCGGTTTAGTCATGCTGGCCACATGACCTGGAAAGCTGTCTGTGGACAAACGCCGGTTCCCTCAGCCTGAAAGCGAGATGAGCGCCACAACCCCATAGTCGCCTTTCACTGGACTTAACCGTCCAGGGGTCCTTTACCTTTTTTACCTTTTTTTAGTGCCACAAGGAAGAAATAAGAACAAAACACCTTGGATGATAATTCAGAGTGGAAAAGTCACAGGCACCACCAGAAACATCAGTGCTGGTTTATTGTCTGTTCTGCACAGAAGGATTGGCTCTAAAATATTGGATGCTGGCTTTTAGGGAGCATTTTGCCATCCCAGTTTTGACTTGACAGGCTTGAAGGCTGTAGAAAGCCCCCTGTTCCCACCTGTCAAGACCCTCAGGCTCCTCCTCCCAGGATCAGCCTGTCCATGAGACAGACTGAGGCTGCTGCCTCAGGTGGTAGAATCCAAGGGGCACCTCCGTGGGAGCAACCTCCCACCATCTCTGGAGAAGCGAAGAGTAGCAGCTGTGGTAGCTTCAAGAGTCCCGCAAAATCAGGAGGCACCATCTCATTTTGCCTCAGGTGGTGAGATGGGACAGGCCACCCACGCCTCCTTCCCTCCCACTAGCCTAAGGGATCATGTCCTAACCTATCCTGGAACAATTGCCAGGTCCATTTGGAGATGCTTCTCCTGGTCATGGAGGGGGTTCAGCTCATCAGACTGAAGTGGACATCGCAAGACAGAATGTGGCAGGCCCCCAAAAGCATAGCTTGGCCCATTACCCACCACTAAGTATCTTAGATGTGACTTTTGCAAGGCTTAGCTGCCTTTGTGGGGAAAACAACCTCGGAAGAAAGCACACAGGAGTATTCTTAAACGGGTGGCCCTTCATCGGAGGGTGGGTGGAGCCCTGGGTCTTTTGCACCATTCCACAGATCTCCTACCCCATCCTCACCCTACTTTTTAAAAAATGTATTTTTATTAAATATTTTCTTGATTTACAAAAGTATGTGCAATGTCTCTCTCTCGGTCCCCCCCCCCATGTAACATTTTTTACAAATCAGTTTCATTTGTTGAGACATTAGGAAGAAAAGGGGGAAAGAGGTGGGGGGGAGGATGGGGGGGTCGGGTAACGATGTTTCTATTTTACTTAATATATGTGAGGTTTTGTGTCAGCGTTGCTTGTGTAGGTTCTTTACTGTTCACTTGTATTCCTTTGGCAGTGAGAGAGGTTGGGGTTGGCCTAGGGTGTGGTTGTTCATTTGTGGTTGGCTGTGGTGGTCTTTGTTTTCATGTGTGAGTGGGGTGGGTGAGTGTTTTGGATCAGGTTAGCCATATTGATTTATATGCTGTTGGTGGATTTTTGTCATTGTCTGGTTGGGCTGTGTGTGTGATAAAGGGGAGCCATGCCGGGCTCACCCCACTTTTTAAGCTTTAAAAATCATTTGACCTTGCTTACATTGGGTGCTCTCTGAAAGCTGACCTAATTTACATGTAGACATGCAAATTAGCATATGCAGATTTCATGCAGATTTTAATCACAGGCTTGTGCCTCAAGTCTTTTAAGGGCCTAGCAACAGCCCTGGAGCCTAGAAGATTCTCTTGCTTGCTTGAGCAGAGAGGACGTTCCTTAATATTATGGTTTTTTCCTCCGCCTGATTATCTAAATATGTGAGTCTGCCTTTGTAAACAAAAGCTCCAGCTAGCACAAAATGTTGCTGCTTGCCTGTTGACAGGCTTGAGTCAGTGTAGTTGTCTCTCCCTCTCATGCAAAGCTCAGCTACTGAGCACCAACAGGACCATAGCCAAAGGGTGTAAACCCCAAATGATTACAGAGGTACAAAAAAATCTTTAGGAAAAACGACCAAAGGAGCAACCCGCCTCCACAACAACAAATAGTGAGGACTGAACATGGTCAGTGGTGGACAAAGAATGTCTCTTGGGGCCAAGGCAGGGGGTGGGGGAGTGGAATGGAGCTCCTTGAAAGGGGGGTGGCTGGCTGGCTGACACACTGAACTGAAACACTTCACAATTCATGGGAGGTCCCAGTTGAACCACCTCTTTTATTTTAAAGCAGCTGCACCAGCTATTCATTCGTTTCTGGGCTCAGTTCCAGGGGCTGTTTTTGACACTTGAGACATTAACAGCCTTGGATGAGGATCCAGATATCAGGGAGAACATCACTAGCTGCCTCCTACCACACAAACTTCCCCAGAATGACGACTGCATTCCTGAACTTATAAGGAGCAAGCCCTGTTAAACACAGGGGGACTTGCTTCCGAGTAATCGGATTGCATGGTAAGTCCTACAGACAAAAAACGATGCTTCCGATTTCACTATGCACAGAAGCCACATTTGCCTCTGCAAGCAGCAGGGCCTTTTTAGTTAAAGCCCCAACATTGTGGAACACCCTCCTGCAGGAAGTGCTTGTGAGCCCCTGTCATCTCTCCATAGGTTTGTTAAGACGTCTTCAAAAGGCCTTGATTTGGCTTCTCTGTTGTAATTTTTGTAGCAGACAGAGGTGCCGAGGCAGCAAAAAGATATGGGCAGGGGAAACGTCTTAACACTTACAGTTCCCCCATCCCATCAGTGCCACCCGGTTTGTGATTAACTGTGGTTGGTGGTGAGGGTGAAGTTTGGAGTCATTGTAAGACCACTCACCATTTCAGGCAGTGGGTGACATTTTTCACTTTGGGGGACAGGAGCAGAGAAGCATCTCTATTTTGTTATTGTTTTGATGCATCTATGATTGTGGGAGATTCTGGTCCCCAGGTTTGAGATTGGGGGAACGGACATAAGAAAGCATACCATATTCTCTTAGAATTCCTGAAAGCAGAAGCCATGGGTTCTGTTTTCAGTCAAGCATATGAAATTCAAAAGACCTTCTGTTCAAGGTAAGGAAAGCACCAGGGGAAAGAAGCAAACATCTCAGCCTCTGAAGGTCAAGCGTTATGAACACTGCAAGATGAATAATGTTCAACTTACGTTACTGTGGACCAGAAGCTCCCAAATCATTGCAAGTTCTGGGATCTGGTCCCTAGCTCCAGGAGATGCTATCCTGTAGATTAAGATAATCCTCACCAGGATAATTGTCTGAGCTCAGTTAGGAGATCCATTTGATACCCATTAGCTTCTTGATTGCTGCAATTTTCTCATTTCTCAAAATATATGTTTATAACTTTGCCTACCAACCAAACCCACTCTCAGCCCAATAAATTCTAGCCTTTACTTCTAGGCAGTTCTGGATATTTGAGTCTATAAATAAATTGTCTTCCTTGATGTATTCATCTTCACTCAAAAATCAATGTTCAAAATAAAAGACAGGTTTTATGCATTTAACATCTAATTGCCATCTAATTAGATCATGGCACAAATTGGAGCCAAACAAGACAGTATATGCAGATGTACATTGACATTATTCTGATAATTTACAGAGGGTTTGCTGTTGCAGCAAGAACATTAAAGGGCTTGTCTGCACCACAATTTACTGTGTGTTTGAATTCCCATTTAATTTGTGTAGTCGACATGATGTTACCCTCAAACCACACCAACCTTGATGTTTTCCTGCTGTAAATTCAAGTTTACCCAATATGAGGATAATCAGATAAATTGGAGAAAATCATGCTCCAAACTGTTCCACTCAGGGTCGCAGATGATTTGCTTCAGTGTTTTGGGGTGGATGGATCAATTGTCATTTTCTGCTGCTCCCTTTTCCATGCCTACCACTCCCACAACACTTTCATTTCTTTTCTGGCTGTACTTTTAACTATTTACGGTGTGGTGTACTCTTAAAGAGAGGGGTGGTGGTTGTTTTTTATCCCTCAGATTTGCACAAAAACAGAAAACTGTACAAGCAAACCACATTCAAAAATTCTACACTATATATATATTGGGCAGCAATCTGAAAAATATATATATAATTGCTTTCATTTCTTTTCCAGCATGCTAGTAAGACCAGGCGAGAGCTTAGCCTGTTTGTTTGTTTGTTTGTTTGTTTGTTTGTTTGTTTGTCTGTCTGTCTGTTTGTTTGTTTGTTTGTGATGGACTGGCTGGATGCAGAGGAATGGAGGGAGGCACCAACTTGGAAACCCCCAAGGGGATCCCCAGGGGGAAAAAGCTCAGAGCCAGGGGATTGGTGGTGGGACAATGATGAGTGGTCAGAGGGAGAAGACTGGGAGGAGGAAGCGCTGAAAGCTGAAGAGGTAATGGGGCTTAGTGAGCAGGAAGAGGCTGGGGCAAAAAGCAGTCCAGATTCAAAGGCAGGAGAGGAATGGGGGCCAGGAGACAGAGGTGAGGCAGGCTGCTGAAGAATCCAGGAAGTCTCTCCCTCCTGTTGTGACCAACTCCCCTCCTCCCTGGTCTCCCAGAAAATGTAGAGGAATGAAGAGGCAGAGCAACGAGAGACTAGATGAAGGAGCCTGAGATTGCTTGGGAAGGACCCGAAGGAAAAGGACTCTTAGGGAGCAGTGGAAATAAGAGGACCTCACAATTACCTCATAGGGTTAAGACCCAGTGGAGGAGCATATGCCCAGGGTGGGCGTGGTCCAGAGGGGGGCGCAGCGCAGAAGGTGCCCTCCCAGGTGCGGGATAGCCGCTCAGGTGCCTGGAGCAGCGTGCGCGCCCTGCAGCTGGGGGCGGAGCAAGCCTCCCATGGTGGACATTCGGCACACCGCCCACCTGCGACTCCTAAGCCTCCCCCAAGCTGTCAAAATGAAGGGGGAAGGAAGGACTGCCACCGGCAAAGCAGTACAGATCCCACCCTTACTCCAACAGCTTGGGGTAGGCTTGGGAGTCGCAGGCAGGTGGCACGCCAAATGTCACCCCCCTCAGTGAGGACACCCTTTCTATGCCCCTGCCAAGACCTACTGGGAAGAGTTGCTGTGATCACTAGGCCTGTACTGTTTTCTGCTGTACTGTACTGTAACTCTTTCTTTGAGTAAAGAGTTAACTTCACTGACACATTGCTAACCTGCTCCTGACTTTGTATGTACGTGTGTTTATTCTTATCTGCACAAAACAAGAAAAGTACACAAGCAAATTTACAACTGCCTGACCATATACTTTTGCACACTTCTTGTGGTGGTGGGGTAGGTACGCAGGTCTGCTACCTGTGCACATGCCCTGTCAGTACTTAACTAGCATAACAGAGTCAACAAATTAGAAGGCAAGGACAAACACAGAAGGGAACACCTGCTGGTGTGGACTGAAGTTGCTTCTCATGTACAAATCCAAATGCATGTGGGTGTGAACTACTTCAGTCTAATTAGAACGGGGGAAAGCAGATTAACAGCAAAATTATGCTCCAATGTGGACAAGTCCAAAGCATCTTAAAGCAGGGGCAGGGAACATCTGCGGCTGGTCTCCAGATGTTGTTTGGACTCCAACTTCCATCAGCCTCAGACAGCATGGTCAATGGTCAAGGAAGGATAGTGGGTCTGTAGTCCAGCGACACCTGAAGAGCACCGGTTCTTAAAGACTCACAAATGTTATTATGCATAGGCTTTCAGAGACTAAAGTCCACTTTATTGGAAACATGAAGTGGTATTCTTCAGCTGAATATGGGGACAGACAACTAAATCGTAAATTAACTCTGCATTCTCAAGGTGATTATTTTATCACGTATCACAGCTGTGGTCAAGGATCACTGTACTTATTTTGCATTCCTGCAAGTTATAAATGAATGGCTATTAAGTACATTTTGCATTACATTTCCTCTGGCCCCCACCCTCCAGTTGTGTATATTCCTGTACCTGAGGATTATGCTTCACGCATCTATCTGCTGAAGTGGAGACTACAGTTTGGCTGTAAGCAATGTATCACATTCTGTTTCGAAAATGGTAAAACTGTTTTCATATATTCCATATTTTTTTCCATAAGCAGTGTAAGGATTTCATTTAATTCAAAGTCAGCTTGTTTTAGTGATTGTATCAAGCAGTCAGCATCTAACATTTTGGTTATGAAGTGTCTGAACTAGGAACTAGGAATAGAAAACTTGATTTAAATCAGTTTTTGTACCCTGCCAGCTCAAGCTCGCTTCCAACACACTTTCTGGGCTCTTGTGTCGTGTGTTTAATGTCTCCTCCTAAGAGCTGCTCTGAAAGTTTTTCTTTCCTGTTTCCCAAAATTGGGATGTGGCCTGAAGGCACGTGATGGAACAACCTTGCTGAAGCTAAGCAGATCTAAGGCAGGTTTGTGCCTGGGTGAGGGACCTCCTGGGAGCCCCACAAGTGATCCTTTGAGCTCCATGGCAGAAAGGTGGAATATAAATAAATGAAATACAGAGCTGGATCACTGCTGGTTGGCCCTGTCCATCTTCTCATCTCCCCATCTGTCATCTCAGATAGTGTACTGTCCCTCAAGTCAGCTTTCCCATTTTTTTTCAACAGGGTGCTCACTCCCACACACAGGAGGGAGGAGGAACCCAGAACAGTGGTGTGAAAGCCCTTATATAGACTTTTGAAATTGCCACCCTGTAGCTCAAGACGCGGGTGGGACGCGGGCGGCGCTGTGGGTTAAACCACAGAGCCTAGGACTTGCTGATCAGAAGGTTGGCAGTTCGAATCCCCGTGACAGGGTGAGCTCCTGTTGCTCAGTCCCTGCTTCTGCCAACCTAGCAGTTCGAAAGCACGTCAAAGTGCAAGTAGATAAATAGGTACAGCAATGGCGGGAAGGTAAACGGTGTTTCCATGTGCTGCTCTGGTTCGCCAGAAGCAGCTTAGTCATGCTGGCCACATGACCCAGAAGCTGTACGCCAGCTCCCTTGGCCAATAAAGAAAGATGAGTGCCGCAACCCCAGAGTCGGTCACAACTGGACTTAATGGTCAGGGGTCCCTTTACCTTTAGCTCAAGACCACTGCCCCCATATATACTTAGTTGGTCTCTAGGGTGCTACTGGACAATTTTTTAATTTTTAAAATTTATTTCAACATCACAGAAGGGGCGGTCTACAGCAGAATCCTGTCTGGCAAGAAACCTGTTAATGGCTTTACCTGGACAGCCTGGCTTTACCTGGACATTCTTTTGTGATGATAAACACTTAATTCCTGGGTCCAGGTCACAGGCTCACCCTACTCACAACCAAATGTGCCCTTAAGGCAGGATTTGTGAGGGCAGAGACAATGGGGAGGCTTTTCCCATTTCCATTCAAACTGCAGGGGAATATTTGAGGTCACTGAAAGAGTCAAAATGGCTTATAACACTTTCAACTGAGCATGCCCAAAAATCTCAGATGTGTATTCCAGTAAATTGAAGCTAGAGTGCAGTAGTTCTGCGTCTACGCCAGAAGAGCTGGCTGGATCAGGTCCATCTAGTCTACTATCCTCTTCTCAAAGTAGTCAACCAGGTTGACTACTTCAGGGAAGCAGGCAAACAGGACACAACCACTAGAACACTTTCCCCTCCTGCAGTTTCCAGTAACTGGTAGAAGAATTACTGCCTCTGACCATGGAAGACAGAGCACAGACACCATGTCTAGAAGCCATTGATAGCTGTGTCCTCCAGGAACTTATTCCTTCGCATTATGCCCACACGCAAGCCAGCACAGACATACCATATTTTTCCGTGTATAAGACTAGGGTTTTTTACCAAAAAATTGGTTTAAAATTGGGGCTTGCCTTACACACAGGTAGTGCTGAGGGGTGTTTTCTGAATTTGGAGTCCCCCAAAATAGGGGGCATCTTATACATGGGGTGTCTTATACATGGAAAAATATGGTAATTATTAGGATACAGATTTTAGAAAATCAGCACTTCTGATTTCAAGGCCTCACATCTTTTAAAGATCAAAATGGTTCCAGGTTTGGCCTTCCTGTGCTGATCTATGTATGTGCGGTTATGTATATTACCATATATCTAAGACCATAAAATTCCTATCACACTATCATACATTTCACCCAGTCAATTAATTGCTTAATTGCAACGTGAGCCCCAGAAAGAAGACAAGCCTCCCTCTTCTCCACAAAATGGTGGCAACCACAACTCTCTCAGGGGCTCTTTCGGGGCATCTCCAGAGAGTGGCTCCCCCAGCAGCTAAAGCCCACCCCGGCCAGAGCTCAGCTGTGTCTCCATTGCAATGGCATTATCTCAGGCAGGCAGGCAGGCATCCACCTGGCCTCCCCCACCCCACAGCTTTTAACTCTGCCTTTTATTGCAGCCCGCCCCCTTCCATCGCTCTCTCTCTCTTCATTCAGCTGGTTTTTGTTTTCAAAAGCTAGGAGAGAAAGCTGAGCCCCCTCCCTCCACCAGATGATGGAGGCCAGATGATGCCAAGGAGGGGCTGCCCGGGGGGCGCATGCGCACAGGGAGGGAATTGCGTGGAAGTCTCGAACCACTTTGAAAACATTTCTTCATGTTGCAAAAACCAGATCGGCCGCCCCTCCCTCGGCCCTCCTCCCACAGATCCCTCCCTCCTGCAAAATTATGCCTTTATTTTGCAGAGGGACGCTCCCCCCGCCCCCAAAAAAGCATGAAACACCTCCCTCCTCCACCTCCATCGTTTCTCTTCTCATGTTGTTCTAGATAAACAAGGTTTCTCCTCCGTCTACCCCCCCACTCCCGCCCACCCCCGACCATAATGGCTTCCTGTAGTTCACGTTAAATCCCCTTCCAACCGCCCGAATCATCCCACAGTCAAGAAAAGTCGCCTCGCAAAGGGGAATGCAAGTCTGGATTTGTGTTTACCAGAGAAAAGAATGAGGAGAGAGGGGCTGGGGGGGGGCGGGCGGTCGTCGTGGCCGGATGAATCCAGGCGCACGGCTGAGCGGCTTACTCGGGGGGGGGCAGCATAGATGGGGGAGGGGCGGAGGCGGACAATGCGCGAAATTGCAGGCTGTCAGATGGGATTCCATCCACGAGCAGGGAGGGAGCGGGGAGAATGTAGAGGTTGGCCCGGGCGGGGGGCGGGGAAGAGACTAGTCAAGGCAAAATATCCTCCCAGACTTATGTGGGGAGATAACTGGTAACTAGGCAACCCACGGAAAGAAGAGCCGTGCTAGCAGGTGGTTGGCACGGCAACAGCAAGGCCAATCACAGCCGCGCAATGGACGGATTTGCAAGACAGACAGACTGCGGGGCATGTGCAAGAAGAGCCACAGCGGTGCCAACAAGTGGGGCGTTGAAGGGGGGGGGAGGAGAGGGAGATGCAGCTGGGGAGGCGGGAGGGAGCGCCTGGCAAAGGTAGGGTGACGATGACACTGAGCTCCCGGGAACTCCCGCTGAGCACCCAAAGCTGGCATCGCAAGCCCCACCACGCAGCAGGAGGGCGCAGGGTGGGTGTGAGCGATGCCCGGGCGCCAGAGCAGAGTCTTGCCCAAGAAGCCGCCCTCTTGGCCCGTCTCTCTCCCGCGCCCAAAGTGTTGGACTGCAGTTAATGCTGGTCTGGAGGGAGACACTCTGCGGATGCTCAGAGGCTCGCTCCTGGTTATTCCCTCTCTCTGTCTCTTTTATTTATTTTACAGATTTGGTCCCCAGAATCCCAAGGGGTGACAAGGGGGCAACATATTTAGGGGCACATGCCGCCTCGGATCGGATGCTTGTTCACTCAGGACAGTTTTGGCCTGGGCGGACTGGGGGTGGGGGGGTGTCCGTGAGTGGGAAGGCCCCGGGGGTGCTATGCCCAGGAACGGGAGGGAGCTGGTGTGCATTTGGAAGGGCTGCCGACGGCCAGAAGGCTCGAGCGGGACCCGCCCGGCTCCTCGGGGCAGAGACCCGTCGAGTGCGAGGGGAGGACAATTCGGGCGGGGCACCGGGGGAGGCATTTGCTCCCCGGTCACGTCTCCCGCGGCGCCTGGAAGCAGCCCGGCTGAGCTGGGCGGGGAGGGTCTTCGACGCTCGCGACGACGGAGCCCATCAGGCAGCCGTCGGCCGGGCCGGTGTCTCCTGGAGCGGGGGCCAAAAGCCTGCGCTACGTGGCTACCTTCCCGTCGGGGGCCCCGCTTACCGGGCAGGCGGCGCGAGGGCGAAGGCGGCTCTCGGGCGTCTGGCGGGGCGAGACGAGACTGGGCTGCAGGGGGGCCGCTGCGACGACGAAGGCGGCGGTCGCAGGGCGAGGGCGGCGCGCGAGGATGGCAGGCTGGGTTAGGGTGGCTCCTTTCCTTCGGGCGCTGCTGCGATCAAGCCCGCGTCCCCTCGTGGCTGGCTGGGGCTGGGCGTGCCACGGGCTCGGGCATGGCTGGGCTCGGCTGAGAAAGAGGGAGGGATGCGGGGGGGGCGAGCTGCGCGGAGCCGGGGAGGCGGCGCTGGCAGACAGACGGAGGGAGGGAGAGCGAGCGAGCAGGGGCGAGCTGGGGGGTGGTCTCTCCGCCACCTGCACTGATGTCAGAGCGTGTTTCTGGACGCAGCCCCGAGACCGCCAGTCTCCGTTTCGGAGAGGCCAGCGACTGCACCGCCTGCCTGCCGCGCTCTCAACGAAGCTCAAGCAGACCCTCGACGCCATGCCAGCTGCTTGGCGGTGCTTAGGAGGAAGGCAAAGCGCTCTGCCCATGCTCAGCGGCGCCTTCACCGCGATCGCAACTACGGCCAGCCTTGGGAGGACTTGGGTTGCCCCACACTGCTCTGGAAACGGCTCTCCCGCTGTGTCTCCCACCCCACCCCGGACCTCGACGTTTCATGAGAGTACCGCCGGTCCAGCGAGCTTACGTCGAGCACCAGAAGCCTTGCCGCGCGGACCCTGCCTTGCTCCCTCCCTCGTCCTGACTGGGGGGCTACAGCGGGCCAGCAGCATCAAGAGGCGACTTGCCATTGCGTGTCTCTAACCGTCGGGAAATCTGGTCAGCTCTCGAGGCGGGAGAAGAGTTTCCAGCAGCGCAGCCTGGTTTTACACGTCTCCAGCAAGGCAGCCTAGTTTTCCGTCGGGGACAGAAGACAATGCGATTCTCCACTTCTTCCCCAAGGAGCAAGTAGTTGGCTTGGTTTGGCTGCCCAGCACACCACCATTAGCCATCTAAGGGGCTGCCTGTCTGGATGGAAGCCTCCTCCTCCTGGTCCCTGGAGCAAGAAGAAGAACAGGAGGCCCTGCCTTGTCCACTCCGTTATCCAGCTGTAGCAGCTTTCCAGGGACTCAGCAGGAGCAGCAGGTGCTGAGCTCTGGCAGCCCAATATTGAAGCAATGCGTACCAATGTGGAAAATGCCTGGGCCCTTTGGGGGCTAGTACAACTGCTGCTGCATCAGCTGGGCAAATGCCGAGCTGATTGGCTTCCCTGTTCCTGACCAGGCTCATTGGAGATTTGCATTCAAGACCAAGGTGCATCAACATCACACACAGCCACACACTACCTCTAGCAGAGGGGCGGTGAACCTGCTGTTGCTCCTCCCTGACCATTGGGCTGCCTGCCAGGCTGATGGGAGTTGGAGTCCAAGAATACCAGGAGGGTGTTCCCTCTTCCTGCACACCCTACTTGCCTTCCCTTCCTTGGGGACATTCAGTGCCTTTCCCTCTTCTTCCTTTAACAAATCAGGTGGCTCCAAGGTTTGCCAGACGGATGCCCAATGGCTTCTAAGCCCTAGGAATCCTGCTGACCTTGCACTGCTGGAGAATGGTCTTTTAGGAGCCTAATCCAGTAATTGTTTGGCTTCTGTGGGGAGTGGGGGGGGTGCAGTCTCTTGGGGAGGAAGTTGCTTGCAAGAAAGACACCACTCGTTAAGGGACTGCCCATCTATAGGATGAAGTGTAAACTGACCAGGAGAGCATTTTTCAAATGCAAAGCCCAGAACTCTGGTTTATCCAATGTAATTGACTGAGAAGACAGGCAAAAGAAAGTATTTCCTCAAACAACACATAATTAAATAATATAATTCATTTTCACAAGAAGTGGCAAAAACCACCAGCTTGGGTGGCTTTAAATGAGGATCAGGCAACACTGTGGAGGAGAGAGGTCTGTTTCCCGGAACAGCTAGGTTGAGCCTTTGTAGTGAGAGGAAGTTACTTCCTAGTACCAGATACAGGGGGCTAATCATCAAGCTCTGCTTGTGAGCACCCAGATGCATCTGGGAAGTACCCGGGTTCTGGATTTGATGGGCAAGAAGGTCACCCTGTACATCATCCTGTGCCCTAAGATCAGGAGAAGTGGCTCTCCCTCCAACACCAGGAAAAAGTCTAAACCCAGGAGCTACAGAAATGCGATTTCAGGAGAAATAATTGCCCAACAGTTACTATCAGGCTAATGTTGAAATGTGTATAAACATTACAGGCAATTGTGGCATGGGGTGTGGTCTTTAAAGAGCATGTTGCTGCATGAGGAGCCCCCTAACAGCCCCAGTTCTTTGGGGTAGGCACAGTACTAAGGCTGACTCCTCTTCACACCTCCTCAGTGGCATAGAGTGGGTTGCTAGTGCCCAGGGCCACAAGAGGGATGGGAGGGGGAAAGATGGAGTACACATGCACATTCAACTGCCTAATGGCAGTTGACATCACCCAAGAGATCTCAGTTGCAGAGATAAGAAGAGCTGTTTTGTTGTCTGGAGAGGTCACTCCTGGTTTGCATAGAGAAGACATTGTCAACAGAGTCCAGTGATGAAAGCACACCCTAACAATTTTGTGCCCAGGGCGACCACTCCTGTGCTATGCCACTGCATCTCCTGTTAGCAAACTTATTATTGCCACACACCAATTATGTGCATTTCTGTTTGAAGAACTTTGACGCTGATGTGGCAAAATAGCTGCCTTTGCCAGTAGGCAAATGGTACATAGTTGGTGGCTGGGCCCTTGGCTACTGGCAGCAGACACAGATAAGAAGTTCTCTGCACTATAGGAAAGCAGCCTTGCTACCATGGTCTACCTCAAAGGGAGAGGTCATAACTCAGTGGTAGAGCACCTGCTTCACATGCAGTAGGTGGAAGTTCCAGGGTGCCTGGCTAAGAAGATGCCATACCTGAAGCTTCAGGAGGTGGGGCTATTACTACTGCCAGTCAAGCAGACAGTACAGAGCCAGGTAGACCAATGGCCTGCATCTCACTTGACATTGCAAATGGGAATGCCCCATAGGAAGCCATTGTGCCAGAGCAAAGGAGGCAGGTCCTCCTACAAGGGTGTGTTGTTTAACAGGATGGAGAAGGGCAAAGAAGAGGCTTGTTCCCACGGCAGAGTGCCACAGTTTGGGGACTGAGAGGCACCCTTCTGCAGCTTGCCACTCTCCCCACATAGGATCACTGGTGGGGCCCAGTTCCCCAGAGTGGGTGAGTGGCATGGATATACCTAAGGCTGAAGCATTTCTTAGCAGTGCCCTGAGGACTTCCCAGTGAGGGAGGCTTAGTGGGTAGGTGGGCCTAGCTTCCAAGGTCTTGTGGTGTAGCCAGAGTGATTCTAAAATGCAAAGGAGGCAGAGATGCAGCAGCCAAGGATGCTACAAGGGCTCCTCTTCTGCCCCGTTTCCAAGTGCAAGGACCTATCCAATCCATTCCTGGTCCAAACGGTACAAACAGGCGACCTTAAACACTGAGAAGTGGTCTGTTCCCTTTTGGCCAATGCAACCTGATCCCAAGAGCAGTTCCAGAGCTTGAGCGCAGCTGATTCTCTGGGGAGGACATAATCACACTCCACACTCCTCCCAGATGCTCCATTCCAGGCCCAGCTTCAGTCGCATCAGCCCCCAGAGGCACAAGCCAGAGTCCAGGAGGCACTGACAGCAACATCAGAAGCAGCAGCAGCAGCAGCAGCAGCAGCAGCCCAGAAGTACCAGAAGAGGGGAGAGGAAAAGGTTGTCCTTTGCCACACAGTCATCCTGATGGCCCATGAGCAGGAAAATGCACCTGGCCACCCCAGCCTCCATGAGGACCTTTCCATGGGAAAACAGATGTGGTGCTGGGGGCAGAAGAAGCCCTTCTTTTCTCAGTCAGTCTGGCTCTGGCTCTGGAATGGAAGGAAGGAAGGAATGAAATGAGCCCACGGAAAGCAGCTGCTTTTCCCCCACAACTGGGGAAAAGTGAGAAAGGGGCACCTGTTGCCAGACTGAACTTCGGCTACTCTGGAATGTGCAAGCTTTTATGAGATCTAACATAAGCAGTTGAGTACAGTCATACCTCGGGTTGAAGTAGCTTCGGATTGAGTGTTTTCAGGTTGCGCTCCGCGGCGACCCGGAAGTAACGGAATGCATTACTTCCAGGTTTCGCTGCTCGCGAATGCGCAGATGCTCAAAACGACATCACGCGTATGCGTGGAAGTGGCAAATTGTGACCCGCGCACACACAGACGTGCAGACATGGAGACACAGAGACGCAGGTTGCGTTCACTTCAGGATGCGAACGGGGCTCCAGAACGGATCCCGTTCGCATCCAGAGGTACCACTGTACAACACTTCCTGTTTGCCCAGAGTGGACACACAGGGGGATGTTGCTCCAGCCAGGAGGACTTCTTGTCAAACCTGGTCTGGAGCATCCTCCCCCTGCATGTGACCAGGTAGATGGGCATGACCCTTAGAGACCCCATAAAAGGGCTGGTCACGCAGCCACCTTCCTCTTTCTTCTTCTTCATTTTATTCCATCTTGATGCTTTTGCTGTGTGCTGGCTCTCAGCCAGCAGCACATGGGCTCATTCCCATAGGGGCTGAACTCAAACACTGTTCTGTAACTACAAGCTAAAGCCAGTCTTCAGGATCATACTGTTAACTGAATGTAAGTAAACTTCTTGTTACTTTTAAGAAAAGACTGTTGTGTCTTTATTCTTTTTAAGAGGTAACAAAGGGTATTTACCAGGAACAAACCCAATCTGGACAAGTCAGATTAGACTGCTTAAGTAAAGAGATTCAAATGAATCTACTAACTAGCTTCCTGCAACATACTGGGGAATGTACTCTGCTACTGACTCACTAGCACAAGTAAGAAAGGATAATATTTAATCAATATGTCCTTTCATACTATCCGCAACATTCCCACACTTTTGAACTCCCCAGGGCATCTTCCTCGGGGCAATGAAAAGGAGATGCATTCAGTTGCAAATATAAGTTTCTGTCCACATGGGCATAGCCAGGGGGGCAGGGGAGCAGCTGCCCCACGCTAAATCAATTAAATATTATTAAAAATTAATTAAATCAATTAAAAATACTTAGCTAACTGACCAATTGTGTTGCCAATAACTTAGTTCTCTCCTCCAACATAATGCCCACCTCCCTCTAAAAAAAATCCTGACTACACCCATGTCTGTCCACCTTTGTAGGACAGAAGGTGGGTGAAGAATGGCTTTGGCACTAGCTATTTCAGACCTGTCCCCATAATATGACCTAGAAGTTGCAATGAATCAAGGACGTGCTTCCCTCCCACTAAGAGGCATGTTCGCTGGCTCAGGAGTTGCTGGACAAACCTTTGATCTTTTAGCAGAGCATTGAAGAAACATTTTGCAACCATTTCCAGCACCTCTCCACCTGTAGTCTGCCTGCCAGTCTCCTAAGCTGAAAGAAGTCAGCCGGCCCCCAGCAGGCTCCTCACATTCTCCCTTACCTCCATTTTGCTGTAAATCCAGCTAAGCAGCTTTGTGACCTTCGTGTAGACACCAGGCTTGTTCTTCTGGCCACAGCCAGTCCCCCAACTGGTGATGCCAGCCAAGTACCAACGAGAGCTGTCATTACAGACCAGGGGGCCTCCACTGTCACCCTGGGGCAGAGAGAGAAGGTCAGTGGGGCAAGATGGAACCAGAGGCTGGAGAAGGGTGGAGCAGAAGCCACCTGACATTTGGGTCTCCCAAAAGTTGTCGGCCACAGTGGCTTGTGAGCAAGGCCCATGAAGGCACCACAAAGGAGGACTTTCCACTGCAGGCCTATAATTTATGACAGGATATGTGCCCTGGGCATAACCTCTTCTCATGGCAACACAGCAGGCAGATCACCTGTCTCAACGTTTTAAAGAACTGGACAGGACTTGTAATTTATTGAGCCCTCCATCCCCAGAAAGCACAGCCTCTTAGGGACACCTCATGTCAGGGAATGGTCTGGATCTGAAGATTGGGGAATGCAGTCGTAGGCAGATTAACTCCTCACAGAAGTGGAGGGGGAGTATTCGCCCCGCCCCCCTGCCTCCAGCATTTTCAGAAGCAGAGAGGGAGGCAGACACAGATACAGAAGCAAAACAGCTTAGGGAGGAGTTACCCAGCTATGAGATAATGACAAGAGATCCAAAAGGGAGGGAGCAGCGGGAGACACATCAATTGAGAGTGTGGAGGACCCTTCCTCCCCACGAACTTGAAGGTCTGCACAGAGAACAAAGGAGGCAGGGAAGGGGAGGAACTTCCCATTGGTGCACTCCTTGCTGCGGGAGTAGGATTCAAAGTAGGCACCTGATCTCCTTGTGGAGAGTTGTGTGTTTGTGCTTGCAACATGATGCTGTAATAAAGGGACCATAAACCTATCAACTGCTTGTTAATTCTTATCTGTGAAGCTACTGAAGGAAGAGGGGAACTCTCCACGCTTGACAGCTCTGGTCAAAGCACTCCACTTGGTGCTCAGTGCACCCACCTCAGCCCCTGGGCATTTGGCACTTGGCTCCTGCCACCAGTGAGAAGAGGATGGGGGATGACCAACCTGAGGGCCCATGGGTACTCTTGAAACCACACCCCCTTGCCTTCTTTCAGCAAAATACCATTCTCACCTGGCAAGCATCTCTTCCCCCTTTCAAGTACCCAGCACACATCATCCGTGGGGTCAGGTAGTGGTCATACACATTCTGGCTGTTGCAGAGTCTGTAGTCAATTATCTTCACCTCTGCCTCCCGCAGCTTTGGCGATGTATTCTCTGAAATAAGCAGGCCATGATGAGACGGAGGAGCTCTCCTGGGCACACCAGCACCTCCTGTTGGAGTTTGCTCTGCAGCTGGCTTGGGGTCCTCTGCACCCCTCAAGCTGCAGCTCTACATCCCATCAGATGAAGAACCCCCACCCCAATTTACCTTCATTCTCATTTGTCTTGCCATAGCCTGTGATGTAGCAGGTCCTCCCAGGCAGGAACTTCTGATCAAATGTGGGGAGGCAGGCTGGGCGGACATTGGCTGAAGCAGAGAGAGGAGAGAGAGATTAGTTTCCCCTTGAGGGGGAGGCTGTGGGCTTGTTTCACCAAGGGACCTCAGCACCAGGAAAGCAGGGAGGAAGGTGAGATGTGGCAGCATAAAGTCAGGGAGCTTTACCTGATAAGGTCAGAGGCTTCGAGAGCTTCAGCAGTGCAATGTCAAAGTCATCATGATCATCATCATATTTGGCATTGATGATGATGTGTGAAACAGGGATGCCCGCAGTAGGCAGCTGCTTGAGGTTGGAGGCCCCAGCATACACCTTCCACTGGTCCAGGATCTTCACACTATTCCTTAGAGGCCCAAAGGATGAAATGCCACACAGGTTAGGGTAGAGTCGCTTCTGCTTTGGTCCAAAGCCATCTTTCTCAGCAGGAACGTGTGCTCAGAACATGAGTTAAGTGTGACAGGGGTGCATGTGAGAGGGAGAACGTGCTTTGGTTCAGGACTGGGTGCCAGATGATGCAGCTACTTTATCAGAAAGAGAGGGATGGAGGGGAGGCAGGGGGCAAAAAGGACAGGGCAGGGGCTGGTGGGGCAGTTGCAGTTGCAGTTGGGAGGAAGCTGCAAGCAAACTGGGGGGGATGTGGAAGAGAGTGGAGTGGGGTGACCTGTCCAGGGAAGTGGCCATGGCATCTCCTGCCTTGCAATAACAGGTGGAGTAGGTATCAGGGATGGGATGTCAGAGCAGATGGTCCACTGACTTCCTTCCTGTTGGACCTCCTGGATTCATTGGATCTCATTCTCCAGCCTGCCATGATATCCCTCAGAACTACATGTAGCCACAGTGGAAACCCAGAAGGTCAATTTCCCCCTGCAGATCCAACCCTCCAACTCAGCCCCCACCTTACAAGTTTTGGCCAGGGATGCCACTTACATGAAGAAGCAGTGAGCTGCTGTGAGGACCCACTGAGGATCAATGATGGTCCCTCCACAGATGTGAATCGACCCATAGTGCAGGCTCACTTGCCAAGGCCACTTATTGATTGTTGTTTCATTGCCTTCAATAATGCGGCCAGACATTGTTTGCCCGCAGTCTACAGGGAGAGAAGAAATCCAAGATTCATAGAACTGTAGCATTGTAAAGGGACCAAGGGTGCTGGAAGGGCAAGCAGAGAACTCTTGTGCCCAAAATATACCATGGTGAGATCTGGCATTGCACAGTTCCTTTGCATCACCCAAGGCTTCCTTTAACTCTTCCCTTCCTGCCCTCTCTCTCTAGTGATGTGCCACTTCCTTCTCTTGGCCCACTCAGGGACTTTCCTGGGACTGGGAAGCAGTAGATGGAGACAATGGCAGGCAGAGAGGCAGAGCAATGGATGCTAGTTTTGTCTCCATCCCCCTCCCAGATGAGTTTCACAATAGCAACACGGAGACCAAGGAGGAGGAAGCTCAAAGCTAGGCCCACCCTCTGGGCTGCATATGGGAAGACAGGTACATAGGTAGGTGGTGAGGGTGACCGAGGTGAGTGGGGCAATGCCCCATTTGCCCTAATAGACCACCCACCACTGGAGGCTCCTATTTCTCACTCACACCTCTCTGCTGTGCTGGGCCCATGGTGCTTCTGCGTAATGAAGGAACTGGGCAATGTATGGTCAGGCAGGGATTGCTTCAGGGTAGCTCACAGCTCAGTCTCTTGGGTATAGCAATGGAAATAACATGAGATACAGAAGGGAACCCTCCCCACCTACCCACCCACCTTCCACCTATATAACAGCAAAGTCTCCTTACTTGTGCATCGGAGGGAAACATACTTTCCAGTGCCACATTGGGACCTTTAGGAGAGATGAAAACAGACTGTTAGGTTTCAGAGGATGGGTCCAGCAGGCTGCAGTGTCAACACAATGGGACTCCCTGGCCAAGAGAATTGAGGTGGGGTAGGATCATGTCTCCAAGAGCCAGCTAGCCACCTAACTTACACATGGAGGTGCCAGGAAGGACCACATCCCTCCTGAACCACAAATGGGCTTTCTGAACACCTGTGTGCCAAGAATAAGCAGGCTTGGCTGGAACAGGCATGGAAAGGGATCTCCATCCCTGTGCTAGACAGTCCAGGGAATCAATGATCCAAACAGTGCCCAGGCAAAGGCCGATGCCAAGGGGGAGAAAGGAGTGCCACATCCATCAGGTGAGTTTCCCCAACTTTGTGTTATCCTCCCAGCAGATTAATCTAAGAGACAGTGGCTTTTTCAAGGCCTCCTTGGCTAAGGGAGGATTTGAGCCACCTCGCTTCTCAAAGTTCAGCATTTTTCATGGTTCTATGGACTCTCTTAAACCAGACTTTTCGAGGGTTAAGGGGCCCCAGTCAACATATAATAAACCTGGCAGACTTAGCTGGAGTTCTTTTGCCATTTCTAGTTCTTAGCTAAATAAAACACATTTAAAAGAGTTGTGGGATGGCGATCTCACATGCTCCAATATGTATCAGGTGAGCCCATAATGGCCATTTCCTCATTGCAGTTCAGAAGGGCAAACTCTAGCCAACAAATTGCCTCCCCAGTCTTGGCATGGTGGTCAACAAAACACTCAGTTAAGCAATAATTGTTAATTTATGTTCTGGAACTCACACATTTTAAGGTGTGAAAAGTCTCATCTCTCACAGCTCCTTTGATGTTAAGGATTTTGTTCTTTAAAGGGAAGTAATGCCTTGAATAATTTTGCATAGCAGATGGCACCATTGTCAGGAAGCACATGGTAAACTGATCTCCTGTGAAATTCACAGCTTCAGCTAACAACGTCTTTGTAATCTGGCCTGAGAGAGACACAAATCTGGGGGCTCTTTCTGTACACAAACACACACACAAACACACACACACATTTAAACAATTTTCAAAAGTTACACAAGACTATATACGATAACCACACAGAAATCATGTAATTTAGAGTTAAATTCAGATTCCAGGCACATGTAGAATAGACCCACGGAAGATCATGGGGCTTAAGTTAGTAATGAAGAATTGAACTTCTGTTGATGGTTAAGCATTATGGGAAGTCTGGAACCAACACACAGGAAGGTGCCCTTGACCAGATCAGTCCATTCATCCACGTGGCCAAGCAGCTGCCCAGGGTCTTGGACAGTGGCAAGCGGTGGGGTGTCATTCCTTGATTCTTTCCACTAGAGCAGGGTGATCCAATATGTGGCCCTCAAGGACTTTTTTGGCACCCTCTGCAACATTTGACACACACACACACACAGCCCTTGCACTGTCTTCCAAAAGCCAGTTAGGTGAGTCACTGGACTTTGTAAAGGAAGGGTGAGAGCTCTGACAGGGTCCTAGAGTCCTCCAAACTCCTTCTTAAAGGCTAGTTAACACTTCCCTAGCTTTGGGAAGGAAGTGGAAGGACATAGGTGTAGCCGGGGGGGGCAGCTGCCCCCCTAAATCAAGTAAATAAATAAAATTTGTTAACTAACTGAGGTTCTGGGGCCCCCCCAACATGAAACCTGCCTACGCCCATGTGGGAGGGCACCCTGCCAGAGCCCCGCACCTCCTTCCCAAAGTCTGGTGCCTTGCTTAGGCAGTGTATGATCTGTGGGTTCCATGTTGAAGTTGAACCCAGTTGGGCCACCCTGAACTATAGTTGCTGAACTTCCCTACAGGAGGAGGCCCATCCAGGATTGCATGATGAGTTGCTATATGGCAGGAAGATCTAAGAATACCTGGATTTGGGGTGGATTTGTGGCAATGGAAGGGTGCAGCCCTTGGCATTCTGGGTAGGCAAGCAAGAGAGGGAAGAAGCTGGAATCGTACTCATTCTAGTAATCCCTCTGCCTCCCTCCCATGCAATGCTTGTATTATGTGTGTGTGGGGGGGTGTAGGCGCATTTAATGAAATCTACAAGCCCCATCCCCTAACTCACCCAAATTTTAGTCAAACCATGCCCCCTACTGCAAGCTTCTAGAAATAGTCCCTGGGATCTGTCACAGTTTGTTTACATCAGTAGCAGAGCCAGTCCTATCATTTGGTATGGGGACACAGCTGCCTCAAGCGGCAATGAGGTGGTGGAGAAAGAGCCATGTGCACCACACAGTCAGTTCTGCATCCCCTAAACTCACTTCCTGCTCTCAGGTGCAGTGGAGGGCATGGCCTCTTCTCCAGCCATGTTGAAAGAAGATTCAACAGCCAGTTTGGTTGGTTTCTGTATCAGAAATGGGGAGGTGAGAGTTGCACCATCTAGACCTTTGCCTAAGGTATGAAAATCTCCTGGGCTGACCCTGGCAGGTCCCAGGATTGGAGAGGGGCCAGTGCAGCCCCACTGCCAGTCTACAAAGGGGCAATCAATAACAGCCAACCAATCTTAGCAAGGGGTTGCTACCTTGTCTCAGAATCTCACCAATAGGAGGGAAGGGCTGTCCTCTCCCCTTTCCAAAGACCACTCTTTGCTCCCTTACCTGCTGAGACTCTGCTGGATTGTGCTGTTCATTTCTCCAGCTGTGAAGCTGTTCCCAGACCACGAGAGAGGGGCATAATCTGTTAGGGAGGCACTGGGGAGACAAAGGAGGCCGTGGTCAGGATGCGAGAGCCGACCTTTGGGGCGCAAGGCCTATCTTGGGGCAGCCCCAGCATGTATTTGTACTAGACAGAGGCAGTGGAGGGGGCACATGTGGATGAGATGGAAGGTGGAGGGGGTGTCTAGAGGGGGCTGCCCCCAAAGGCAGCAGAGGGATGTCACCCCCACCTGGACTTCCACTGCGGTAGGAGGCAGGGGGAGGGGGCGCCCCACATAGAACTGTAGAGATGGAAGAAGGGTCAACTAGTCCAACCCCCTGCAATGCAGGAATCTCAACTAAACATCCATGGTCATCCAGCCTCTGCTTAAAAACCTCCAAGGAAGGAGACTCCACCAGCTCCGGACTGTTCCACTGTCAAACAGTTCTTACTGTCAGAAAGTTTTTCCATATGTTTAGTCGGAATCTGCTTTCTTGCAACTTGAAGCCATTGGTTCCAGTCCTACCTTCCAGAGCAGGACAAGAAAAGCTTGCTCCCCTTTTCCAGGCTAAACATACCCAGCTCCTTCAACCGTTCCTCATAAGGCAGTGACCTTTTTATCTCCTCCTTTTTTGCTGGAAGAAGCAGGTAAGCCACACACCCTTCCTGTGGGGTGGCAGCGAGGAGGCGCCTGGCGGCAGATGCTTGGGAAACTGCCCCAGGAGGAGGAGTAGGGTTGCCTTTTTGCCTCTCTCCGCTCCCGCCTGCCTGCTGCCCCCACCCAGGACTTACTTGATGAATCCGAGCTGCCGGCAGGTCTTCCTGGATAAATCCTCCGTCCAGTCTTTGCTGCACACGGGCAGCCACCGCTTCTGGGGCCCCGAGTAGACCTGGAGAAAGGACTCGTTCCCGGCGAAGCGCACTGCAGAGCCGGAGAGGAGGAGCCAGTGAGGACCACGAGGAAGAAGAGGAGGAGGAAGAAGAAGACTCAGCCCGGCAATAGCAGCGCTTCAAGCCCGTCGCTCGCCGGAGTAAGCAGGCGACCCGGCCGAGGCTCCCTTCCCGACCCGGCGAGCACTTGCTCGGCCCCAGCTCCGCAGGTCGCCCCACCGCACAATTCTCCCTCCGCACCCCCGGGGAAGGCATTACCGCAGTCCAGCTCGTCGCTCCGCTGAGAGCAGTCGGCGACCCCATCGCAGCGCACCGCGTGGCTGTCGCAGTTCTCGGCCGGCTCCTTGTAGACGATGCCTGTGCCAGAGCGCCAGAACAAGACTGCGAGGGGCAGAGAAAGAGGGAGAGGGATTCATGAATCTCACCCTCTTTTCTCTGAGCTGAGCTGCGTTGACAAGATTGTCTCGGCTTCGAAGTTTATCTGTGTTTACGCTCCCGTGTTCTTTGCCACGGCTTGTCCACCAGGTGTCAGGAAAGCTCCAGCGACCAGCAGAGGGAAGCTGTTATGCCCTGAAGGGAATTCCAAGCCTTCAGAAAACACCGCCTCCCTTGTCAGGGCTTCGTGATCCTCGTGACCTCCAGAGGATAACGAGGACACTCTCCTCCCACACACAGAGCATGTGGTCAAAGTGAGCATGACGATCCCTCATAAACTAAATGACACCAAAAGTGCTTCTATATTAGACGCTGACCACACTCAGTTCATTTTTAAAAAACAAAACAGGGCACCTGCCTGATACAATCATCAAAAGGTAATTGGGAAGGTGAAAAGAGCCCTGCAGCTGCCACCAGGCCCAAGGCCCAAGCGGTCTATGGCAACAGTCAACTTCATGTGGGATCTGAGAGCCTCAGCAGTCCTGTTTCCCCTCCTAATTCCCAGCAACTGGCGTTTACTGCATCCAATACTGGAAGTTCCCCCAATGCTTTCCTTGTGCTCCTCCCATGTTCACCAGCTTGCAGAAAATTCTGCTTAAAAATACAGGTGAAGGAAACAAAAGCATAATCTGTACAAGTGTGGATCTCCTTCGGCCAGGGCTTTCTTTTTTGCAGCCGGAACTCACTGGAACTCAGTTCCGGCACCTCACAGGTGGGCGCTCTTGCCATTATAAGAGAACAAGAGAGGCGTTTGTGTCAAGTTCCTGCAGATCTTTTTCTAGAAAAATGGCACTGACTGTCACACTGTGCTTACCGCCTTGTGACATATGTACTGGGCAGGCAAGCCCAACACATCACTTTCACAATTACTTTCCTGGTCAGTGCTAGTTTTGTGGCACAGATTTTTTGAACCTGACCTTATGCTAAAATGGTTTTGTTTTTTGTTTTGCCTATATAAAAAAAGATTCATGCAGTAGAGCTCAAATGGAAACATTTTAGATTTTTTTTTAATTACAAGAATATTTCCCAATTGGCACCATTTTAGGAGTGACAGCCATCTCATATTTTAATGAGTGTCAAAACACCTATATTAGAAAAAACAGCAACACTGTAATAGCACTTAAATGAAAAATCCTTTTATGTGCAATTTTCAAAAAGGATTTTTCTTTTTAGAAATTGGCACCGCTAAAGTCACACTGATCAGGTGACAGCCACTCCCTTTCCTGTACAGATGGCTATGCCATGGTATGGAATGGGAGCAGAACACAGTGGGGGGTGCGCGCAGAACAAGTGTGGGACCCTCTGAAGCATGGATAATCAGTTCCCACAGCATTCATAGCTTACTGAGAAGGTCAACAAATGGGCAGCCTTAGGAGCTACCCTCCTGCGACCATCCAGCAGAAGGAGGATGGGATGGATGCCAAGGAAAGGGAGCCTGGCCTGCAGCTGCTCCCCCAACTTCTCCCTTCCCAATTGTTGACTCCAAAACAGAAGAGAAAGAGAGGAAGGCTCCAGCCAGTGTGTCCTTGTGAGGAAATGTGGGCTCTCAGCCAATTTTCCAAGGAAGGGAGGAGCCATGAATCCAGGTCACATCTAAAACTGGGCGGGGAGTTCTCAAGACAGGCTTGGCAGAGTCAGAACCCTGAAAAATGGGGCACCCGGTAACACCATGTCATTTGCATTTATTTGCCTGTTCAAACTGCTTGTTGCCTATGCATTGCTTCCTCATTTTAAAATCGCAACAGGTAAGCCTCTTATACACACCATACATGACTTCCCCCAAAGAATCCTGTGAGCTTTAGTTTACTCCCACAGAGCTACAATGTCCAGAACCTTTAACGAACTACAGCTCCCATAATTCTTTGGGGGAGGTCATGTACTTTAAACGTATGGTGGGTACATAGTCTGAAGAACATGAAAGAGGAGCAAGGAAGAAGAACGCACACAGGTGTAAGGGACAGCAGGGCCCCTCCCATGAGCCGCAGGACTCTCGGCTCTTCAAAACAGATGGAAGAACTCCAAGGGCCAAATTTACCCACCCACCAGGGTATCTGTCATGTTTCCTGTCCTGCAGCAGAAGGAAAGAGAAATGACGTTTGGGTTGCTGTGTGTCTTCTGATGCTGCAGCAGCACATACAGGCCCCTAAGCCAAGTATTGGTTTCTGGCTCAGTCCCTCCTTGTCATACTGCGATTAGTTATTTACTCTCACACCCAAACATCACCCCAGGAGAGAAGAAAACAGAAGCTTCTACACACAAACACATGCCAAAACAACCTCCCCCATCTGGCACACTCCAGATATTTCAGACTACAACTCCCATAATCCCTGGGCAGAATGGCTGTGCTAGCTGGGACTGATGGGGAGTTGTAGTCCAAATAATTTGGGGTGGTAGACTAGAGGTTTGGAAAGAAAAGATTCTGTAATTTCATCCCCACCCTGAAAAAAATAAACATTAGAGGGGAAATAATATATGCAAACCTAAACAACCTGATTTCTCAAAATAAAAAAAATGAGAAGAAAAGACTTTTCTACCTCTCAAGGCCCCTGTGTGTTTTGCCTAAGGACACAGAGAGAGATGAGTAGCTGCAGCTGGTTTTTGTAGTTCCAGAGATGGGGGAAATCAGCCACTGTGTATTTCTTCTTTCCAAGGCTCTCTGGTGAAACCTGATGCCTGCCTAGCACCTAAAACAACCTCACTTGAATGTCTTCTCCATCCTCCCCCCAATCTGTTTTAAGACTGCAGCCAGATGGAGACTCCATAGCTTCAACATAAGCCAAAAAAATTCCCTCTCTCCCCAGTTCATTTGCCATCTAGCCTCAGGTCTGGAGATCTCAAAAGCTCACACTCTGTTTTGTAATATTTTGATTGGCCTAAAAGGGAATTGCCCCAATATGAATTTGAGGGAAAATATATTCAGGGACAGGGACGTGGGTGGCGCCGTGGGTTAAACTACAGAGCCTAGGACTTGCCAATCAGAAGGTCGCAGTTTGAATCCCCACGACGGGGTGAGCTCCCGTTGCTTGGTCCCTGCTCCTGCCAACTTAGCAGTTTGAAAGCACGTCAAAGTGCAAGTAGATAAATAGGTACCACTCCGGCGGGAAGGTAAACAGTGTTTCTGTGCGCGGCTCTGGTTTGCCAGAAGCGGCTTAGTCCTGCTGGCCACATGACCCGGAAGCTGTATGCTGCCTCCCTCGGCCAATAAAGCGAGATGAGCACCGCAACTCCAGAGTTGGCCACAACTGGACCTAATGGTCAGGGGTCCCTTTACCTTTACCTATATTCAGGGATATTTTAAAAAATATTCCATAAATTGTATGAGATCTGCCCTCTTCTTCAAGCAGGATGTTCATTCCCTGGAATGAAGGAAGAGCAGAGACACATTCCTCCCCACCACAAACGAGAGGAGAAGGACTCACATAGCAGGATGAGGGCCACCAGAAGCACAATGAGGATTAAGATGCAGACAATGAGGGCCAACCTCTTCTGGCCCATCCTCCAAGACGCCTTGAACGTTGGAGTGGAGGAGGCTGCGGTTGGAGAAAGAAAAGAACCAGATTGGTTATGATTATGAAATACCCCTAAAACATCCAGCTTTGCTATGGTTAAGTCCGCACCATAGAAGGAAATTTTGGAGAGAGACTCTATTACAGCAAACCAGACTCACATGTCCAAGCAAAACTGAGTTGCAAGGAGCATCTGGCTAAATTAATTTGTCTCCTTTCGCTAAAGTCTGGACCATTCCTCTCTTATCATTTGTACATTTAAATGTAGAACTCCTTTGACAATATTCAACCAAGATACGGGGTCCCTCCTTCTACCAACAATAACTAATCAAGAAATTCAATAGTCCAAGGCTCAAGCAGAGCCCAAAATATAGTGTATTTCACCCATCTCTCCTGGACAACAGAAGAAGGTTTTCCGAGAAGACATTTTGCAAGCTTTTTTAAAAAGACAACCTCATCTTGACTAGCACTGTTTTAAAATCTTTACACCCATCCGCTGTCAGGAAAACAGGATTTACAGTCTTTGTTTCTGTATTAATTTCTGAAGGCCAATTAGGTTCCTCATTCTTGGGGAGACCTGCTTCCTTCTGTCCCCTGACTGTGCTCATTTCTTCCTTCTCTGTTGTGTTACCCTGAAATCTCAGAAGTCAAGAAGAGGAAGGGATGAGTTAACACTTTGCCTTACTCCATTAGCCCCTTGAAAGGTGCAGATGTTCTTGGCTCTGCCAGTCCTGCCTGGGATATACTATCCAGACTCCCCCACTTCAATATACATCCAGCAGCAGCAGGGGCTTCCATCAGGTGGCTTCCTTCTCCCCACCCCACCCTCCATCTTACCCCTTGAGGTCTCGCGAGCCACGCAGGGCACAGGAGCCAGTCTGGAGTCTGTAGGGTAGGGTCTGAAGGCAACTCCTCGAATGGTCTCTTCTGGTGGGGGAGGTTGGGCCACGATGGGCAGGACAGATGATGAGGCACAAGAGCTGGGATTCAGGTTGGCATGATGCACAGTTGGAGTTTCCTGCAGGTAAAAAGGGTTCAGACTGAATAAAGGGTTCTGAAAAGGGTCTCGGGTCATAGCTATTTCTCTGATGGAGCCAAAGGTCAACATGACTGAGGCCTTAAAAAAAACCTCACTCATGTTGGAGAAGGTCGCAGCTTCAATCCCTGGCATCTCCAGGTGGGGCTAGGATTGTCCACTGCCTGGAATTCTGGAGTGCCAGGCAATGTATAGAATTCTGACATATACTCAGCTTCCTATGCTCTGCTCTTAGCGTTCATCAGTAGCCCTGGAGAAATCCCACCATTTTTAGTAGGTCTGACCTTGAAGGCTATAGAAGCATCAAAGCAAAGGTGCCTCCATTGCAGGACCTGCCTGCCCACAAAGTGAGGTGAGGGGCAGGGCTGGATTGACCATTAAGCAAAATAAGCACAAGGGACGCGGGTGGTGCTGTGGGTTAAACCACAGAGCCTAGGACTTGCCGATCAGAAGGTTGGTGGTTCGAATCCCTGCGACAGGGTAAACGTCCGTTGCTCGGTCCCTGTTCCTGCCAACCTAGCAGTTTGAAAGCACGTCAAAGTGCAAGTAGATAAATAGGTACCGCTCCGGCGGGAAGGTAAATGGTGTTTCCGTGCACTGCTCTGGTTCGACAGAAGTGGCTTAGTCATGCTGGCCACATGATCTGGAAGCTATACGCTGGCTCCCTTGGCCAATAAAGCAAGATGAGCGCCGCAACCCCAGAGTGGGCCACGACCGGACCTAATGGTCAGGGGTCCCTTTACCTTTTTAAAATAAGCACATGCTTAGGGCATCAAGGGAAGGGTGGGGCACCGCATAAATTTTCCATTGCCGGATTTTTAGCATTAATGGTCATAAATTTTCCATTCATTTTCTCACTTGTAAGTATATTAAAAATCCCAACGGAATGGCTACGCAACAAGGCAGGCTGGATTCCTTATCTCTACTAAGTATAGAAGCAGATGTGTTGTGTAAGATTGGTTTTGAGGATCTGATCAAAGACTTTGCAATTAGAAAAAGTAGGAGAAATCCCCCCCCCAAATATAAATAAAGTGGAAGTATACAAAAATAAACATTATTTTCCATCTCGCTGCAGGTTTCATTTTGAAAAACTATAATTTAATTTTATGGTTTATTGTTGTTCATATTTTGAATTAGATATATATGGGGGCGCCGAAATCTTTTAAGTGCTTAGGGCCTCTAAAGGTCTTAATCTGGCCCTCATGAGGCAGATCTGGGCCCAAGGAGAACCCGGCCAGTCTTCTCCAATCCTGTACCACACTGCCATGCCCCCACTGCCGCCTCCTTTGCTGTGAGCATGCCCCCCCATGGAGGCAGGGGTAGGGCACAGTTCTGGAGGAGGGGGAGGCTGCGGGATGGAGCATTTTGCCCCAAGATGCAAAATGTCCCAGACCAGCCCTGTTCTATTGGCCAGGAGTCCAGGCTGCAAAGGGACCTCCAGAAATGTTTTCCTAAGCTGCTTCTTCAAGGGATGGGAACACAGGGCATCTTTGCAAAGAAGTCACCTGATCGATTCTGGTGTGACCTATATGTCTGCATCCAGTTACTGCAGATGGCTCCCCCTCAATGAGGCCACCTTGTTGAGTCAATCGTTAGTATCTGTTTGAGCAACCAAGGGAGGGGGGATTGGGTGCTTCAGTTCATGCACTTCCTTCCCTGAAAAGGCAGTGGCTGCCCCCACCTCTGCTTTGGGAACACACCTATAATAGCCAAGGACTGATTATTTGCATCTGCTTGCTACTGTCTTCCTTGTGGGCAAAGGCATGCAAGTCTCTTGGGCAAGAAGCCTGGGGTGCCTCCGGCCTGTCACTTTTCCATGAGGGATTCAAATGTGTTTGGGAACTTTAGGTTTGCACAGTTAAAGTGAATTAAAGGGCTCTGTCGCTCTAGCGCAGAAAATCCACTTCAAGAAAGCATTGAACTTTTTGCAGTTTGGAAAGTGACAGTGAAAAGCACTGGAAATGTGGGGTGATTGAATGTAGAAACACCGTGCGAGCACATTAGGATGAATTCAGGATAAATGTTAGCTGTTGTATAACAAAACAGAAGGAAGGCTCAATAAAGACCAGACTGAGTCCACATCCACACCCTCTATTCAAAATACTCTTATATCACTTTTACAGTTGTGGAGAATCCTGGGGATTGTAGTTTGTTAAGAATGGTGGATCTATGAACCCCACACCCTTAGCAAACTACAGTTCCCAGCATTCTTTGAAGGAAGCCATTGTTGTTAAAGTGTTGTAAGGGTGCTTCAATGGATTGTGTGGATATAACAGTAGTCTAACAACTGCATTAGCTTTGTGCAAACAAGCCAGGGCAAATAGATGCTCCATGTACAAGTCATCTGGAAGAGTCCAAAGTCAGAAATGTCTACTCACACAGGGTGAGGACTCAAGGCCAAGTTGCCAAGACTGAGAGGAAGCAGATCTGGGAGTATTTATAGCAGTGGCACCCAATTGGCCCTCTGCTGTCATTTGACTTCCTAGGCCGGGAGGCTTATGGGCTGTTTTGTACATGCTGTTAGAAATATAAAAGTTTAGGGGGCCACCAGGTGGCGCGTTGGAAGATGGCTGACAATAACATCTCTCTGACCCATACAAGGTACTAAGGGGCTACTATGGGAAGTATGTAGCCTTCCTGACTCCTCCAGGATGTGGAGGAGAACTGCCCTGCCAGCGGTGTTCACAATGCACCCCCTGAAACGAGTGATGGGGGTGCCGAACACTTGGCAAAAGGCCCTCGGTGAAGTCAGACCTTCCTGACGCCGATTCCAATCAGCGCGTGCTGGTTGCTTCAGCTGGAATTATAATTGGAAACACACGATTGGAAACGAAGCTGAAAGCACATACATCAAGTAAAGCTCGAAGACTGCTGATTAATGGATCTCTGCGACCAGGCGTGATGGATGGATAAGTAAATCTTCTGACGAATCACCATAAGGAGACTGTATGTTTGGAACGAAGGGGGGGTGGAGGAAAAAACTCTTTTTTTCTTTGCATGATGTGATATTAATAACCCTTCACCCCAGATAGAAACAAGATCGTCGCGTTTCTATGAATCACAGGCAGGACTTTAAGAACTATGTGGGACGGAGTATAAGGAAAAAAGACGGCAGAACGGTGAGAAAGGAAGAAATTTTTTATGACGCAGTTAAAAAAATGGCGTCTCGCCATGACAGGTTTACCGAGGAAGAAGGACTGGGGGAGGAGAATCAGGATTGTTTGAAAGAGAAGGAATGTTGGAATGTAAGTTTGACCTGACAGAACCCCCAGACTCATTTGTTATTTGGTAAGCCTGAGAAAAATAAAGGACAGATCGGAGATTAACTTTGTTTATGGAAGCGTTGTACAGAGGCTGTCCCGGATCGATATGATTTCTGAAAAAGTACAAAACCCACATAGAATGCCTGCTGTTATTCTGCTTGTGAAAATCATCAGAGATTGCAAAGAAAGGAAATTTATGATAACAACAAGAAGAGAAAAGAAGTAACAAAGGACTTTCCAGATCAAACTGGAGAGAACTGTCTAATTAATGCAGTAAGATAAGTGATGCTGTTTTGGACTCGAGCTGAGCTTGATGTATGGGTACCCCCAACAAAATTTAAAATTTGGCTGTATAATTTGGAATCAATGTGATAATGTGATGTGATTGGCCTGTTAATAAAAATTATTTTTTAAAAAAATAGAAATATAAAAGTTTAATGTAGTGAGTGCAATGTGCTACTTTGTATTCTGTTCTTAGTAATGTTTATAGGTAACTATGTAGTTTTAAGACTGTTCTGTAGCAAAGCTTTGAAACTCATTCTTGGGGCGGAAAGCTCAGTTATCCAGATCAGGGATTCTGCTGAACGACTCCAACATGTGCCCCAGCTGAAACTATCAGCAATTCCACCCCTCTGCCCTGCAGCAACTCTGGTAGTGCAGGGAGCAGGTGACCAGCAGTGCCTGAGAAATGATGATCCCAGTTCCAACCTGGCGCTTTTCTAAATGCAGGGATGCCTCCCAGGGCCATGGAATGCTGCTGGGCCATCATGTCACAACCAGGTGGAAAATTCTCTCTCTCTGATTCACTAACAACCTTATTAACTGGATCGCCATCATCTTTTTCACAAGCTGCTGCTAGCCCTGCTGTGGGGCTTATAAGCCTGGCGTTGTGTGTGGTGAAATGGGAGTGAGGGGAAGGTTTCACTCCCATGTCACTGCTGCAATTCAGTTTGCAGGACCTCCCTCCCATTACTGCTTTTAAGGGGAAATGAAATGGCCGAGAGACCCAGCCGCAGACCTCCTGTGTCATTCTGTCTCCTTTTTGGCCCCAATGCAAGCTTTGGTTTGGCCCTGACAAGCTCCAAGAGGGCTTCTCAGTCATCAGTGCCACATATAGGGAAAGGCAGCCCTCATGTCAAAGAAGAGACAGAAGAACAGGGAACTGGCTGTTTCTCCAAAGGGAAATAGTTCCTGCTCAAGACAAAGGAGGCACAGCCAGAACTTTCTGATTTCTAAGCTTTTGTCAGAGGGCCAGATAGAGTCTGCCTTCTGACTGTCAGCACAGCTTCCAAAGACCTGTTTCCTCTACGTGCATCAATACTTGAAGTTCTGATGGCTTTTCAGGCCTAGGATCTTGGGGCTAATCCTAAAAGGTGTTGAGCAGCATGAAGTCAGTGTGTAGAGGCTTCCGCTGAGTTGTGTGGCTAAATATATATAAGCAGACATGGACACACACACAGGCTGAACCCCTTGCCTCCTCCTTAAAAAAGGTGTGAATTGCTTGCACCCCTGGTCACAGCAGAAAGAGGGCAATTAGATATTTGGCACGGACCCCCACCAACATCATTTGGTCTAATTGGGAGGGAGGGGGAAGAAGCCCCCATCCATGAGGCCCACCTACCAATGCAAGCACCACAATGGGCACACTGTGGGGCCAACCTTTTCACCAGGATCTTGTCTTGGGGTTCTCCTTGCAGCTGTCCCAAACCATCTGCAAGCACCACCAGCCTCAGGACAGCTACCCTGAAGTCCTGCGGTTTTACCACCACCCACAGCAGCAATCCTGATTATTCAGCTCCAGGAAAAGGAAAACAATGGCTGTTGACGAAACATGAAAAGGAGGCAGAGGAGAACACCAGAATGTTTTGGCTCCTGGCCTGGCAGGTTTGAAAAGTTGCCAGAAAGCAGTAGGGGATGGGGAGATGCTCAGCATCTCCCCCAGGATACTATAAGGAGCAAAGGGCTTTGGTAACGAAGGAAGCCTGAGGTTCAGTCTTAGGAAGAAGGGCTTGCAAACAATATTGCACATTGGGCTAAGAAAACAAGTAGGGCTGGGCGGTATCTGGTTTTCAACATCAGGATCTATCACCAGCAACTGCCCCAGGATGCCAGCTGGTGGTGCTGAGGCTGCGAGGAAGGGAAAACAAGGAAGTATCAGGATGGGGAGAGCAGCCTTGTCTGTTGTCAGCCCCACAAGTGAGGTCTTTTTGCCCAGCTGGGATTCTCAGGACAAGGCTTAAGTCCACCTCCCCCCACCTCCAGCCTGTTGCCCTGTTTCAATCAGTCTCCGCCCCTCACCCCATGACCCACATCAAGGCCCCTGCATCTCCTCCTCTGTTGACTTACCAGGCTCGCTGGTCTCTCTTCCATGGCCTCTTCTCTCTGCCAGGCACTCTGGGTCACTGCCACCTCCCAGTGCCCATGGTGAACTGCCAAGGGTGGCCTTCCTGCTCACTCTTGGGCTGTGGATGCCAGCCAACCCAACGGAGTGGCAACTGTTCCGAATCGGGAGTCCGTCCGTCCGTCAGGCCTGCCTGCCTGCCTGGCTCACTCCCTGTTAGCTATGTGGCAACCACAGATGGAATCCAGGGAAGAAACTGGACCAACCTGAAGCGCTGCTGCTCAGCTCTGTGTTCCTTCCCTGCCAGATTCCCGGAGGCAGGTGGAAGGTGTTGCCCTTCAGGAGTGCTGGGATGGCCCCCACTGGGACAGCTCCCTCCTGGCTCAGAGAAGTGGCCCTTGAAACCCAGCTAGGGAGGCATCACACTGACCGCGCCATTAGCTCTTTGAGCCTGGAGCCTGCCTAGCCTTAGACCTTTAAAGAGCCTTCACAGGCAGGCAGGCAGTATCGGGGAGCCCCACCCACTTGAGGTCATCATCAGGAGCAGGGGAGGAGATGGTTTTCCTTGACTCAGGAGAGACAACAGCATGTCAGTTGGAAGGAGTAGCAGAAAGACAAATTACCTGGCCGCGGAAACCACCCTGGTCTGGGTCCTGCTGGGGAGCAGAATTTCTTTGGAAGCTGCTTCTGATCTCTGGAAGCCTCTCAATTGCCATTAACAGCACACAGAATTACAGTGGTACCTCGGGTTACAGACGCTTCAGGTTACAGACTCCGCTAACCCAGAAATAGTATCTCAGGTTAAGAGCTTTGCTTCAGGATGAGAACAGAAATTGTGCAGCGGCAGCGGGAGGCCCCATTAGCTAAAGTGGTGCTTCAGGTTAAGAACAGTTTCAGGTTAAGAACGGACCTCCGGAACGAATTAAGTTCTTAACCCGAGGTACCACTGTATTATTATTATTATTATTATTATTATTATTATTATTATTATTATTATTTTATTTATACCCCGCCCATCTGGCAGGGTTTCCCAAACCACTCTGGGCAGCTCCCAACAGAGGACTAAAAACAGAATAAAACTTCAAACATTAAAAACTTCCCTAAACAGGCGTGCCTTCAGATGTCTTCTAAAAGTCAGATAGTTGTTTATTTCATTGACTTCTGATGGGAGGGCGTTCCACAGGGTGGGCGCCCCTACCAAGAAGGCTCTCTGCCTGGTTCCCTGTAACCTCATTTACCGCAGGAACTGCAGTGATGGTATACTCTTTCCCTTTGGGTTCTTCTTCTTCTTTTTAGCCATTGCATCCCCAGCAAAGATGCAAGCCCCTTACAACCTTCCACATCTTTTGTTCACTTAGTCTCTGGGCTGCTGTCCTATCACCTGGCTTGCATCCAAAGGCAGCAGCTGGCAAAGGCTCAGTATCCTCCCTGGTTTAAGGACAGGTGTGTGCATGTCTGTATGTGTGTACGTGTGTGTGAATCCATGTTTGTGCTAAGGCAGAGTGAGTCAGCAGCGACCCCCAAGGCTGGGAGTTTGGATCCCTTGGTCTCATTCAGTTCTGCCTTTTGACAGACACTGGGCTCCCCAGAGAAGTTTGATTCAGCCAGACTGTCTTCTTCGATTGGGGAAGGGAGAAGGAGGTTCAAGGGGCAGGATGAGCTGGCTCCAGGGTGAAGAAACCATGGGAAAGAAATGCGAACGCAGATTGCAAACTGGGCTTCGGAGGTTGAGAAGGGATGTCTGGTTTGCACACACTCGATTCCTGTGTGAGTCTTGGGGATAAGGATCACTGTCACCCACCCTCAGTCTTTAAAAGAGGGAGGGGCATGAATCCAGATGTATCCACATGTATTTATTAATATTTGTTATATTTGAGGAATATATACTCCGCCTCTTTTTTTAAAAAAAAAATCCTTGCATGGCTTCCAGAATCTTAAAACACCACAAAATGGATTTAATTATATATTAAAATACATATACAAAACCTCAGAAAAATCACTAGAAACACCATTAAAAAACAGCAAACCCTGGCAAGTCAAAATGAAACAGACTGAACTAAAAGACAGGATAAAATAAAGAAACACCTTTGCCTGGCACTGAAATGACATCAGGATAGGAATTAGCCAGGCAAGCCTCTCTGAGATGAGTATTTATTATTACTACTACTACTATTATTGCAAGGAGCTCAAGGTGGCATACGTAGTTCTCCCCCTTCCCATTTTATCCTCACAACAACCCTTCGAAGTAGGTTAGGCTGAAAGTGAGTGCGCTTCATTGTTGTGTGAAGATTTGAACCCTGGTCTCCCAGATCGCAGTCCGACACTTTAAGCACGCTGAAGCAAGTCCGAGTGCAGCAAATGATAGATTATTTACATTTATTATAAGATTACCACTAGGGGGTATTTACCTCAGGTAGCCTTGTGTTACCGACAACTCATCTCGGCATCTCAAAAAAATATGTTGGGCATCTCAGAAGAGGATGGTGTTTCACATAAGTGGGGCCACTACTGACAAGGCTCTTCCTTGGCTGCCAGCTGCTGTACATATGATGGGGAGAGACCCCCAAAGAAGGGTCTCTGGTGAGGAGCTTGCTGTATGGACAACAGAGGCAACCCATCTCTCCAGCCAAGTACCATGACTAAACGCTCAGAGATGTGTTTTTGACCAAAAGGTCCTGAGTAAATGTAGCAGAGTCACAGAATAAAGGGAAGGCTTCTTGGATGAGTCAGTAGCAGATGAAAGGCCTCTTCTGTACTAAGTCCAGCGGGGGACGTCTGAGCCCTGTCCTTGCCTGCCACCAGGCTCAGTTGGTCATCCTGAGCACTGTTCGATGTTTTGCTGAGGTGCCTTTCCCAAGCACCAGCCTTACACAACCGGTTGATCGTCTTGTCTGGCAGAGCAGAGGGAGGCCGGAAGCACCTGAGGACGAGGAAGCCAATTACTGCTCTTACGTGGCAAAAGCATTACGAAAGCTGCTTCCCAGTTCACTCATCATACTGATGGGCTGGTGTCACAAGCTCCCACAGAAGATACATTGGCAAAGACGGTTTCGGCCAGCCTACTCTGCAAGATGCAAAGGCAACGTCAGGCAGAGTTAGGCAGCTGTTCCTGCCTCTTCAAGCCTCCAGCCCATCTCTGTCTCTCACTGGGAGCTGAGTTGCAACAAAGAACAGGAGCAAGGCTCAGATTTGGAAAGGCTCCTCGTTGCCATGGGAGCATATTTACATATTTACATATAAGCTAAACAAGCTATAGCTTAGGGCCCCACTCTCTTTGGGGCCCCAAAAAATTTAAAGGGGGGAAAAACTGGATGCACATTTCCAAAATATAATATAAAAAACAAATAAAATAAAATCTACATACAGCAACAGTGTTTTGTTTTGTGTAGGCTCCTATGATGTAAATAATGGGCCCCACCTGCTAGCCTGCTCCCTAAAATATCACTGGTTTGCTCATTTCTATATACAGGGTACCTACATTCTGCATGGACTGTTATGGGCAAATGGCTTTAGATACCTATTAGGTCCATAAAGCATATATTCAACACAAAGGACAGCGACAATTTGTTGTTGACAAAGGACAGCTGGACATATAAAGGGCCCCATTACCTTCAGTAGCTTAGGAACTCATCAAACCTAAATCTGGCCCTGCATGGGAGCCCTTGCTCTCACAGCGCCAAAGTTGTGAGGGCTGACCACAGTTATGCAATGGCATTCTACACATGCTCAGAGACACCCTACGTATTGTGACTCCACATATGTGCACAGCCTGTGCCAAGTTTACATTGAGCATTTGTTCCAGTTTGTTTACAGGGCAGTTATTAAAAGAATAAGCACTCGCCCTGATTTCCTTGTGGGGTGCTGACACATCTTCCAAGTAATCACTCACTCACCCTATATTTCTCTGTGCATTCCCCCAACACTTTCCTGACTTAAAATGTACCCCGCAGAAGGGATTAAAGTACATACAACTGAAGAGGACTAAAGAGATCTATCGCCCAAGCAGAATAAATCCCACACACACAAAACTGGACTTTTTGCAGTTTAGAAAGTGATGGGAGTCTGCATTTTGAAGTGTGGGGTAATGAATTACCAATGGGAAGATATATGAACCCTCTGCAAGGACATCAGGATGAATGCTCAGTGAAGACCAGATATATTCTAACCTCCATGTAAGCTTTGTGCTAGCAACTCAAAATAAATCCTCAATAGGTCATCTGAAGGAACTTCAAATATCACTTTGGGTTGGGTTTTCTTTTCCTGTGGACATTATTATTATTATTATTATTATTATTTATGTATTTATATTCTGTCTCCCCACCCCCCAGACAGGGACTTGTTGTGCTAGGGCAACATAGCACTTTAATCCATGTTAATTGCACAAAACCTAAAGTTTCAATATGCACCCCAACCCCTCCCACACAGTATTTACAGTTTGGACAGAACTATAATTATTTTCCGTGTTTGTACAGTAGTACCTCAGGTTACATACGCTTCAGGTTACAGACTCCGCTAACCCAGAAATAGTGCTTCAGGTTAAGAACTTTGCTTCAGGATGAGAACAGAAATCGTGCTCTGGCGGCACAGCAGCAGCAGGAGGCCCCATTAGCTAAAGTGGTGCTTCAGGTTAAGAACAGTTTCAGGTTAAGTATGGACCTCCGGAACGAATTACGTACTTAACCCGAGGTACCACTGTATTAGTGCTTTTGAGTGTTTGAAGTGCTATGCCCAGTGGTGCATGCTTCAGCTGCTCACAACAGGCCTGTAAGGCAGGCTGCTGATACATTATTGTCCCATATTGCAGATACGGGGGCAGAGACAGAGAGTACTTTTGGGGGCAGCTACCGTTTCACCAACAGAAAGAGCTGGTTCCAGAGCCATTGAATCCGACAGGAGGAGGCTAGGGTCCCAGTTACAGAAGGTAGAAGCCTTCACCAAAGTATGCACCAAGGAGGGCAGTAGGGCAACACAGTCCAAACAAGCCAAGGTCAAGCGCAGTGAGTCAGACTAAGTCCAAACATGACCCAGAGACAAAGTCAGGCAGCAACTCCAGGGTCAATATCACAGGGAGCTGAAGGCAGATACAGAAGACAGGAGGTCAAGACTCAGGAGCAAGGACCCAGAGACTTGTGCTGCTGTTAGCAAGAGGGGAATCTCATCTGCTCTGGCCTTCCCCTTAAGTACAGCTGCAACAGGGATCACTTACTCACAAGAAGACCAACAACTAGGGCTGTGTGGTTTGCTTTGTGGCCTGGAACCAAAGATGTTGTTGCTGGCGCTCTCAAAGACAGGGTGAGTCTGCTCCTTCCTCTGACCATTCCATCATCCAGTATAAACTGGGAGCTGGGGGAATTCAAAGGGTCCCTCAGAACTGAATGCAGGGAGCCCTGCCTGCTCCTTAAGATCCTCAACCTGTGGCGTGTCTGATTCATCCTCTGAGGACTCCATGTCTGGTATCAGGCCAGGGCTAGGGCACTAGGCAGGATATTGGTAATTGTGCGTGTCACAGAACTTATGGGATAGGATGGCAAAGGTTTATGTATGGGGTTGCCAGCTGGTTGCTCCAGCAGGGCTCCTGTACTTTGGACAGCTGCATAGCAGAGAGAAGAGCAGCATGTGAGGTGTTCCTTAGGGTGGCCGTTCCACACTGGGAACACCTTCATCTGTTGCTGTCCATCCTGGAGCTCACCTGGGGCAAGCAGGTTTGATGTTGGTGTCTGGAGTGTTAAGATAATGTCCCTGTTGGGCTTCTAAGTGTTATTGATGCACTGTACTCAAATTCCTTTAGGGGGGCGGGTGAGGTCAGGCAGTTTTGTAGGAGCTTTCTCCAGTTTCCCATCTCCAGAGCTCCCCCTGGTGAGCTCTAAGGGTATATGGCAGGAGGACTGAGAAATGGAGCTCCATGTGCAGCCTCTGTGGCAGTGGTTTTCAACCAGTGGACCATGGCACCCTGGGGCGCCTTTTTCTAATTGCAAAGTCCATGGTAAATCCAGCAATTGAATATTTCTGCGGTCCCCGCCTTCCCTTGATGTCTGAGCAAGTGCTTATTTTGCTTAATGGTTAATCCAGCCATTGGTGTAGCTGCAGGGATTGGGGGGCGGGGCAGGTTTTTGTTAGGGTATTGATTGGCAGGCAGCTGCCCCCCTGCCCCCCCACATGAATCCAGCCCTGCCATCCCCTCCGTACCCCTCTGCTCTGCTGCCTCTTTCGTTTCTCGAAGCGCTGCTTCTTTCTTCTAAGCCTCTCTCTTTTCCCCCTTCCCCATTTCGGTTGTTGTTTTCGCTCTGGGGTTTCCTGTGGAACTGTGGCGGGTGGGGAGGAAGAAGAAGCCGGCCGAGACTGCAGTTTGGGTTTCTCCCAGCTGCTCCAAAGCAGAGGGGAAGTTGAGCCCTTTCTTCTTCCCCGACCCGACGGCAATCGCTGCCTGAGGAGAGACGTGCCGCTTCTGACCGGTTGGGGGTGGGGTGGAGCCTTTTCATCAAGACCCATGATGTGACCAGTGGTCCGGTGACGTCATCCTGAAAACTCGAGACAGGGACTGTTAGGATTCCCTCCGGCCAAAAGTCAGAAAGACGGCAGTGGCAGCCACAGGGCACGTGAGAGGTGGCATTTCGCTTCCAGACAGAGGGCCTTCTCAGTAGTGGCGCCCGCACTGTGAAATGCCCTCCCTTCAGATGTGAAGGAAATAAGCAGCTATCTTATCTTTGAAAGACATCTGAAGGCAGCCCTGTTTAGTTTTTAATATTTAATGCTGTATTGTTTTTAACACTTGATTGGAAGCCGCCCAGAGTGGCTGGGGAAACTCAGCCAGATTGGGCGGGATATAAATAATAAATAATAAATAAATTATTATTATTATTATTATTATTATTATTATTCCCACCCGCCCCTACGCCCCTGTGTGTTGTCACCTTATCCTCGCCAGCCCCTGAAACTGAAGCTGAAGCTGGGAGGTGGACTTTAGCTGTGACACCCCCACACCCACACCCACACTTGGCTTTCCCCAACAATATACGAGGCAAACACAGGCGCACGCACTAAATCTGAGTCACGGGTCAGTATTAGAACGTGTGGAAGATTATCAAGGGGCGCGCGTGGACTTACTTCCCTTCGGAGCTTGGACGCGCTTCTGTGAGGAGGGGCAGCGGCAGGGACCCTGACGACTAGCGAAAGAAGAGCCCTGCTGGGGGAGAGGAAGGAAAGACCCCCGACAGCCCCCAGAGGGACACCGTCTCCCTTCTTCTGGGCAGAATCCCCTGGGAAACCCTTTCGTTGGATGACAACACCCACTCCAGGCCTAGCATAGTGAGCAGGGGGGAGGAAGTCCACCCCCCCACCTCCACTTTCTACACAGCATACTAAACCTCAATGGTCTCTCCCCAGCTCCCATGAGCGTAGCCAGGGGGGCCGCTGCCCCCCTAAATCAAGTAAAAAAGAAAAAGCTAAATTGAAAGTAGAATTAATCATGATATTTGAAACTGAAATGCTCGCTGAGGTCAAAGGAATTAAGTGACTTAAATGAAAGTAATTTAAAACAACTGTGGTTGAGACATTTCATTCCGAATCTACTAGACAGAGACAGACAAGAGGATGGTGACAGGGGGCATCCTGACGCCCCCCAGCATAAATACTGGTTACGCCCATGCCGCCCCATCAATAATACACCCCTAAACGCTTCCGCGTGCGCACCAGTCGAAAAGGCTCTCCGCCCCACAACTAGTGAAATTTCCTCTTTGGCAGGGCTTGGCAAGGACACTGCACACACCCACAGCCCACTGGAAACTGACATGTGGACTCCACCCCGCCCAGGGCCAGATTTATGTTTGAGGAGGCCCTAAGCTACTGAAGGTAATGGGGCCCTTTATATATCCAGCTGTCCTTAAAGGTAAAGGTAAAGGGACCCCTGACCATTAGGTCCAGTTGTGACCGACTCTGGGGTTGCAGCACTCATCTCGCTTTATTGGCCGAGGGAGCCGGTGTACAGCTTCCGGATCATGTGGCCAGCGTGACTAAGCCGCTTCTGGCGAACCAGAGCAGCACACGGAAACGCTGTTTACCTTCCCGACGGAGCGGTACCTATTTATCTACTTGCATTTTGACGTGCTTTCAAACTGCTAGGTTGGCAGGAGCAGGGACCAAGCAACAGGAGCTCACCCCGTCGTGGGGATTCAAACCACCGACCTTCTGATCAGCAAGTCCTAGGCTCTGTGGTTTAACCCACAGCACCAGCTGTCCTTAGTCAACAAGAAGTTGCTGCTGTTTTTTGTGTTGAATATATGTTATATGGTAATTTATGGACCTAATAGGTATCTAAAGCCATTTGCACATAACAAAATGTGTATTTTATCAAGGTAATTGTTGAACTGAAATACAATTAAGAAGAAATATATTAATAGTGAAATACAATTAAGAAGTATATTGATATTGTTGTTTGTGCTGTACTTTTGTACTGTTTTATTGTTGTTAGCCGCCCTGAGCCCGGCTTCGGCTGGGGAGGGCGGGATATAAATAAAATTTATTATTATTATTATTATTATTAGTGATAGTGATATTTTAGGGAGCAGGCTAGCAGGCAGGGCCCATTACTTACATCATAGGAGTCTACGCAACACAAAACACTTGCTGTATGTAGGTTTTATTTTATTTGTTTTTAATCTTTTTTTTTGGAAATGTACTTTTTTTTTCTTTAATTTTTTTTGGGGGGGCCCAAGAGAGTGGGGCCCTAAGCTATAGCTTGTTTAGGTAATATGTAACTCTGGCACTGATCCCGCCCTACAGATATTCCGCCACAGCACCCAAGAAAGGGCTGAGCAGCTGCCAGTCAGGAGCCTCAACAGACACCTGCAAACAGCAGCAGTAGGGATGGAAGCAGAGAACTGTAGAGTGGGAAGGGGCGCTGAGGATAATCCAGTGATTTTCTAGAATTTCTAGTCCAACCCGCTGAGATAGCTCAGTCAGTAGGCTCTTAATTTCAGGGCCCTGGGTTCATATCCCACATTGGGCAAGAAGAGACCTGCATTTCAGGGGGTTGGGCTAGATGACCATCGGGGTCCCTTCCAACCTCATGATTCTATTCTAACCCCCTGCAATGCAGGGATATGCAGCTGCCCCAGGGATCAAACCTGCAGCCTTTGCATCATTAGCACCATGCTCTAACCAACTGAGCTATGCAGGCCAGCAGTCATAGTGGTTTTATGCTGGAAATTAGGCGAGGGTCTGATGCTTGACTCATGGGATTCCCGTGTATGGACTGTTGGGTTAGCAGAAAAACTGGCATGTCACCTGCATGTTGTCAGATCTACGAAGACAACAAAACAACAAAAATAAATATAATAATAATAATAATAATAATAATAATAATAATAATAATAATTTATATCCTGGTTGGGTTTCCCCAGCCACTCTGAACTGCTTGCAACAGAATATTAAATACACGATAAAACGTCAAACATTAAAAACTTCCCTAGACAGTGCTGCCTTCATATGTCTTCTAAAAGTCAGATGGTTGTTTATTTCCTTGACATCTGATGGGAGGGTGTTCTACAGGGGTTCCCTGTAACTTCACTTCTCGCAGCGAGGGAACCGCCAGGAGGCCCTCGAGGCTGGACCTCAGTGTCCGGCCTGAACAATGGGGGTGGAGACGCTCCTTCAGGTATACTGGCCATTTAGGGCTTTAAAGGTCAGCACCAACCCTTTGAATTGTGCTCGGAAACGTACTGGCATAAACTCACAATCGCACGGAAATCTTTGGAAAGGCCTACTGGCGTGAAATAGTAGTTATGCTGTATGAGTTAACGCTCCTTTGGAACTCACCGGGACTGCTTTCAATGGAACAACCGTTAATTTGTATTTTGCTATGATTTGTTAATTCATTTCTCAAACTTTTAATAAAAATGCGTTGTTGTTTTTTTAAAAACACCTGCAGATAGTGAAGAGGAGACCGGGTGGAGGGATCCGCCTGCAGTGTTGGGCCGCAGGTTCTCCCGCGGCTCAGTCCCCAATCCAGAAGTGCTCTCTCGCCTCCTTAGGGGGACGCGCCGCCGGGCTGCCCAGAGAAACAGCGGGACATTCCCCGAGGGAGGTGGCGTAGGCGGGGATTGCCCCGAGGGAAGCGAAAAACGTTGCCCGCGCTTCCCTCCCGCCCACCTCGCAGCCTCGCTCACTCGCTGGCCCGCAGCCGCCTGGATTGGAGGGACGGGGCAATGCTCTTGGCGGCGCTTCTGCTGCTCCTCCTGCGCTGCCTTCGGGGACACGGTGAGGATCCCGGGCAGGAGAGGGTCGCGAGACCTGACGGGGCGTGGGGCTTGGGTTTCTGATCCAGCCGCGGGGCTCTCCTTGCCTTCTGAGGGTGCCAAGTCTGGGTCTCTCCGTGGCCGCGCCCTCCTCCTCTGGAGTAGAGCGGGCGGAAGATTCCCTGGCCCGCCTGGAGCCCTGGCTTGGTCCCTCTTGGGCTCACCGCGGTGCCTAGCTAACCGAGGACCATCAGTCGGTAACTGCTGCCTTTACAGGAGGGAAGATCCCAGCCCCGCCCGAGCGCGTGAGATTCGTGGCCGAGACCTTTCAGCACGAGCTGCGCTGGGAGCCCCCGAGCACCGGACACGGGCTCTTCCTGTACGACGTCCAGTACATGCGGTAAGAAGGGAAAGGGCCGTCGCGGGAGGCACTGGGGGTCTTGGTGGGACATCTGCACCGGCCGTCTTAAGTGTGGAAGGGTCTCTGTCGACATCCAAGGCAAACCCCCCGCCCTGTCGCCACTCCGGCCTCCTCCTCTCCGCTCACCCGCTTCGCCCGGTCCTCTCTTGCAGATACGGCAAGGTCGGCGGCTGGAACCCAGCGCTGAACTGCACGCGCGTCCGGAGCCACTCCTGCGACCTCTCCTATGAGACGCGGGAGCCCTCGAAGTTCTACTACGCCAGAGTCCGGACGGTGACCGGGACGCGCGTTTCCAACTGGACCCAGACGACTCGCTTCGGTCCCAAGACAGGTAGCCGCCCCACCCCTAGGAAACCGACAGTTGTGGATGAACCGCGCCGGAGATTCCGGATTGGGGGCTGGTGCGCTTGACCAGCCCCGCCGTCGGGCAAGGAGATGCGCGCTCCCCGCACGACAGCAGCGAGGAAAGGGCTTTGGACTGATGGTGGAGAGGCTGCTGTGCATGAGGAGGTCCCAATCCCCACGGGCATCTCCGAGCAGGGGCGGCAGGGACTCTCCTGCCTAGAGAGCCGCTGCCAGTCAGTGTAGGCAATGCTGAGTTAGATGGACCCATAAAGGCAGCTTTCTAACGTTGCAATCCTGGGTGGCTGGCCGCCTCCCAGAGCCCTCTGCCTCCCTGGTCTGTGTCCCATTGTGTTTATGTTTAAAATTGCTGCTTAGCCTATTTCTCCAAAGTGGCTAACAGACTGTGACAAGAAACGGAATAAAACAAACATAATCCCTAAAAAGAAACTTCAATGTACATTCAAATCACGAAATTAGTAAGACTTGAAGATGCTATCACTGCAACCATGCATAGTTAATACAATTTGTGACCTTGCTGTCTGTTCTTGGTTTGTTATTTTGTGTTGTTTGTTTTCCTAGCTGCAAAGAAATATCTATTTTTAATGACTAAATTAATAAATATCCAAATCTATTTAACAAATCCCAGCAGCACAATAATAATGCAGAGCTGAGGAAGCAGAACCGCAACATTATAAGTCAGGCCTGTTTAAAAAATTGCAAGCATCCTGGGTGTCCGCGCACCCCAGGAAACATGAAAGGCCATTGGAGTTTGGGATGGGAACAGCTCTTCACCAGCATGGCTGAAGGGTTTTTCCAGCTTCTTTGTTTTACAGGATCTGGGTCCAGGCTTTGTCAAGGGGTGACTGTCACCCACACCTCCCTTGCTCAATAGATGTGGACAAATAGTCGTGAGAAGGGTAGAGGGCAAATTCCCCAGTTTAGGACAACAGCATTTTCCTAACCTTGGAACATCACACTCAGGCAGTTTTTAAAATTCCCCCAGCAGAAATTCCCATTAATTCTTTGTGGTTGTTTCATTTTCCCAGCAACTCCTCGACTGGCAGGAGTGAGCCTCTCACTTTCCCACAACGTGATCCAAGTCAAGCTGCAACCTCCCACCAGCAGGTGGCACAATATAACCTATGAGGACCTCTACCAGTCGGAGGAATACCATGTCCATATCCGGAAGGTGTCTGACAATATCCAGGTAAGGCTGTGGTGGATGGCAGGGCACCCTGGCTGGAAGAGTTCAGGGGGAAGGTCTGCCTGTGGTGGGGGTGGGAGAGCACCCAGCTGCAGCACCCACTTTGCCGTCCCTCCTTCTGCTCTGCTGGCCTCTGGGGGCGCTCTCTCTGGATGGGCATTGCACACTCTGGCAGGGAACCTGTCCTAGGTGGCCCCTTCTGTTCCCAGAGGAAGCCCTCTGGTGGTATACTAGGGAGGGAGGCAGTTGCTGAAGGTTCCAGGTGCTTCCCACAAAGAAGAGAAGGGCCAGGGCCAGCCCCTTTGGCATAGGGAGGGCTGGCCTCTTTGAGGATGTAGGGGGCAGAGGAGACACCCTTGGCACTGACTGGGACTTGGCTAGAGCCGGATATCATTGGCCAACCTGGTGAACTCTGGCTGGAGTTGGACTGAGCTGGACTGACAACTCTCACATTATTTTCTGCAGTTTGAGTATGTTGAGACCAACCTGGAGTTTAACCTCTCATCGCTGTCGTGGGGAGAGCGCTACTGCATCAGTGTGGAGCCACGGGTGGTCTCCCAGCCAAGTCCTGGCAAGAGGACAGAGGAGCAGTGTATCTCAATACCCACTGAGGAAGGTGAGGCTCCAGTCCCCTTCCTCCTCAGCCCCCCCCCCTTACTGTTCTTCTGTGTGGCAGAGTGAGAGAGAGAGGATGGAGATCAACAGGTACCAAAAAGAGAATGGGGGAGGCGGGGAAGGAAGAGAGATCCACTGGAGGGGATTGCAAAGGCAAGCTGGGCCCAATAAAGCAGCCCAGTTAAATGCTTGGCGATGAGTCAACAGCAGGAGACACTGGAAGCACCTCCCAGGTAGCTAATGACCCTGCCCTCTGCATCTGCGACAAAGCATCCACAGGGTTGCTGTTCATAGGATCATAACATTGTAGAGCTGGAACGAACCACGAGAGCCATCTAGTCCACTCCCCTGCAATGCAGTGCATGGGGCTCAAACCCATGATCCTGAGATTAAGAGTCTCACTCTCTACCAGCTGAGCTCTTAAGCTACAACCCTTTTTTCTCTCTCCATAGCATGTGTCTCTGACACATTTGCATCTGCACACATTCTCATGTAAGGAACCTAGCTGCGCCAGTCCCTTCCTTCACCTCCTCAAGGAAGCTTGGTTCATTGCGGAGGGCAGGGGGAGGGAGGCAAGAGAGCCAGTGCATACAGAGAGGAATGGAGGGGACACAGACTCAGGTCCCACAGTTGATTCTCCAGGTAGTCCTGTCTCTACAATGCACTTAGCAATCTCCTGCAGATGCCTGTATAACTCCCCCATCAGGCCTTCCGGTTGAATAATCAGGGGCCGCTGCTCTCTTCTTTGCAGACCATGTAAGATCCATCCTCATCTCCAGCATGGCCCTCCTGACGGTGATCGTCCTCTGTGGCCTGGGACTGGGAGCAGCCTGTGCCTATGTGAGGAAACCCAAAGAGGCACCTCTCTTACTGGTAAGTGCTTCATAGGGAGGTTCAGAGCCTTCTCTCCCTATGGGTAGTCCAACTGTACAGGCAAAATAGGAAACTGAATCCCAGGGGTGCTTCTGCGGCCATGGAAAAGTCTTGAAGAGAGAGTCGCTGCCTGCACTTCTGTAGAAGGCAACCCAGAGGGGGATGAGCAGCTCATCAACTGCGTAGGACTTAGCCCGCACATTCAGGGTCCCTTCTGCACCTCCCCACCTATTTATTAAGAGCACCTAGCTGTCTTTCAGGGAGTGCTTATAAAAGAAAACCAGGTTTATGTAGGGCAAAGCCATAGAAAATAAGTTGCTAATATTGCTATTTTGCAGATAGGGATTGAGGCTGAGAGATACCGACCTATCCACGCTGAGTGCCTGACTGGGGGTGGGACTCAAACTCACATCTTCCAGCCCCACAAGAGCTGTCTCTCTACCACCAAATTCTTTACTTCCCTTGGGTGGATTCAGTTCCTTATCGAGCAAGAAGCTGGTTCTATCATTAGGCAAAGGGTGGCAGGGGGTGGAGTGGGCATCAGCTGTGAGGTCTTAGAAGACACTGTTGTGTGCTGCCCCTCCCCCAAGCTACCTTCCTGTCTTCAGCTGCAACTGGGGGTGGGGGCGGGCATCCTCTCGTTTTTTACTTGGATTCAACTGACAACCCAGTCAGCTTAGATAACTGGAAGGGGGGAGGCTCCCTGTCCTTTGCCTCAGGCAACGAAGTGTCATGCTCCAGGGGTGCCCTCAGGGGTGAGGGTCTCAGTCCAAGGAAGGGAAAGACTTTTCTCAACACACTTTCCCAAGGGTGCAAGGTAGCCTCAACAAGTCCAAGTCAAGCACAGAGAATCAGTCTAGGTCCAACACGTGCTCCAGAAGCAAGGACAGGACACAGTCCAAGGTCAATACCGCAGAAGGTGCAGCTAGGCAGAGCAGTGAAATAGCAGAGACCTGCCTTGTTTCCAGCAACTGGAAGGGTCCAGAGGGACGCCTTACATACTCCAGCCTCCTAAACATTGCCCTAACCACAGTGTTGCCAGTGAAGGAATATCGGGAATTGCTTACCAACAACTGGGTCTGTAGATGGTGCCAGCAATCTTTGACCTGGACCCAAAGTTCTTGGCATCCCTACTGGTCGATGGGGTAATTCCACCTCCTCTTCTGACAGTCCCAGGGGTCCTTCATCAGGTATCGACATGTGGCTGAGGGAAGGGGCTTAGCAGGATCCTTAGCATTGGATTCATGGGGTGCTGCCCGCTCCCCACTTAGTGCCTGGCACCAGGTCTGGGCTGCTCAAGACTGGCAGGTGAGTGAGTGAGTGAGAAGGACTCCCTGCCCCTCCAACCTGGCAAAGAGGAAGGAATATTGAGCAGAGTCTCAGATACAGGCTTTGGTTTCTGAAAGGCCCTTCCAGCTGTGACCAGCACCTGGTTGGCGGAAGTGTACAGAAGCCAGAAAGCCACAACTCAAATATTTTCTTTCCGCCTCCCAGAAATCTCCCGTAAAGCACAGTCTGCACTGGGTGCCAAAGGAGAAGTCTCCACTCGGGATGCAAGACTTGGTATCGTGCTTAGAGGTGGATGCCATCCAGCCGCTCTCCTCTGTGGGACCGAAGGACCCTGTCCATCCTGACAGCACAAAGTGTGGAATGGAAGCAGCACCAGTACCACTGAGAGGTTGCTTCTGGCTGCCAACGCTGCTAACACAGGGTGCAGTGCTCAGGGACCTGATGGACAGCAGCGGCTGCAGCACAGACAGTGGCATCTGCCTGCAGGATCCTTCCGGCAGCCTGGGGAGGCTGTCTCTGGGAAGCAGTGAAGAGGGAGGCACCCAAGAGGACGAGATGGGTGGCCTCAGCAGGGAGGAGCGGCTCTTGCTGGAGGCTCCCTCTTCTTCCAGTGGGGCAGAGCAGGTGGCTCCAGAAGCTGAGGACCCACCCAAGGCCCAGATATTTTCTGGGTACCAGAAGCAGTCAGAGACACCTTCAGAGCTATTGGGCTGCTCCCAGCCTCCCCTCAGCACAGAGGAGATGACCCCTTTGGAGCCCGTCTTGGCTACTGGGTACTTGAAACAGGCCTCCGTCTGTGCTCCCTCTGGCCTTGCGAGGGACGGGACTCTTACCAATGACTTTCTTGGCACAACAGAGCAACAGAAAGAGCCCTACCCTGCCAGCATCCCCCTGAAGCAGCTGGGATTGCCCCCTGAATTCCCCAAGACCCTCTTGGCGTTGGGCTTCTTTGAGCAAGAGCTGGTGAGCCCCTCTTCACACATCTCCCCACAAGCGAACTCTGTGCCACAGCTGAGCCTCGGTGTCCCGACCCTCCTGCAGTACTGGGTACAAGGACTGCCTCCCAATAAGCTGAGTCAATGGGAGATAGCACAGCTCTAATGCAGCCACACAGAGAGGTGGGGGCTGCACCGTGGAAGGGACAGGATCGGGGACCCTCCTGACTGTCCCTTTCTGTTGGGCAGATAGAGCTCTAGTCCTGACATCCCTTCCCCATGATACACTTTTCCTCTGTCCCCAAAACCCATACGTGTAAACCGGCATGTTTTATTCTAGTCACAGGCATAAAACATGCAGCAGGAAGGAGGCTGATGATGCCAGATGTTTCTGAGAAGCTCTGGGACCCGAATGCAAGAAGGGAGGTCAAGGCAGTGGTGCATGTCTGCCTGAAAAGGTCTGCAGCAACTAGAGGAAGGTAGCTGTGGGCGGTGGAAGGAGACGACACTTCACACATCATTGGGGTTGTCTCTGCAACACTGAGCACTGGTGGCTTGTTGCAGGCAACAGCTGCAGTGTCTTCAGGATGTGTGTGTGTGTGTCCTTTCCTACAAAGAGCGCAGAGATTCCTCAGCTGCCTACCATTCATTTTGGGGCAGACATCATTACCCTCGCATTTCGCTTTGGAGACAGAAAGGATGGTGACCCCATCATAAGCAATAGACACAGACTCAGCAGGACTGGCCTGTGCCTTTCTGAAGTGGAGGTCCCTTTGCTGGCCCTGAGCCAACCTGCCACCCCCTCCCCGTCCCTGTACAGCAGTGAGAAGCCTTGAGCCCAGAAAGCCCAGTTTCAGCCTCTGATGTCAGCCAGAGGTGCTCAGAGACGAAGGAAGCAGTTGGATCTGCCCTTGGCAGCAGCAAAGGGCCCTTCCAGACGATTCAGAAGATGGACTTGCCTCCTCCTTAGTGAGGGAACTTGCACTAGCCCAGATTCAGCCCCCTTTGCAATGCCAGGGCCAGCCAAGGATGCCCTGCCTTGGCCACTGATGTGAAGGGTGCTAAGAAATATATTTGTTCAGCTGGGCACTGGCTTCCATGCCCAAGCTCACCTTGCCAGCCCTACATTTCCTTAGGAAGAGGATTCAGTGAGCTTCTTTCAGGATTATTACGATTATAGGGAGGTCGCTAAATGTTCAAAATATTTTGTACAAACTGACTTTATTTATTTTATTTATTTTGTAAATCTATTTGGAGCATACAAGGTTTTTTAAAAAATCAATGTATTTCAGTGTATTTATTTATTTAAAATGCCATGCCACTTTGAAGCGTTGCTTTGGGATGAAAACCCTCCGTGAAGCACCCAAGGACCAGGTACTTGCATTTGTGCACAACTGCTCACCTGGCAGGTGCTGGTCAGATGCAGAGGCTCCTGGTCTGGCGAATGGTCTTGCTCTGTGCACTTCACAGCTCCCAGAGCTGGTGACGGTTCCTTTTCCTACTGATGTCTTGTGGACTGCAAGCACACTAATGTCCTGAGTAGCTAAATGTACCCTCCCTTTAGGTACATTTGCAAATGCAAGCTTTTGCCCCCAAGTGGAAAGATCAGGTGACTGCTCTGCACATACATCAGAATGACTGCACCAGACCACTTCAGACTGCAGCGGGTGTGGGCAGCACATCTGGAAGAATAGGTCTGTCCCAGCCCTAGCGATGGCACCTTCTTTTCTATTGCTAGGAACTTTTAAACTTAGGGGAACATTTCAAACTGTTGAGCACCCCTCTGCCCTCTGAAGTGGCACAGTCCAGCCCACAGCCACTTGCAGCTGTACCTGCCAACCATCCTATGAGCCAAATCCACAAGGGCAGCCTTTAGTTTGTTTTGATGCAACGAGGAGGTGAAACTTCTCCCCTAGCATGGGCAGAGAGCCACAGGGGAGTTGTGCTTTGCAGCTGGCTCTAAACTTAATCCACCCCTAAAGAATAAGACACAGCTGTATTTGGCAAGCAAGACTATTAACAGCAATAGCAGGCAATCGTTTTCAAAGCCTAGCTATGTTCTCATACTCCGTTTTGCACCACTATAAATAATTTGTGCATTTGATTTTTTTAATTTGACAAAATTTGTAGGCTGCTTAACTGTAAGTGAAGTCTCTAAGCAGTTTACAAAAAATGTAAAAGATACAGTAAATTGTCAGTAAAAGTTCAAGTTCTTTTACAAAGTCCAAAATATAATTAAAAGCAGCCGTTAAGCTAAAATTACAGATTAAAAGACACATGAACTTTTAGATGTCTGAGGAGACTTCCTTAAACAGAAAAGTTTTAGGAGGCACAAGGAAGTCAAAGGAATTGCAGCAGCTTCACCTCCTCATGGGTCTGTGGTTTCTTAGCTCCCCAGAGGAGCAGACTGGAGCTGAGCTGTGCAAGTCAGATAGTTTCTCTGGAAAGCCTGGAAAACCTTCAGATACAATTTCTTGGAAAATTCCCCACACACAACATTGCAGCTCTCCTTCAGAGGTTCTGGACTTCCTCTAAACAGGGAGCTGCTTCTCAAATGACCAAGAAGAAATTCCACAGCCTAGTGCATTCCCCAAATTATCTCACAGTGTGACGGTTGGAGGAAGTCTGTTTGCATGTTATGCAAAGGAGGCTTCAGGAAGTGGTCACCAGGCAGCTGCAGAGCAAGACGCAAGTCTTTGGGCCTCAGGAGTTGTGCTTTTTTGGTGGAGCTGTTGAATTTTTCCTAGGGTGGCTCTTTGAGTAAAACAATGAAGGTACAAGCAGGCATTTTCTTGCAAACCCCCAGCTCTATAAATAATGCCCAGCACTATTGTTTCTTCCCAGGAGAAGCTCCCCAAGCTTCTATGGGTGGAGGGTCTTTCTCAGCCCTTCAATCCAAGGCACGGATTAATGGGAGATGCCAGGATCTAAACCGAGGCCTTGAAAAAGCAAAGCCACCAAACCACAGCCTGCCATCGCCCCAAGGACACTTCATAGAGTTTTCTCTAGTCTGCCCTGGTGACCTGCCAAACCATGAATCATGGGGCCTCAGTGCAATGTGACACGGAGCTACTGCCTGGTCAATGGGGCAATGCCAAGCATGGGTGCATAGGGACTTCTTGGTGGGTTCCACCATCTAGAAAGGAGTCAGATCCCTGCAAGTGGCTACTCCAATTCATGCCATTCATACACTTCGCAGAAGGGGACAGTGTCCTGTTTTCGAGCATTGAATGGGGTGAGATGAAGGCTGACCAAAGCAGCAAAGAACTTTTCCCCAAAGAAGGAAAATTTTAGCACTGAGAGGCAACCAACTTGGCGCCTTCCAAGTCAGGGGCCCATTTTTTCCTGAGAGCAGGGGCTGGGAGCCAAGAGTTGGTCCAGCAAGCTGGCGATGAACAGCAACCAGGAACCAGAACCAAGGAGCCAGCAAGTGGAAATCCTGGGATGGAGTCAGAACTAGAGAATACCTAGGAAGGCAAAACGGCGACCCTCTCCTTGTCCAGGGAGGTTCAATGGGCAGCCTGAGTAGGCAGAGCTAGGGCAGTACATTTACCACTAAACACATGGCAACCTGCACTTCTGTGCCTCTCCACATGGGGCAGCTGCACAGAACCCAGAGGCTGCCTGGCAGCTTCTGACAGAGCGGAGGGATATTCTGCAAACTTCTGGTTTCATCTGGATGCTTGCACAAGCTCCTGAGACCTACCCAGAGATTCCAACGTCCTCTAGCCCTGCTCCCTATAAGTGGTTGTTTAGGGACTGTGTCAAAAGTCCTGCAACCTCTCTCACAGAAAGCCAGGAAGAGCTGAAAAGACTCTCTCCCATTTTACGCACACACATTGCCCAGACCCTTGAGCTGTGCAGGGTGTGAAAAGATGGCACCAACAGTGGTAGTCTGGGTGGAGCAGCACCACGACCAAGCAGCCATATGCCCAATGGCTACTGCTGTCCAGCTGGTCCAAGACTCCTGGGAGACTTCTTGGAGAAGCAGTTGCTTGAGCTCCAAGATCTAGCTGGGAAAGAGAGTCACTGAGACCAGATTCAGAGTTGGCAGCTCCTCAGACTTAGGTGCCTCTGTCGTGGAACCGCACGTAGCCACTTCCTGCTTCACGCATGGAGCCACTGATGGTGAAGGGAGGGGCCAGTTCCACCTCCACCGATTTCAGGTTGCTAAAGGGGACAAAGACAGACAGACTGACAGTTGCCCACTCCCTCGTTTCCTCCTAGAGCAGGCTTCCTCAACCTCGGTCCTCCAGGTGTTTTTGGCCTACAACTCCCATGATCCCTAGCTAGCAGGACCAGTTGTCAGGGATGATGGGAATTGTAGTCTCTAAACATCTGGAGGGCCAAGGTTGAGGAAGCCTGTCCTAGAGTACCGTTAGACAGGCAAACACAGACACACGGGAGAACAGGAGATGAGAGTTTTAGCATGCTGGTTCCAGTTGGCAAAGATGGAAACAAAGCCAAAATGGAAGTCATTGATCAAACCAGTAGAAATTGGTGTAGGAGTATGCAATATGTTAAGCCCCACAGAGGACTTTGTTTGGCCCTCTGCTGGCCCTCTCCTGGTTTTTTCTTGTGAGCAGTTGCTGCAGTGGTCTGGCATGTGCAGTCAGCTCACTGTGGTGGAGGGCCCCCCCCCCCCGTCCCTCCTCCCTCCCTCTGTTAATAGTGACCATCACCCTGCAGAGGATCCAAGGTGAGCTAAAAGCTTGGGGTCTTGCAGAGTTTCATGGCCAGATGGGCATGCAGGTGTGTGTCTTTACGTACCGGATATGGTAAAGGTTGAAGACAAAATTAGGCCCTGGAAGAAAAAGAAGAAAAGGGAGTCAAGAAACTGTTAGGAGCCGCAAGACTGACAGCATACCCTCCAACACTCCTCCCATGAAGATGAGGAGATTTCACCCCTCCCATATCCAAGAATCTGCTGATTCTCCAGAGAGGAGACACATCAAAGTGTGGGGGGAGAGAGAGAGAGACTGAGTGTTAGAGAGAGATCATGTGTGTAGATAAGGTTGCTGCTAAGAGCAGCTGCAGACACTCAGTGCAGTTCAGCATTTTCATTTAGACCTCATTTAGCTCTGTATATAGTTGTATATTATAGTTGTAGATAGAATAAAGAAGATATTCTACAGAGCTGCTCTCCGAGTCGTTTATGCTCTGCTATACTCTGCTATACTCTGCTGTGCAACGACTGTCTTCTTGTGGAAGTGAATCCGGTGCTCACAACTCTAAGCTGTGAGTCCACAGCACTTTGACCTGTTCCTGTGCAGAAGGTGGTCTCTGGAAGTGCTACCCAGCTCGCCTAGCCCAGTCGGGGCTGAAGCGTATGAGTCCAGTTAGTTGCACTGGCTCAAGGGCGATGCTGACAGAAAATAGGGGCATCCTAAGGGAAAGCGAGACATTCTGGGATCAACTCAGAAACTGAGATGGCTTCTGTAAATCCAGGACTCTCTCGGTAAAATAAGGACACTTTGAGGGTCTGTGACAGCAGCTCTTGGAAACACAAGCATGGAGCCCACAAGTTATAGAGTGGGCCTGAGGGTCCCACAAGAGGTGACGGTGGCAGAGATCCCTGAGCAGAGCTCCTAAACTTTCCTAAAAGAACACATGTAGTTGTGTGAGGCCATAATTCAAAGCTGGGCTGTCCCAGTTGAGGAGGATTATGTATGTTAACCAGGGATAGGCAGCCTAAGGCCCGGGGGCTGGATGCGGCCCAATCGCCTCCTAAATCTGGCCCACGAACGATCCGGGAATCAGCATGTTTTTATATTTGTAGAATGTGTCCTTTTATTTAAAATGCACCTCTGGGTTATTTGTGGGGCCTGTCTGGTGTTTTTACATGAATAGAATGTGTGCTTTTATTTAAAATGCATCTCTGGGTTATTTGTGGGCATAGAAATTCATTCATCCCCCCCCCCAAAAAAAAACATCGTCCAGCCCACCACATGGTCTGAGGGACAGCTGGAAAAGGTTGCTGACCCCTGATTAACTCTCCTCTCTCCACTGCATTGTTTTCCTAGTCCAAATCACACACATCCTGAGCTGCTACTTGCCACATACAGGGACTGTGTGGGAAATAATAAAAATAATAATAAATTTTATTTATACCTCGCCCTCCCCAGCCAAGAGCGGGCTCAGGGCGGCTAACAACCAATAATAAAAACATGTTGATTAAAATACAATTTAAAAAACAAGATTAAAATACAACATTAAAATATTAGGATGCAGCCTCTTCATGGCAATTCATGTGAAACCCAGAGTCTGACCTCGCTTTCCCACCCCACCCCAGTGTGGCCTTATAGTTTTTTTTAAAGTGTGGATTTTAACACTTGGACTGTCCAGAGTGAAACCCACAGGGATAACTCGAAACTCTTCGCAGTCCTGGGGATCTTGTTGAAATCTCCCTTCCTCTGCTCACCTCAGCTGCTTCTGCTCTGCCCTCCCCTTGTCAGGCTTTCAAAAATACCCTGTCATGCTGGCAAAAGCTCTCAGGGTGAGTCAGCACCAATAAGACCCGCTTTGTGAAGTTTCACTCCTGACAAGCTGGAATTTCAACAGCTCAGGCTCCTCTGTGCTCTGTTGACGCAAGTCCCACATCTGTGGCATTAAACATCTGGAGTTTGCTGTCCATGAGACCTTCACCAGTTGAGGGGTAGCTCAACAATGACAAGGGCTGTATTTTGGCAGACTGATTGCTCAGTTGGCGAGAGCATGGTACAGAAAACACCAAGGTTGCTGGTTCGATCCCCGTGAGGGACACCTACATATTCCTGCATTGCAGGGGGTTGGACTAGATGACCCTCAGGGTCCCTTCCAACTCTATGATTCTATGAACCTATCATTCTATGAATTATTTCTAAATTTTCATCTAGACATATAAATCAGCATATGAAAAATGTATGCAAATTGGTAAACCCCTCTTTGTGGACATATTAACCTGAGTAACTACAAGCTAGCCCCAGCAGGAAATGCTTCTGGAAAGTCTTCATGTTGTTGCTTTTTAATGGGATAATTTTTATTTGAATTTTACAGTGTAGCTGCAGACAACAAATTATTATGCAGATCACAAAGGTTATGTGTGTTTATGTAACTAATACATTTCAGTTTACATCACAACTGAGCAATAAAGTAACATACAGTAGTAACTGTTAGAAAAGATAACAGTAGACCCGCCCGTAAACTCACAGAACGTTAGCTGGCTCATAAAAATAAATCATACCTATACCAGTAAATAATAATAATAATAATAATAATAATAATAATAGGCATCATGAATAAGCATCCCTTGTTACATCAAGAAGAACCATACAATATTATTACACAAGTCTTATTGTATTAGCCAGATCCATTTATATGCGAGAGGCAAATTTTGACCATGTTCCTCTTTGCTAACATACATAATAAAACCAAACCATACTGATGTGAACCTGTCTTTCTTGCTCTGACCTCTGGAACCCCTTAGTTTATACATTAACTTTTCTAAAAGGGCTGTTTCCTGTACTTTGTTGTACTGATATGTGACCTGAGCACCTGCCAAGTCTCTCCAAAACTGGGCAATTGTAGCTCTAGCAGCCATCAGTAAATGAACCATTTGCTCTGTATTGGAAGGTCCTCATGCCTTTTGGGGGGAAAGAAGGTCCATGGGTCATGTGTGGGGAGCAGATATAGCCTGGGCAACGGGCAAGTGTCATGCCTACAGCAGTTGTGTGGAAGCCCCCAGCCTCTGCTACAGGGCCAGCCCTGGGCTCTCACTACACTACACTACACTACACTACACTACACTACACTACACTGCAACTGCAAACCACACCCCGTACTTACTGTTCCAGCAGTGTCCTTCCTGGTACCACTTTGCAATGGTATAGCTAAGGACACCAAGGATCAAGAGGGAGAGACTGACGCCAAGGATGAGGCCAAGAATGCTGACGGGCTCCCCTTCTGAAAAGACAAAGAGCCCCACAGATGGAATCCAGTCAAAGGAAGACATGGAAGAGCCTTCTTATCCCCCAAGGCTGATAATGGGTGATTATAGGTGTTTGCTCTTAGGGCTGTATTCAATTCAGAATTGACCCATTGAAATCAATAAACCTAAGTTAATTATGTCAATTAACTTCAACAGGTCTATTGTCAGTAGGACCAGTGTTGAATGCCACCCTTAGTGCCTGGCTCCCCCCCCCCCCAAAAAAAGAACGTGATTTATTTATTTATGCCGAGCATTTTATACTACCCTTTAATCATATTCCCAGTTCAGTTTGCAAAAAGAACAAACAATTGAAATGTACTTTTAAATAAATAAATTAAAGCTAAAAACACAAAGTTATATTTCAGCGTTGTTTTAGTTGTTTTATTGTGTTTTAATGTTGTTTTGTGTTGAAGTTGTTGAAAATTGTTTTGGATTATTTAAAAAAGACCAGTGGCACTGAAAAAGAGATTGATTTAGAAATGCACATACAGAACAACCCCTCCCCCAACCAAGACCCACCCCTTGTAGCAGGAGAAAACAAAGGATACCAGAACAAAGTTTTCTGGAAAAACAAACTTTTTGTCAGCACTGGCTGAGGCACTTTGAGCAGAGAAATGCCACTATCCACGGTGCTTGCTGATGGTGGCAGCTTCTCACTGTGTTTTCAGGGAGCACCCTGCTGGCCATGCCAGGAGTAGCAGGATGGCCTTGAATTTTATTTAATAACTTAAAAGAGTTCTTACCTGCCCTCTCTGCAAGGTCCCCAGCAGCATGCCAAGATAGGTTGCCTCTATGCATGTGTGTTGGGTGAATGCTTTGGGTCTAGATCATCCAGCTAGGACAATCCAATCTCCTGAGAATTAGGGCTTGTGCTATTAGGGAAAGCCTCCCATCAGCTTCCCTGCTTTTCCCCGGATAAAGAGAGATCTGCAAAGTCAAAATCTGCCTTTGCTCCCTCTCAATCTATTGAGTGAAAGGAGGGGGACCTTCATATGAGCACAGTGTCAGAAAACCTGCCTCATATAACCAACATTCTTACGTCTAATGTATGAAAGGGTTAAGTACATAAAGTAAACTGTCCTGCCAGACTCAGCTCACCTTGGGAAGGATTAGGTCAAGTCTTTGTTCCCCCAGTCTACCACATGAACTCAGCATGTGAAGAGGCTAAGCAGTTTCCTCCAACTTAGCTGCATGACTCTAACAAGCCTCTCTAGTGCTCCTATACTTTAATTTAGGAACTTTAATTTAAGAACTTTCCCCACTAAGCCAAGTTTTACTGCCCGTGACATCTTTTTCTGAATGCTGTATGGAAGAACACATGAATTTGACTTTTGGAGAGTTTGTAAGTAAACATTTTTAAATTACCCAACGTGTGGTCTTTTTTTATGCTAGGAGAAGAGCAAAGTTTTGGAACTCCCAGGGGCATATTTTAAAGGTCTAGCAGCCTGCATTTCCACACTTTACTATGCTAAATATTTTGTGATTTTAAATCTCTCACCAAAGACTGCATGCCCCAAACTTGGGCCTTATCAGAAATTAGCCTTTCATACTTCTATTTTTCCCATGCAACCAGCACACAGCTATCCCTGTCTAGGGAGGTTATATGGGATTGTGAGTCTGCTGCTGCCTGGCAGAACTATATGCTGTTTGCCTCCACCTATGGTCTCCTTGTATACTTATAAATAAAGCAAATATTACAAAACTACAAAAACACCATGCATCTCCCATGCTGTTCCTTATCCATAACACAGCTGGTTGCTCTGCCCTAAAACTTCTGGCCACTCAGAGAAGTGTCACAACAGTGGGAAACACACTGTGAAGGTGCCACCTCCCTGGTCCTTTAGGGTCAGACACCTGTGAAGGTAGTTTGGTTCCATGAGCTGTGCTGTGCTCTATGCAGTGTGAAACTCATGCAGCACCCATGTTCATTGGAAGTGCTCAGAGGAGCACCCAGAATACCCTCCCCTTTTAAGAAAAAGCCCTGAAGCCTGGAGGGGAGATAGGCGTCCCCTGAATTTACCTGTGTTGGGGTCCATCCTTTTCCTCTGCAGTCCAGCTCTTCAAACAGGAGCTCTCCCTCCAGTCATCCAAGCCAACAACCTGCCTGCCTGCCCCTGCTTTGCATGCCTCTCACCTCTTAGCTGTGGCCACTCCCTAGATGTTGACGCAGAATGTTCCATGTTGCAGGCAAAGGTACTTCAAACATCCCACTTTGTGGGTGACAGAATCACAGCTGGCTCCAGCTCCAACAGAGGCTGGACCTCAAGTCAAGCCCAAGAGTGGCCAGGGGTGGCAACTCCCAGCCCTGCAGTCCTCCACAGAACCTCTAGGATGCCCCTCTGCTACGAGAAAATCATGGGGATTAACTTGGGTCGGTTACCTATTGAAACCCTTTCGCATGCAGGGCAAGCAGAGTTTGGCATGTAATCTTGGTTAAAGAGTAGACGCTATTGGTTGCAATCGCACACAGAAAGTTGCTTGCAGAGTGTAAAAAACAGGCATAGGCAAACTCGGCCCTCCAGATGTTTTGGGACTACAGCTCCCATCATCCCTAGTTAGCAGGACCAGTAGTCAGGGATGATGGGAGTTGTAGTCCCAAAACATCTGGAGGGCTGAGTTTGCCTATGCCTGGTGAAAAATAACAAAGTAGTTTATTGTAGGAAATACTTCTATAACTTGGATATAAAAGTTTCTAGTTCTAACCTAGCCAGCTAATCTGGAGAACAACAAGGCACCCATGCCTGAGGATAGCTCAGTTGGTAGAGCGTGAGACTCTTGATCTCAGGGTTGTGGGTTTGAGTCCCACATTGGGCAAAGGATTCCTGCATTGCAGGGGGATGGACTAGATGACCCCCATGGTCCCTTCCAACTTGCTCCTTTGTTCTTCTAGAGGACGATTCAGGATTGACCTCTCATCTTGAGGTCCAAGCAAGGTGCGGGGAGGAGGAAGCTATAAACAGGATGCCACCTAAGACATATCAGTCTAACATCCAAGAGACAGAGAGGTCAGCTCAAGAGGTTAAAGGTACAGGGAGGGTCTGGGAATCTGGAGGTCCCTAGTCATAATCCATGCAAACCTCATGTCTGCAAACATCCATCAAAAATAATCACCTGGCCATTGTTGCATGCAACTGAATCTTCTGGCACCTAAGCATAATAATCACCCGAAGCAACCAAGAGTCATCAAACAATATTATTAAAATGCAATGAGGTGGGGGAGAGACTCTGGAAAAAAAGATACCATACCCAAAGAACAGCATAGTCCATCTGAAAGCTCCTCAGCACCAATAAAACCCTAGAGGGAGCTCAGAACCACTTATCTGATATGGAGAGGAGCAAATAAGAGCGTCTGCCTGCTTATCTCCTGCTCAGCTCCAGTCCAATGCAGCCACCTTTAGGAAGGCAATGTGAGGACAGGGTAGGCGCAAATTTTGGCCTCCCACCTCTGTTATTTCTTTAATTTCCTTAAGGCTTCTGTACCCTGCTTTTTGCTACTTGTCTCAAAGCGACTTACAGGAAGGAGTAAAACATACAGTATATGCAATTTGAAATATAAGTGAACGTATCTGAAAATCGGGGGGCAAAACCCCAACAACCATTGGGTCAACTTTCATAGAGCAAAGGCCTCCTGAAATAAGATCCTTTTCATCCGGCACCTATCACTTAACAAGGATATGTGGAGGTAGGGTTAAACTGTGTCTATTTGGCACAAGATACACTATGTACATGCATGGGGGTCACTCTTATCTATCTGCCTCCATAATTTCACATGCTCCAGTGCTACGGCCTGCCCCGTCTTATGTGATGCTTCTTAGGACACCCAGCTTGGTACTTGCAGCTTTGAGTGGCAGCAACCACCCTCCACTCCTGGGTCCCAGACAAATATCTTTTCCAGCCTGACTACTCACAGGAATGGGCCACTGAGTTCTGGCCTCTCAGCTTGTGGTTGGATTAGGCAGGCAGTTCCTCCAGTTCCTCCTTATCCCAGTCTCTTTGGACCTTCTCCCTTGTCAACTCCAGCCTGGGGGAGGGAACCAAAGCACAACCCCCTCCACAATCATGTGCTCTGGCTGCCCAGTGGCCAGAATTGAGCGTCCTGCAACCTTTCCATTTATGCAACCAGCAGAGCTTTTGGCATCAGCTACACCCCAGGAAAGGACCTTTCCAAGCCATGTTTGTACAGCTGGGGACCAGAGGGGGCATGCACTTTCCCACACACCTCCCCACCACCTCTGCCCATGAAAACAGCCCTGTGTGACGAATTGCTGCTCATTAGATGAAATCTTAGCCCATTCAAGGACTGAGCTAACAGAGGCTGGCAGGGCCCGCAGGAAGGGTCCTGCTAGACAAACCCGTTCCTAAGCAAACTCTGGCACACAATGAGAATCCTCCACAGCCCCAACTCCCTGGGCCTTGCTGGTGAGAAGGACGCCAAACAGCATGGGTGAAACCTGACCCAAATTGAGGCCAGCACCCATCACCCAGCAGCTGAGGTGCTTCTCTCTGAACCAGAGGCTAATCACCACTTTCAATCTTTCTGGCCCTTCTCACCAAACACAAGAGTTGTTCAGGTCTGCGTCTCTAGTTTCAGGGGCCTCCCGCCCTGGACAGTGCTTGTGCAACCTCACCACATACACTAAGGCAGGGGGTGGTGAGAGACCTTCATGCCTCTGTAAGTTTCTGTCTTCCGCCTGCACCACCACAAGTTGCTCTAGCACGGAAGCACGCCTGTCTCTGAGTCAGAGAAGCTCAGAAAATATATCTGATTGCCCAGCCAGTGTGTGCCCAGCTCTAGATTCCTGCAGCCTCTCCTGAAACTGCCCAAGGCTCTTCTTGTGGAGTTTTCCTTGCCTCCGAAGGCTGTTAGTCATGGCACATGACTCTCTCTTCCAGGGTCCTTATCACAGAACGGAGGGCTGCAGGAGTTGAGTCAGTTGGTTCCCACACTCAGATTAGGTATACGGTGGTAACTCAGGTTACAGACGCTTCAGGTTACAGACTCCGCTAACCCAGAAATAGTACCTCGGGTTAAGAACTTTGCTTCAGGTTGAGAACAGAAATCACACAATGGCAGCACGGCGGCAGTGGGAGACCCCATTAGCTAAAGTGGTGCTTCAGGTTAAGAACAGTTTCAGGTTAAGAACGGACCTCCAGAATGAATTAAGTTCTTAACCCGAGGTACTACTGTACCGTACATGGTCCCCTGGCTGCTGGGATAAATAAGAGGAAAGGAACTCACCACCAAGTTTCACATGAAGTCCTTCATCCAAGGAAGCCGCCATTATTCGCTTTGCCTTTTAGACTCAGATGGGCAGCAAAAACACAGGAACTGGCAAGGTCTCTGCACTCCTGCTGCACCTATTGAATCTTGGAGTCTTCCAACCTCACTGACTCCCCCCCCCCATTAAAAAGCTCCTTCAGGTAGCTCAGCACCAAGTGGCTGCACATTGACAGGCTGGCAGAAGGTTGGGAGGACGTTTGAGTGGTGTCTGACCCAATCAAAAGTTCTCAGTTACACTGCAAACCAGACACAATGTGAGTCTGTTGCATTCAGGCAGAATGAATTATCTGCACTGTCGCTTAAGCACAGCCCAAAGCCTAGACCCCTCCTCCTCTCTTCTCTTGAACTAGGATACAAACCCTGCTGCAGGCTTGTGTTTGGAGTCCGGTCAGGGAGGCATGTATAACCCTGTTTGATAATTCCACCTGTCGCTGTTTAGTTTGACAAATGATATGCCTCCTGTTCTATTTTTAGACCAGAGGTTCCATTGTTTCTGATGGCTGTATTCTTATCCTGCAGCTGCCATTTGATTTGACTATTGATAATTTTTTTAGGGTGAAGGGCAGGTTATAAATATGTGAAATAAAAACAAATACATAATAGATCTGAGTGACGGGCAGAGGAACGACAAGTTCTGATTTAAGCACTGCTTGTGAAACGGGCCTTAATCCCTGACTCTTGCAGGCCTGACGTAGGGCTGTGTTTTGGTCTAGAGGAACATCAGGATTCACGTACACAAGAGCACATATTTCCTCTTCACAACATTTGTTGTGTGCACAAAACATCCAAGGCCCCTGAGTCACCTCAGCTGTGCCCAGGCGAAAAATGTACAGATCACACCCAATTTTCATTTAGAAGGAAGCAGGAACTGCACTTCTGCCCTGCCTCCATGCGTATGAATGTTCAAATCACTGATAAAACAATGTCTACTATCATTTGCATTGCAAAGGCTGGAAAGGCAGGGTGGGGGCAGTGTATGGATGTGCTGCCACTCCTATTCTGGACACAACCTCAGTAGCCTCCCAAACCTAGACCGTCTGCAAGAGATTAGGATCAAGGAACTGGGAGTAATCCACCACATCTCTTTCCCTCACTCCCTTCATGGCCCAGCCCAGATTAGCTCCCTACAAGTCCCAGCATAGGAGCCAACTCCTAGGGGCTGATGGGGCTGCCATCCTCCCCCCCCCAAAAAAAAAATTTGAGGGGGCCGTCCCTAAAAGTTGATGGTCATTGGCATTCAAATGGTGTGTGCGCACTGCATCATGTGATCAGTTACACGGGGCGGGCTTCCCTGGGCACCCCCAATATCTTATTCAAGTTGAGCCACATGGGAGCAGTTGAGCCTGTGCCTGAAAGCAAGGGGTGCTCCAATGCCTCCCACCCCTGCCCCTAACCTCTGGATTGTGCCCTGAGAGTTGAATGCAGTCCCAGCTGGGTTGAGGACACCTCAGGGACTAGCATCTCTGACCAGTCTTTCAGAAGAGCTTGCTGAGGAGGCCTGTGGGCAGGTGAGGAGATAGCGCTGGAGGAAGAACTACGCCTCCTTCACCTGAGTCAACCTGGCTGAGTAATCGGCTCTTGGGGCACCTAGAGGTCTTCTCTGTTTTGACAGCAAGCTGTTTTTCCTTCTCGGCGAGAGCGCAACAGCAGCCCAAACGGAGCGGCCTTTCTGCTGACCTGAGTGACCCCCCAGGCTCCCGGGTTCCCCGCTGTCTGTCTGGCGCACTGACAGCCTCCTTGCAAGAGACAGCCGCGTCCTGCAGCTCCTCCACCCGCGTCCCTACATTTGGGTGCACAGAGAGAGGGAGTTGAGGTCGTGGACTCGCCCTTGCTCCTGGTGCCCATGCCAACCCCCTCCTAGGCAGTCCGCTGGCGGTGGTGGATGACACCGCCCGGCACCTTGTCTTTTCCAGGTGTCTCTCCGCCCTGCCTGATCCCGCCCGTTCTTCGGTAACTTAACAGGTCGGCAGGGCGCACTGGGAAGGTGCCAAGGCAGCGGGCAGAGCCCGGCCCTTCTAGCTCCAGCACAGAGAGGCAGAGAGTGACTGGCAGGCAAGCAGGCGGGGCAGGGTGGGGCAGCCAAGGGCACCAGGAGGGCATCTCACACTGACGGCAAGGAGTCGCCCAGAGCGGGCGGGGCTTGGAAAACAGGCTTACTATGGGGCTTTGGGCACATTTGGGGGAAAGGGCGGAGAGCTTGTTTGCCCCCACCCCACCCCCATCGGACTTTGTAGGATGGGAACAGACAGGCCATCCTGTGGCCTCCACTGGGGAGGCGGAGGGCTTGCCAGTCATTTCTGCTCTGGCTAACGCCAGATGTAAAACTCAGTTGGTTGGAGCGCGGTGTTGATAATGCCAAGGTTACCGGTTCGATCCCCGTGAGGGACAGCTGCATATTCCTGCATTGCAGGGCGTTGGACTAGATGATCCTCAGGGTCCCTTCCAACTCCATGATTCTATTCGCTTCCCACCCCCGAAAACCCCAGACTGAAAGCTACCTTCCTCTCTCCAAGCCCAAGTTTCCCCAAGCGGTGGGTGGTAGTGGCGGGGCTTCATCGCTTTGCCTGATCTCTCCTTTTTCACCTGTCGATGAAATTATGCTTTGCACCTGGAAGCGCCCTTCGCCTCGCTCACGTCTGCCAATGCAGGCTGGCTTACAACCTGGGCAAGCGGAACCGCTGCCATTTCTGAGAGTCCCGCCTCTCACCCACCCGGGTGTCCCCCCTGGAAGAGGGAGCTTCCTTTCTTCCTCTTCGAGATCTGGCCAGCCCCTCGACGTTTTGACAAAGGCTCAGCTACCAACCCACAAGCCAGACAAGCAGGCGGCAGGAATTGGCAGGGTCCGGTTTAGAGAGGAGCAAGAGGTCCCCGGAGCCCAGCACCTCTCCAGGTCAGAGCTCAGCATCTCCAGATCTGCCGTCTTCAATGTCTGTTTGATCGCATCAGTTCCGCAAAGACTCTTTGGTCTCCTTCTGGGATTGTACCCCCAAGTGTGCTTTGTAAGCTGGTCTCCGACCGTAATAAATTATCTATATCTATCTATCTATCTATCTATCTATCTATCTATCTATCTATCTATCTATCACCTCTCTGATTCTGCAGACTGGCCTGAGTTGCAAGCGTCTCCTGTGTCCTTGGTTTCCCAGTTTTCACCATCCACCTTGAAATACTTTTCCTCCCATCTTCCCCACCCCACCCCGGGGGGGGTTCACTTTGTGGACCACCTAGGCGCCAGGTATCCAAGGTCCCTTAGGGATGGAGGGTGTGCGCGCCTGTCTTTTGTGCTTTAGGAGGAAAGGGAGCCAGTCTTCCCCGACGCCCTATCCATCCTCCTTCCCATTCGTGATAACTGCGGTGGGGGTGACTCACTCAGGCTTCACAAGTTAGAGGCAGGAGGAGGTGATGATGTTGCCACTGACAGGTGAGCGTCAGGTTACAACCCAGATCATCAGTCCCGTCTGACGACTCCAGCTGAGCCAAGTCTTAAGCAGGCGCGGCGGCGGCACAGCGCTGCTTGCCTGACCTCACACTCACAGCTGGCACGAAGGGGCAAGTGAGGAGAAGGGAACGGACCCGCTCCAGACCTGGAAAGGACCTCGGCGACCTGGAGAGCAGCACATCGGAGCCCTCTGGGCATCCCTGGTAACGACAAGGGCAACGCCTCCTGCCCCTCTGTGAAGGTGACCGGAGAGAGAGGAGCCCCGGTTGCAATAAACATGGTAAGTGTTGTGTACTAAATTTGCTTTCTTCTGACCCAGTTACCAGGGTGGGGTGCCTTTCAACCTTTTTAGAAGAAACCACAACACCTCCTGGTAACTGGGCAATAGGGAAGCTGGCAGGACCTTTGGGCACACAGACAGGAACTAATGGCAGCAACAACCTGCACTGTGAACAGCCAGTTGCTAATTAATACCCCACCCCCAGTTCGTGTGCTTATGTTCAATGAAAGACAAAAGGGGGGTTTCTCTGTGTATCCTGAGTTGGCCACAAGACTAGGCATTAGTTTTCCACTGAGAGGTTTTGGAGCTTACATACACAGTAACCAGGAAGCCCCTTCCCTATTTCCAGATATTTGGGGGAGGGGGGAGTTGTGGCAGCAAAGGAAAGCTAGTCTGCCAATGGTCAGAGTTGAAGCAGATGGATCAGAGTTGGTGTCTGTTGAAACAGACTGAGCCAAATGAAAGTCAAATTAAGTCCCATGGGCAAAAATGAGGGGCCTTCTGTTCTTAAGGGCAGATTCTCAAAGCAAAAGAACATAGGAAAAGCCTTTTACTGCTGGAAAACCAATTGCCAGCCATACACCTCACAAGAGGGAGAGTGGGACACTGTTTGCCTGTTGTTTGTGTCCGCCATCTGGTATTCAGAGGTAGACTGCCTCTGGACATAGAAGTTCCACTGTGCTTTGCCTAGCAGGTGGACTTGGTAATTCCTTCTACACTGCTTTGTGTCTGTGACGAGTGTGAGCTGCATAGTGGCCTTCTGAAATCTCAGCTGAAAGCATAGGTGTAGCCAATAGGGGGCAGGCGGGAGCAGCTCCCCCCCCCCCCCCCAGATCAAGTACAAAATAAAAATACTTAACTAATTGACCAATCACGTCCGTTCTGCCCCCCCCCCAAAAATCCTATGTCTGAAAGCACTCCCAATTGTGAGGTTTAGAAAAGGATAATGTGCACATGGATTACCCTGAATATTCTGATGTGCTCAAAGTCTAAAAGGCTACACTACATAAGTGCAAAGTAGTTGTGGTGGTAAAATGAGTGGTACCCTGATAACAGAGCCTACAAATATGCAGGCAGCAAAGGAACCAGGAAGTGGCAGGCAGAGGGTGACAAGGAGACTCCACTGCCTTCCGTTGCCCTGCTGCTGCAGTTGAGAAGTTCAGCTGGGAACCAGACACTGCTTTGAGCAGTCCTGCCCAGATGCACCCTGGGGCTCCCCAGTGACAATGGCACTATTAATGCCCTGCCAGGGAGCGTGCCTTTCCGTGAACCGACAGGACACCTCTTCCCCAGCTGCTAATCACCAGCAGCTCTTTGTATAAGCCAACTGGCACCACTCAGACAGAAAGAGCAGCAGCCCTAATCGCTTCCAGGATCCACATTAGATGTCACCCTGCAGGAGGGATTTTCTGTGAATGGGAAGAAGAGACATCTGGGCCCAAAGAGAGGGAGGGCTTCAACTGCACCAGCTGAAGCAAGCTTTGTCACCCTGGAAGGCAGAGAGAAGGAACCAGGCATGTCAGAGAGCACTGCCTTCCTTCCAAAGGACCTCCCCAGATTTTGAGCCAAAGCAAGGAATCAGTCCGGGTGCCTATACTGCTAGGTTGGGTACTTGATCTTATTTTTCATATATTTGTAAAAGGATCTTTTAAAACCAACTCTCCTGTGGCTAATGAGTGGCTTTGTATCACGCAAAACCTGACTTAGCATTGCCCAGATTTAGCCTAATCGAGAGGTCTGTCACAATTTGCATGACATACTTTGTGGGCCCATCAATTGGTCTTGCAGTGGACATGCAGAGGTGTGAAGAAGAGCAGGTGTTCATCTCCCAGGGCTCATGCCATCTCTAGATTTACTTGCTCCTTCAGAGCAACCCTAAAGCAGTTGGCAAGCCCCCATTCCCTCTGCTTCCTTTCCCCTGGACATTAGAGACCTCAAGAGGCCTCCAACCATACTTAACCCAAGCAGGGCTCCATGGGAAATGGACTGAGGATTAAATCTTAGATTTAGATCTGAACCTCTATCCCATGTGTGTTGGGGAAATACAAAATGAAAACTGGCTATGAGAAAAACACTTATAAATTTAATAGCTTATTAAAACACTTATAAGTTTAATAGCTTATTAAAACTTAGGAATTGCACAGTTATACCTTTTTATCCCTTTCATTTGTGGTATGCTGACGTTCCTCTGTTACAGAGAATGAACCACAGTTTTTTAGTAAGATAAACTAAAAACAAGTTTACTTACATTTCAATGCAGGCAGCATATACAACAAAATAGTGTACGGAAAAATACTTCTATGTTATAGTAAAATAAAAGTTGGTAGTTTTAGCTAACATGTTTGAAAGCAGGAGCTTTAGCCATGTGCGTCTGGTCAGCTTGGAGGCATTGTGGAAAGAGAGAGTCTCCTCACAGGCAAGAGGGAATATAAAGGATTGTCTCATTTGTTACAAAGTTCATGTCCTAATGAGGCAAAGGAAGGACCACGTACAGAGGCTCCTCTCTAGGAAGTTCGAGAACTCTCTGTCTACTAGCCCTGTGCTTGTCTAGCAAAACATGCATTTGTGATTTGGCTGCAAACCCCAACAGCTCCACAACACCCAGACAGCTGTAGGAGGATAAATCCCTCCTGTGTGGGGTGATGGCAGAGAAAAGAGACGGTAAATGTGGCTTGGTTGGCCCTATGTCAGCTGCAGAGTATGTGCCCGTGCTGCCTGGGGTGGGCGCATGGGGTGCACCCCCAAAGGGTGCTGGGTGTGTAAGGCACCTTCCCACACACCACAGTTCAGGGTAGGAGAGGGGCAGGGAAGCTGCTGCCCACCGTCGTCCTGCTCTCCTCCTCTGGGTCAGAGCTGTGCCAGGCACAAGCACCATAGCCAGGGCACAGCTCCTTCTGGCGCAGAGCCAGGTTCCAATGAAGGAGCCTGCTGTGGGGGTGCCTGCTTGCACTCCCTCTCAAAATTGTGCCCAGGGCCACGGCACCCCCATGCTATGCCTCTGCCCTGTGTGAAATCAGAAACTATTGATGTAAACACAGGTATGAGGAAGCAGGTAAGGCAGGTGCCCACAGGCAGCAGGTCCCCAAGGAGGAGGGCAATGATGCACACAGTCAACCAGCTGCACCAAAACTGCCATCTAGGGCCATGTGGCCACCCAGACAGCTCACGGGTGCCTCTCGGAGGGTAGGAGATGACTAGGCATCTTCCCTCCCCCAGCAGATGCTTCTAATTTCTGGTCCAGAAGCAGCATCGCTTAGCAGCACAAGACAACTGAATTAGGCCAACCTGCTCCCACCACTGCCTGTGCATCAAACATTGAAAAAATGAACCTATGCTGCCAATTCTCGTAGTAGACCAGTATAAAGCACGCAGCACATAAGCGGAACACAAAATGCTAACAAACCATTCTACGTTCTAAATCTTATATTAATGATCCAAATTTTATATTAATAATCTCTCAATTATTGGATTGTTAATATAAGATTTAGAATGTAGAATGGTTTGTTAGCGTTTTGTGTGCCGCTTATGTGCTGCTTGCTTTATGTTGTTGTTGTTGTTTAGTCGTTCAGTCGTGTCCGACTCTTCGTGACCCCATGGACCAGAGCATGCCAGGCACTTCTGTCTTCCACTGCCTCCCGCAGTTTGGTCAAAGTCATGCTGGTAGCTTCGAGAACACTATCCAGCCATCTCGTCCTCTGTTGTCCCCTTCTCCTTGTGCCCTCCATCTTTCCCAACATCAGGGTCTTTTCCAGGGAGTCTTCTCTTCTCATGAGGTGGCCAAAGTATTGGAGCCTCAGCTTCACGATCTGTCCTTCCAGTGAGCACTCAGGGCTGATTTCCTTCAGAATGGAGAGGTTTGATCTTCTTGCAGTCCATGGGACTCTCAAGAGTCTCCTCCAGCACCATAATTCAAAAGCATCAATTCTTCGGCGATCAGCCTTCTTTATGGTCCAGCTTGCTTTATACTGTGCATCAAACATGGCACAATCAAAGCAGGCTGATTTACAGCAATCCAGGCACTGGTATTACTGCAGGGATGGATCAACGACATATTCCACCATTTGACTGCTGCTCCAACAAGAGTGAACAGAGACTTTCAAGGCAGACAGCCTGACCCAAGTCACCCCTCTAGGCAGCCTGCACCACCACCAGCAGCAGCAGCAACAACAACTGGCAATGGGCCCTCTTGCCCTACTATTTTTGCAGCTTTCTCTAAGTTAATCATTCATACTTCCTTCCACTAGAAGCCATTCCACCTGGCACCATCTAAGCAGCCAAAGAGGTGAGCCAGTCTCTTTCCTCCTCACCAAGAGTTGTACCTTTTTTTTCACTTTCCACCTGTCTCCATGCACTCCATGCTAACGGAGTCATCCCTTGTGCAAGGGAATGCCACACCAGGCAGCCAGCAGATGGTAGCAAAAGCCTTCTCCTTTTACAACATCTGCTCTGGTGGGAAGACAGGGGAGGAGATCTCTTCTCCTCTCTCTCCCCCGTCTGGGTGTCGCTCAACTTGTGTGGCAACTACAGATTAAGAAAGCTGGACAGTGTTTCTATCAGAGGGCGCACTTTAATATTTCTTCCCCACCCTCTCTTTTCTCCCCAAATATCGGCGGAGATGAGATGCTAATTTGTGTGGGTTTTTTTAATGATATTTATTGGGGGGGGGGAATTAAAAAATTACAGAAAAAGACAAAGCAGAGAAAGAAAAAACAAAAAACAAAAAGAAAACAAGCCACATCCAACAATACAAATTCAAAAAACAAAAATACACCACATGCAGATAAAAATAAAACCATCATTCTCAAATCTTCAACTTTCATTACCTTCTTTCTTTGACCTCCTCCTCCTCCCTTTTTTGTATCCTAGTTAATAATTATCGCAGCAAATCCTTTCCATATTTCATAATATTCTGTCATTACATTACCTTAATCTATTTTCATCTTATCTTATAAAAAACCTTAAAACTTAAAACTTAAATCTTATTTTTACCCAGTTCTCATAACCATAATATTCTTGCCTAATTCTTTAAACATTTTTGCTAGAGCCAAGTAATTTCGTTCCAACATTTTTCTAACAGTCATCAATTTTATAAAACAATCCTGGTGATAATAATAATAAAAAAGAAATAGAAACAATCCAATCTTCATCCAGCGTCCCTTCCTCCTGGTCCCGGGTTTTGTCAGTCCTTTTTATCCCATTGATCTAGCGCATTAACCTGGTAACCTAATATCCGAGGCCCTTAAATCTCTTCCATGTCCCTTCCGCAGCTCTTCTTCATATTCACCTTTCACTCGTGGAAACTCCAGCTTGGTAATGTTTTTGACCCTTTTCAACAAATCAGCCCCTTTTCCATAGTCCAGACTAAACTCCATGTGGTATTTAAAAACATGTTTCAGAATCCCTCCAAAATTAAGAGCCCCCACAGCTCCAAACATCTCACGGCCCATTGCCAGACTCGGAAAGTCCAAACATCCCTGCATAGGGGGGTCTATCCAACCCCCCATTTCCAAACCAGTCCAAACTTTATCTTTCCAAATCTGGCTTTTCCAAGTTCATTTGTCAAATCCAAAAGCTCATGTTCCTGCTGGGCCGCAGCTCCCTCCATCTCTGGCGCCCAAGATTCCGCAACATCCTCTTCTCTCATCTGTTCTGTCAGGGCACACTCCTGATTTAATTCCTGGGTGGGCTCCATATAGTTTCCCACTGCCTGTTCAAAAATTCTGACCGCATTAGTCATCAAATCCGTCTTCTCAGTTAACTGTTCCAGTAGGGCATTTGTTTTACAGAGAGCACACAACAGAGCTTCTGAATACATTGTCCTACAAGGTCACAAGCCTATTCCCACGATTGTAATCTGTGACAGCTGCAAGCTCCTAGAATTAGTTACAGTTTCCCAGTCTCCCTCTAGGGGGAAAACTTCTATTTGTTCTTGCAACAAAGTTTCTTTTTGAGATATTTTGTCAATATTTGTTCCTTTAAAATGCGAAAGGAAACAGTGGAATCACTATGTTTCTCTTCTTTAGCTATCTGTCAAAAACATTTGTCTCTGGTCAATGAGCTTCAAACGTCAGTCCTGACACCCCGCTCCAGGATCAGGACGGTGGAAAGTTACTTTACTTTAAACTCACTTCTGCAGGTTTAAACAGTCCAAAAAAGATCCCCCTTCTTCTCCTGCTGCCGAAGGGGGGTTCAAGAATTTTAAATGATGAAAGCCAATCCTTTAGAAGCGATTTTCTGAGCTCTAGTTTACGTTGTCTTTGCTTTATTCTGTCTACAAAGAAACGGAAGGCTGACTTCCTGTTTAGACCTTCCCGTTTCAGTACCAAATTGAAGTAAATTTTTAAGTCCAATTCCTTTCTGCTCGCAAGTCCTTATTTAAAGTCCAATTATTCAAAGTTTAAGTACTCACGGGTGCTTATTTTAGAAGCCAAATTGTCCCAGGAAAAAGGCAGCGCTCTCCGGCAACAGCTATGCGGCTTCGCTCCACAGAAATAGCAGTTGACTCACAGCACCGCGCCACTTCCCCCTCTTCGCTTCGGAGCCTGTTAGTGGGTTCCTTTGCGGGTTGGGGGGGCGCTAAGGGTGCCCGCCGAGTCCCATGGTCACAGGCTTCATCTGCCTGTGATTTTTAAAAGGGTCCCCGCTTCACCGTAGCGGAAAAGACCCGTTTCGCGCAGAGCTCGTCCCTCCAGTTCAGAGGGAGTCCGCCATTGCCGATGGCGCCACCCCGGAAGTCCCTGATGATGAGATGCTAATTTGGAGCCCAGCAGTGGAGTCCTTCCTCTGCAAAAAGTCAGCCAGAACACAAACACACATGTTCTCATTGGGTTAGCCTATTCCATAGACCAGAAGGGAGAAGTTCAGATTCCATGGAGCTTCAGATTTTGAGTTGACTTTTGCCTCTCTGTAAAAGAACATCAGAAGACAGCCTGGCTGCAGCTGGACCAAACCAGAGGGGCCCCATCTAGTCCAACAACCAAGCAAATACTCACCTTGGTAAGCCCAACAGCAAAACAGATGCATTCAGGTGTGGGCTAGGGTGTTTTCACACTTGGCCACAGACCCCTTGCCCCTCTCCCAATTTTTAAAATGCATTATCTAATGTTTTAAGACTTCGCTTACAGGGGGACTTGATGTCCTGCTGGTGGCGGTGCCAATGAAACTCCCCCTCTAAGCCACCTGGCATCTTCACTTGCCCAGAGGAAATTAATACATTGGGCCCAGAAGACCCTATTGGCATCAGAATAAGCCCTGACAAGAATTAATTTTGAAGAATTAATTCTGAAGAATTAATTTTGCCCTGAAAAATTGCAAAGACAAATAGATATTTGCATATGCAAATCTGTCTCGTGAACTTGTTAACAGCTAATTAATTGCTAGAAGGAGCTAAGCCACTCTCCTGGTTAGTAGCTCCCATGTAAACTAAGATCTCATCACAGCTATGCTCTGTTGTTTGTTTGTTTAAAGATGACCATAGATGTAATTCATTTTATTAAACCTGTATATCATCTTATACTAAAAAGAAGTCCCAAACAAATTTTTATATATGATATTCTGTGTGTGCTTACCTGATACAGTAAAGCATAATAAAGTGTATTAAAATGCACACTATCAACATATGAGCAATAATAAAAACACACACTAAAGCCCAACTTAAGTGGCTGTTACAATATCATTATATCTGTTAATTTGCCTAGGAGATTAAAATGTTTTTACCAGGTGCTGAACTAATAGTAAGGTTTGTGCCAGGTGTGTCTCCCTGAGGAGAGTGTTCCACAGATGGGGCACAATTATAAAGAAGGACCATTCACTAGTTCCACACACACCCTTAGTGCTTGTTTTGGAGGTGCATGGAAAAGTGCCTCAGGTGATGAACACAGCAGGCAGTCTCATATGGGGCAGCCCTTGAGGAATTGAGGTCCTGAGCTGTATAGGGCTTTAAAGGTCAGAAACAGCACTTGCCATTTAACCCAAAACCCAATGACTGCCAATGCAACTGAGTGAGAATCAGTACTACAGTGGTACCTCGGTTTACGAACTTAATCCGTTCCAGAAGTCCATTCTTAAACCGAAACCATTCTTAAACCAAGGCACGCTTTTCCTAATGAGGCATCCCGCCACCGGTGCCCTTCCACCATTCAGATTATGTTCTTAGACTGAGGTAAAGTTCGCAAATTGGGACACTACTTTCGGTTTTGCGGAGTTTATAAACCGAATCATTCATAAACAGGACTGTTCTTAAACCGAGGTACCACTGTACAAGTTCACACTTTCCTGTTTCCAGTAACATTCTGGCAGCCGCATTCTGCCATAAGTAAAGTTCCCAAACCATCTTCAAAGGCAGCCCCACGTATAACAAATTGCCGCAATCCAGCCTATAGGTTAACAGAGCCTAGGCAATTGAAGCAAAACTATCTGTGTCCAGACAAGTTTGCAGCTGTGCCACCAGTCAAATTTGTTAGAAGGCACTCTTTCCCCCCCCCAAGGCCTCCAATGGTAATGTTGGATCCAAGAGTACCCTCAAGCTATCAGTTCCAGAGGGTGACCAGCCATATGTGTCAAGCCAAAGGCATCACTGGACAACCCCATGACTGCCATGGAGACCATGCAGTCCTGAACTGCAATCCTGAAATTAGGAGGTTCAGAGTAGACACTGGAACCCCTTGTACTAGTAGTCCTGAGAATCACAACAACCCACATCCAGTATCACCTCTGTCGTTTCAGGAAGGGAGGCTGCTAGGAGCAATGTAAGCCATGCACCAACAGATTGCCTAGTTGTTCCATTTGCCCAACACCAAAGGAAGACCTTTCAAGATAAATCTTCCAACATGGCAAAAAACATTTTAAAACTATCTCAATTCAAAAACAAAACCAAGCAAGAAGCCACCACTCCTGCACCTCAAGGCTAGTGGAGCTCTGATGACAAGAGGGGCCCCTGAGGAGAGCATTAAACAACCAGGGGGTGAGATCACCAAAAAGACCCTGCTCCAGCCTGCCTACCAGTCAAAGTGGGCAGGTTCATTTGGGTGCAGGAGCCCCTTGAGATGCCCTGATCCTGTGCTATATAGTCACTAGTCAGCCAGCTCTTTGAACTGTGTTGAGAAACAAAGGAGCCAAGGGGGGAAAGTTCTGTACTGGCAAAATATATCCTAGCTGGTCAGTTCATTTGTTAGAAGTTAATGTTTTCTTTTGTCTAGGCCATCTGAAAATCAATAAATTGCCATTTAAAAAATATGTATCTTAGCTTCCCAGTTCAAATCAGTATTCTGACTCCTTATTCTGAAGCAGATGACGTTTCTGGGAGTGTTCATGGGCTGTAGTTAGTGGAAATGACCAAGGCAAAGATTGCTGTGTGAAGGTTTTCTCCACCTGGAAGGGTGACAGGTAGCAAAAGGTGCTTCATGCCACTGTGGCCACTTGAGCCTCTAAAGAAGAGGCCAGATCATCCATAGGCTCTGACCTTGATCCTTAAGAGGGAATGCAAACCCATCCAGAACACTCACTACCACCTCCCATCAGCTGAACTACCTACCCACAACAGCATCCCCATCCTGCCTGGACTGGGACTCAGTTTATTAGCCCTCATTCAGCCCATTGGTTCAACCTCCTTGAATCACTGCGACAGCCAGCCTTACTGGGTTTCAGCATCCCCAATTCCCAGTCCTGACAGCTGGCTCAGAAGGACACTAAGAGAGGTAGTATTGAAAGTCACTGAAAGGGTCAAGAGAACTCACTGGACCACATACCCCCTTGCTCTCAGCAGCCGTTGGTTCACCAGAGCAACCAAGGTGGTTTTGGTGGCAACCCTAGGTGAAAAGTCACATTGAACTGGACCTAGATTGTTTTCAGATACTAGGGGGTATCAACCCAGGCCTTACCTGTCATTGCAAGATCCAAGAGTTGCCCCTGCAGGTAAATAAATGCTCTTGCTCAGGAGCAAAAGAGGCATTAAAGCGACTGATCTGGTGATGGTTTCCAGTGCAGCAGCAATGGAGAGTCTCTTGGCATCACTATCAAAGATACCAATCTAAGGTGAAGCCAAGCAGGATCTGGCTGGGCCCTTGGTTAGAAGCAGAGGGGCTGGCTTCTCACAAAGCAGAGGGCTTCCTTCCAGCTTCTTCATGTAGAGCTCAGGTGCTTTCTGTCTCCGTGCAGGCTGCCAAGAGTAAGTTGGCAGTCTCCTAGCAGCAACCCAGCCTGCTTTCCTCAGGAGGACTTTTGCCTCCTGAGACTCCCCGCTCCCTCCCTCCCTCCTCTTCCTCCCTGCTGCTCAGGCAACAAGAGGACATGGTGGAAAAAAGCAGAAGACTCAACCTCCCAGGCCAAAACAACGTCGGAGTGTGGCTGTCGCAAAGGAATTGCCTGCTGAATCGATGTGGGCTTGAGTTCCAAGGTGGAAAATTGAGGGCTTTCCCTGGAGTAATGTTTCCTTAGCTGAGATTTAGTCTGTTTCCAGGGAACATGCACTGCACAGCTTGTGTATGTCAGTGTTAGAGATATAATGCATTCCCACCAAACTTAGAGCAAACCAAACTGCTTCTTCCAGTGTGCCGTTTATTTATTTATTACAGTTGTGTAATAAAGATCTTCCTCCAGAGAGTTCAAGGACAAGGCCTTGCGCACTGTTCTCTACCCCCGCATCACCTATTTTATCTTAACAACCCTGTGTGGTAGGCTAGCCTGAGTGATTTGACCAAGTTCAATCAGTGAGCTTCAGAGCTGGGTAGGATATCGCCCCCTAGGTCTTCCCAGTTCTTGTCTGTCGCTCTAACCAGTGTTAGAAACTCACATATTTAAGTTAGGCACCAAATGGCTCCTTAAGTGAAGGTTACATTTGCCAAAACAGAATGTCCAGTACGACTCTAATGTCTTATTTTTCAAATGATGGGTTAAACATCTGGCTAGATAGATTTAACATCTGGTTAAACATCTGGCTAGATCAGATGACAACCTTGAGCTAGATTAAGAGCTTTGAGAACTTAAAGAAGACAAATCACTTGATCCAGGGGCAGCTCACATATATATCGGCCAGTTCCTACCTTCTTTTCTTAACAGTGACTGCTCCTGCTCAGGCTGCACAGAAAAAGCATTTCGGTTCCAGAAATTCATTCCAATTGTACAAATAAAATATAACTAATAGAATTCTACAGGATGGGGTATTAGTGTGTAAAAACAGTCCAGAATCCATCAAGTCCAGGCATGCACCTCCAGATGGTGGAGGTGCCGGGTGCCATCCTGGTGCTTGGGCATCTTCACTTGGTCACAAGTGGTCGAAAGCCAGGTGCAAAATGCGCCTGGCACCTGGCTAATTTCGAACGCTGACTCTAACCACCACACCACACTGCCTCTCTATCTAAATAAGTACCTTGGAATGCTTCTCATCAGTGAGCCATACTTCCACGATGGAAGGTGTGCCAGTGTGGCATGGGGGAGAGGTCCCCCCTGTTTTGCTCCCAGGGCTTTGCTGCCTTTCCCATCCTGATGATAACATCTCCTTTTGCCTTTTAGGATAAGGACACTGAGCAGCCACTCAACAGCAGAGGTAAGAACAGAGGAGACCCGTTGAATCGGACCAGCATCCTCTTTCACACAGGAGTCGACCAGGATGCCTCTGGGAAGCCATCAGGCAGGACAGAACATGCACACAAGAGTCCTGCCCCAACGTGGCCCCCAAGAGTGGGTCATTCCAAGGCAGACTGCTTCTGAATGTGAAGGCAGCACTAGAAATATGATGGCGACAATCCCTGATTTATTCATTGCCTTCTGAACAACTGTCTCAAGGCGATGCACACCAAAAATAGTTAAGAGCACAAAAACAGCAACTAAATTTAAAACTATACAAAGCAGGCACTTGTGGTAAAGACCCACTTTATCCAGCATAGCAAGTTGGTGGCAGTCTTGAATCTTCCAACATTCAACTTTATGTGATTGGTGATTACGACAGTGAAGGCAGAGAATAGCCATTATGGCTAGTAACTATTGATAGCCTCCTTCCTCTGAATTGGTCTAATCCTCTTTTAAAGGCATCCAGTAAGGAAAGACTACAACATTTGGGGCTTTTTGATTTAGAAAAAAAGATAAGTAAGTGACGGGGGGAGGGGGTGGGGAGTGGGAACATGAGGATGCATAAAATTATATAGTGTGGGTAAAGTGGCCAGACAGAACATTTTCTCCCTCTCTCATAATATTAGAACCCTCTGGAAGCAATCATACATTGGTCCAGCAACAGTAGCAATAAAAACTATTCAGGAAAAATGTTTATATTTACAGTATAACCAGCTCCAAGCATATGCCTGAACCAGAGCAAACAGAGGAATGTCTACCTTCCTGGCTGTTCAGGGGGTGGGGGGGGGAGAGAAACAGGAAGTACAACTACTTCCTCTCCAGGAGAACATGGGAAATGACATCACACAGAGCCCTCTCTACCAATTATGTTTCTATGGCCTGATCATCTGCCTATCAGCAATTCAGCTCTGTGGTGATAGCCCCTTCTCAGGATGACTAGCAAGAACATGCATTTGTTAAGACTGGCTTATGGGTGTAGTCAGGATTTTTGTAAGGAAGGGGCATGCTTTTGTTAGTGGGGGGAGGGGCAGAACCTCAGATTTGTATTGATTTGGCTGCTCATTTCCTGCACAAACTAAGCTCTGGAAACGGCCTATGAAGGAGACTCACAGCATGCCCACCCCAGCAACCAGCTCTCTCTATGTTCACAGAGTCTTCACTCACAGACAAGGCTTTGACCAGGAAGGAAGCCTTCATACGCATTGGCATCCCTGTCATTGCCGCCATCCTGTGCATCGGGATTCTCATCACTGCCATCTTCCTCAGTAAGAGACCCTCATGCTGTGTGGTTGCAGCGGTACTGCCAGCTCATACCGTCCGCCTGCCCCCCTTCCCACTTGTTTTCCTCTTCCACAAGGTGCATAAGAAGAAGCATTCCCACTCCAGCCCCATTGATGCTTTGCAGGGGGGTTGGGCTAGATGACCGTTGGGGTCCCTTCCAACTCTAGAATTCTATGGCATGCCAGGGGCCCCCCGAAGGAAGGCAGGCAGCTTCACCGGGCCTGATGCTCACAAGAATCTCACGTGGCTACAGCTGGTGGCTTTCCTGGGGCTGGGCCATCCAGAGAACCCCAAAAGTGACCCTAGCTCTCGCTCTCTCTCCTCCTAGTTAAGATAGCGGTGGAATCCTACTACTTCTTCTGCAGCCAAACCTATAAGTTTATCCCCCTCAACCTCCAGTGCGACGGGAGCGTGGACTGTGCCTGGGGGGAAGACGAGATCGGCTGCGTGCAGCAGATGCCCGATGGCACCATCGTGGGAGGTGAGTCCTGGGTGTGGCGATCACACAGGATCCCCGGATGTTTCACCATCGATTGATCCCTGTGCCACCACTTTATTTCTCGCTGCCACCACCCAGGCCCTACCTGGTAAAATACTGAGTCCAGTCAGGATTTGATTGGAACATAAACTTCTGTTTATTTGTTGCAGTTTAACAAGCATGTGGTTTCATAAACGGTCTCAGTCAATTACAATCATGGGGTGCCTACTCAGCCTATAACTTCCGCTACCTGCTCTCACTCACTAAACCACCTCTCAGATATTTACTGATCTTCCTAGCTCCTAACTGTTCCTGACTCAGCTTATTTCACTACACTAACTCAACCTACCCACAGACTCTATCCCAATTCACTCCCACTCCAACCAACCAAGGAACTCCCCCTCTTCACCCTTCCCAGAGTTGGTTTTATAGTCCCTCTGACTCCACCCCCCTGGGTTCTGATTGGGTAACCTGTTTAACTATTTCACCTCCAGCACTCTCATATGTCACACTCGGGTCACACCAGAAGGAGGCAGGCAGGCAGCCAGCCAGGGTCTGCCACTGAAGGAAACCAATGGCTGCCGTGGCCTCTGCTTCTCTCTCCACAGTCCGTCTCTCCCGCGACAGGTCCAGCCTGCAAGTGCGCGACAGAGAGTCGGGCCGCTGGGCCTGGGCTTGCCATGACGACGCCTTTGACCTCGCCATGGCCACGGCTGCCTGCAAGCAGATGGGCTACAGCAGGTAAGGGGGGGCGGGCAGTCTGATGCCAAAACAGGGTGAAAGCAGCTGCCGGGACCCCCATGTCAAAGCAGAGGGAGCCTGTATCACCACAGCCGCAGCCTGGAGGGCCACTCGCCTTGAAATACTTGCACATTTATGTCCTGGTGGCGTCAGGGCCAGCTCCATGGGCGACCTGCTTCCCCCTCAACCGTGGCTGCACTTGCCCCTTGTGAATCACTTGCAGGGGACCCACTCATGGCCTCGCATCTGCCTCCCCCACAGGAGCTTCGAGGGCAGAGCTTGTGATGGGTTTCCTTGGAAACCACTCCCATGTTTACTATCCCTGTTCCCAAGTGTTCCTGCAGAGGATCCCGCACTGAAACTCCCAGGAGAGATTAAAAGGTTTCCCAAACTTGGGTCTCCTGCTGTTTTTGGTTGGCAGTTCCCATCATTCCTGACCACTCTTCCAGCTAGCTAGGGATGATGGGAGTTGCAGTCCAAAAAAACAGCTGGAGACCCAAGTTTGGGAAACCCCAGATTACAGCAAGTGCCACTCCAGCTGTTTCTGTACTCCAACTCCCATCAGCCACAGCCAGCATGGTTGATAGTCCGTTCTTCAACCACAACGTAGAGAATCATTGCACAACTCAGGCGCATCCAGCTGACAGTGCAGACAGCCTGCGCTGTGCAAGGGTACCTGCTGGCCAGGTGGTGGTGGGGAGCTGGCAGCTACTGGATGCCCATCAAGTGCCTGGTCCAGCTTGAATCAAGGGGTAGCTGCTGCTCTCTGCTTAAGTGGTCCTATGGGGTTAATAAAGGCCCATCAAGAGGCACCCCAAGATCTCCCCAAAATGGCAAAATAGAGACAATGATTCAACAAGAACCAGGAAAATAATTCAATAAGGATTGTCCTTGCTAAACTGGGAAATATGGACAGGGATCAAGTGAGGTCTCAGGTTAGAGCCGATTGCAATAGCAGAGTGTCATCAGGTCATGCACCTGACACTTTTGGAGCGGAGGTGGCTTCCCAGATCTCAGACCCAGGACCTCTTTCAGGCCTGGAGAAGACGAAGTGCTTCTGAGCACATGCAAAGTGCATTTCTCTCACTAGTATGAGTATCCTGGCTCAAGGATCCTCTTTCAAGTCAATGTCCCAGGCCAGGCCAACCAAGAGAGGAGGGTGGTTCCTCTCCACTGGGTTCACAGGAACCTTCTCGGTATCTTGGGAGGAAAAGATTTCTGACAGAGCAGCAGAACCTTAAGGCCCTTCCTAGAAATGCACAATGCTTTATTCACAAGACTGTAGCCCCCCAAAGTGTGGGTCAGCACATTAGACTTTAATGCAGGACAGAGGGCCGGCCGGACAACTCTTGGTGTCTGTTTTGCCCATGGAAGAAATGCTTCCACTTTGGCATGGGGTTGTATACCTGCATTCAGATGCCCCTGTTGCCAAGCTCCTTCCCTCTTTTGCAGTGTCCCCACCTTTAGCCCTGTGGCAGCTGGTGATAGGCAGCAGGGGCAGCTCCTCAGACAGGTGACTCTACAGGGTGGGGAACTCCGCTGGACAGATTCGGAAAGGTGAGTGAAGCTCAGCAGGTAGTGGGGGGGGGGAGACTGCTGTTCCTGCTATGAGGAAGGAGCAGTTTAGATTTCCTACAACACCCCTAACACTGCATCATGCCAGGGCCCTGTCCAAAATGACTGCGGTGGCCGGATCCAGCTGCTTGGCACTCACTGGAGCACAGCTGCCTGCCACTAGATGGAAGAAAAGGCCCAACAAATGACAAGTTTGCTCAGAACCTTCCCTGCAATCCATCTGCATGGGACTCTCTCCCTTGCTGTTAATATGACAAGAGGGTTTCTCCATACTTAACCTTTTGCCCTGCTCTATCCAGATACAGGTCCATGCTTTAAAGCTCTGTGTCTGAGTGGTTTTTTCTCTTTTTTTGCCCCAGAGCTTTCCTTGTGAAAACTTGCTTTCTGGAGCTCATTTGGAGCAAATGTCAATTTGGGTTGATTCAGCTTTAAAGAGCAGGTTTTCACAGGGAATGCTCCGGGGCAAAAAAAACCCCAAACCTTCCCACGCTTAAACACTGAGCTTTAAAGTGAGGACTGTGGAAGGAAAGATAAGTGTGGATAAGCCCAAAGCTTCTGTTGTGAGTTCAGTGACTTTAATGCATTTGCTTTGCACCAAATGGAACTGAGGTGTGATTTCTTGAAGGCTGATTTGGTGGAAGGCAATGCCCCTGGTTAGGGCTGGCAGGGCACCCTACATAGATGTGTTGGGAAAGGGAGGTGGGGGGGGGCTCTGGAATCCACATGGCTTGAAGATGTGGGAATGTTGATGAAAGTAGGAGAGGATATATTGATTAAATATTATCCCTCCTCACTCACGCTAGTGAGCAAGCAGCAGAGCACATTCCCTTGCACATTGCTGGAAGCAAGTTGGTGGATTCATTAGAATCACTTACGTTGAGCAATCCAGTCTGGCTTGTTCCTGGAAAGTTTCTCCTTTTATTTCCCTCTTTAAAATAATAACACGACAATCTCCTTTTAAAGTAAGAATAACGTTTACTTGAGGGACGCGGGTGGCGCTGTGGGTAAAACCTCAGCGCCTAGGACTTGCCGATCGCATGGTCAGCGGTTCGAATCCCCGCGGCGGGGTGCGCTCCCGTCGTTCGGTCCCAGCACCTGCCAACCTAGCAGTTCGAAAGCACCCCCGGGTGAAAGATAAATAGGGACCACTTACCAGCGGGAAGGTAAACGGCGTTCCGTGTGCTGCGTTGGCTCGCCAGATGCAGCTTGTAACGCTGGCCACGTGACCCGGAAGTGTCTGCGGACAGTGCTGGCTCCCGGCCTCTAGAGTGAGATGAGCGCACAACCCTAGAGTCTGTCAAGACTGGCCCGTACGGGCAGGGGTACCTTTAACTTTACCTAAAGTTTACTTACATTCAGTTCACAATAGTTTTCTGAAGGCAGGCTTTATCTTGTGGTTACAGTTACATTTGTAGAGAAAAGAAATCTGAGCTAGGCCTCAGACTTTCTACCTTGTGGCTTCCATTCACTTTAAGGATGAGCCATGTGCTGCTGGCCAAGAGCCAGAATAGAGGAAGATGGCTGTGTGGCTTACCCTTTTGTAGGGTCTGCTAGGGTCATGCCCATCTACCTAGTCACACACAGGGGAGGAGCCTCCAGAGCAGATATGACAGGAAGTCCCCTGTGTGTCTACTCTAGGAATCAGGAAATGTTGTGTTTGACTGCTTCAGTGATGATACATCCCACAGAAGAGGCCCAAACTGGCCAATTTTTTCTGATAAAGTCAGAAGGAGGAGTGATGGGCATATGTACCCAGGGGTTGGCGAGGTTGGTTGGCCAAGGGTGCAGGCCCAATGAGGTGCAAAAATTGTGCTTCTCCACTCTGGCTTTGAGTGGCTAGGAGCCTGCCTGCCCACCTGTATGCTTCCTGGGCTGCTCCCTCACTGCTCTCTGTGGCTAGCCAAGGTGCACAGGCTCTGGGCACCTCAACAGAGGAATCTGGTTGTTGGTGTGGGCTGTTGCAGCAGCCATGTGAGGTCCTCTCCCTAGCCATCCACTATGTGAAGTGTGATTGGAGCACCCAGCTCTTTGCGCAAGGGAGGGAGGGCACCAAGGGTGCAAGGGAGCCTGGGTACACCTCTGTTCCCACTGAATCCTATGCAAGACCCTTCACTGCGAAGCCTGAGCCATGCCCACGTTGACTCCTAGGGTGGGTATAGCAGGCCCTGTTTTTCTCATGCCTGTCTCCTAACCCGTGACCAGTTGGCAGCAGTTTCTGACCAGGTCTCTCTCTTACAGGCAGTGCCCCTCTGGCTCCATCATCTCTCTCTCCTGCTCAAGTGAGTATGTGTGTGCTCTTAGTGCTGACTACAAAGCAGCAGTGGCACTGACCTGCCTGGACTTGGGCTGTTGCCAGCAGAGCAAACCCATCTGAAGGCCTGGGAGCCAGGGGTTGGGTCCATGAGGGCACTATTCAGGTTGGGGCTGGAGCAACTTTCACCCCAGCAAGGCAGGGCGCGTGCTTGTTAGTGACATGACTGGTGTGAACGTTAGTGCTGAACTTCCACCTCCAAGCAAGCACCTGCCCTGTGGCTTAACCTGTTACCCTTTCAAGAACCAAAGAAACTTATTTTTGTATGCAACTATTGTGGTGAGTGTACTATGTGCCCCAAACTGGCAGGATGATGCAGCGCCTACAAACGAGGAGTGGCAGATGAAATTGATGGAGTATGCTAAATTAGCAAGCTTAACTAGTAAATTAGGGAACAAGCTGAGACAGCCTTTAAAGAGGATTGGAAACCTTTTGTAGATTATTGTTTTTTAAATATTGCAAATATGTTAAAATGCTAGCTGGTTTGCAGTCAGCTCAGAACTAAAAGCTACTTTGAGGATAAGATGGATGAAAGAAGGATTAGAATAATTATAATATGCAACAGCAATTGATAACTTGAGGAAACCATGGAAGGGTGGAAGGGAAGTCAATCAAGAAGAGATTACATTTTGGAACTGTTTGATTGACTGTATTGTGTTTTTGGAAAATTAATAAATAATTTTATTTTTAAAAAACCACCTGCTGCTCTTTGAGGATGCAGGTCCCCCCTTGAGTGAGTCAGGAGCCCAAATCCTGTCTTCTGGCAAGAAGGTTCAAGTGTTGTATGTCGGCTCAGCATCATGCATGAGGGAAGAACCTAAGCAGATTGATTTCTGTAGCCTGGGCTGTTGGGTGGGGGGACAGACTAGCACACAGCCCAGAACCCTTAGACCTTTTAAACCTGTCTCTCAAAAAGACAACTGACAGTGCTGGGCTTTCTGTGAGCCTGCAATTATCCTTAGCAGTTGACTTTGCAGAGAAGGACTCGTGACTGCAGCATTATCTTCTGTCCACACCCAGCTTGTCCCTTTGAACCAGACTCCTAAGGTAACATCATATGCTGAACTGAGAACCTGATTTGCCTACCCTTTGGATGTAGGTTGTGGCCATAACTCGAAGTCGCCGCGCGTCGTGGGTGGTGGTCCAGCTTCCATCAAGACCTGGCCATGGCAGGCCAGCTTGCAGCACAAGGGGCAGCATGTCTGTGGAGGGAGCATCATCGACCCCCAGTGGGTTCTGACAGCAGCACACTGTTTCCGGTGAGTCAGTGAGCACCAGATTAGGGCCTAGCAAGAATTGATCTGATTCCCATCAATCCTGGAGGGAAATGCATCTAGACACAACAGAGGCTGCAAGGCAGCCCCAGGGAGGAGCAATAGTCCTCTGCTCTCACAAAGCTGGACCTACATGCAGACTTCAACCAGAAACACCACCAGGCCCACTTTCACCAGGCCTGGTTCAAGACTAGGGTTGCCATCTTTTTTATTAGCTCACGCTCCTGTGCCTTTAACAGGAGCTTGGACTGCAGACATTGGAGAGCAGTCAGGCTCATCTTTGTCAGCATAAAGGCTCATCAGTAGGTTGAGCCAGTTTGGGCTACTTTTCTGGCCAGTTGGGCCCCTTTGTGGCATGCATATGTCTTGCCACTGAAGGGGAAGAGCAAACAGGTGAGCCTCTTTCTGTTCTCAGGACCAACCTGGTGACAAAGTACTGGCAGGTGAAAGGTGGCTCAGAAATCTTCTCAAATGCCACTGCTGTCCCTGTGGAGAAGGTCTTCGTCATCGACGTCAAGTACATGTTCCCCAAAGATGAGGACATTGCATTGGTCAAGCTGCAAACCCCCTTTAACCTCCCAGGTGAGAGGCTTCTCAGACTGCCAGCTGGGGGGAATTAGGGACCTCTAGCTGGACCAGGGACTCGTAGCTCCTGACAAACCAAGCCCATTGCAAAAATGGGTTGGAGTTCACAGCTGAGATGCTGGACTTGCTGCTTGCCTGTATGGGCAACCTTTTCTGGAAGATATTTGTAATTTCAAGTTTAGTGATCTGACATGGTCATCTCTTCCTGCCTCTGTTTACTTCCCTTCTCTGTCTCTTGTTAAAGTTCTTTGATGGCTGAGAGCAGCTTTTAATGTATAATCTGGTGGAAGGAAGAAGTGATAAAGCAGAGTACCTTCTGACCTTCTTTGATGTTAGACATTGTTTGGAGGAACGTGCAGTATTGGAAGAGGGGGCTAGCTAATTCATAATCTGCACTAGCTAGTCGGGCAAGACACGTAGGCTAACAATTTAGCTATCTATAAATTGAATGGTTTGGGGGGCATAGCTCTCAGAAGCTCGTACAACCTGAGACTACCTGGGGGTCACTTTGCCACTTCTTGGGGGCTTCCCAGTGGCAGATTGAAGTGCTTGCTTGGTGATGTATATATTGCTTGCTGTTTAGAATAAAATCTTTAATTTTCTCCCTCACTTGTGTTTGTATTGCTTCTGAATCTCATAAAAAGAACCACCTTGCCTTTGGCAAGACATTGTCCAACTGCCTTCCTTCCCTCTTTCTGCTGCAGGGTCAGTGAAGCCAATCTGCCTGCCTTTCTTTGATGATGAAATGGTCCCAGGAACCCCCTTGTGGGTGACAGGCTGGGGATCCACCAAGCAGGATGGTGAGTTTTCCCTTGGCATTTTCATCTTCTTCCCCACCACTGCCCTGCAAGTGCCGGGCCAGCTGCCTTCTGGTCTCTGCTGCAGCCTGCTTAGGACTGAGCAAGGATACCAGACTCTAGATGGGGAGATGACCTGCTGTACCTTTGAACTCCCAAGCTGTTCCCACAAGGTGCAGCTCCCGAGGACAGCAGACAGAGCCCAGGGGCCTACAGAGACCAACCAAGAGCAGGCAAGTGGGTACAGGTACCCATACCCAAACAAAAGTCTGGCTTGGGCAGCCATGAACATGCCTTCATTAAAAGAGCAAAGAGTGCCTGCCAGCCTTGGGGACAGGCCATAGCTCAGTGGTAAAGTGTTTGCTTTGCATACAGAAGGTGCCAAGTTCAATCCCTGTTGGCATCTCCAGTAGGGAGGGAATGTTCCCCTGCTTGAACTCCAGGAGAGCTGCTGCCAGTCAGTGTTGACAGTACTGAGCAAGATGGACCAGTGGTCTGACTCGATATCAAGCAGCTTTCTGATTTTATTTGCATGCCACCTTTCAAACCATGATCAAGGCGGCTTACAACATGAAGGGGGAAAAAAATACACAGCTGCAACATAGCAAAATTAGTCATAAGCAATAAATAAGTAAAGGTAAAGGGCCCCCTGACCATTAGGTCCAGTCGTGGCTGACTCTGGGGTTGCGGCGCTCATCTCGCTTTATTGGCCGAGGGAGCCGGTGTACAGCTTCCGGGTCACGTGGCCAGCATGACTAAGCCGCTTCTGGTGAACCAGAGCAGCACACGGAAATGCCGTTTACCTTCCCACTGGAGTGGTACCTATTTATCTACTTGCACTTTGACATGCTTTCGAACTGCTAGGTTGGCAGGAGCAGGGACCGAGCAACGGGAGCTCACCCCGTCGCAAGGATTCGAACCGCCGACCTTCTGATCGGCAAGTCCTAGGTTCTGTGGTTTAACCCACGGTGCCACCCGCGTCCCTCTAAGCAATAAATAAAACCTTAAAAAATACACAACCTAACAGAACAATTTCCACATAAATCACAACAAAATCTATAATAAAGATACAAAAACCAATAGCAAACAACCCCAACAAAACCCCAAGAGTCTCTTCAGCAGCCTCGGCTTTTGTAGCTGGAGTCAGAGCCCTGCCTTCCCAGGCCAGGTGGGAAAAGACCTGCAAAGCAAACAACTGGAATGAGCACTCCAAGCGTGAAATTGGCTTGGAACAAACCTTCGAGCCTTACATATAGATGGGCTGGGAATTCTTTTGGGCCACTGCAGCCTCTCCCATAATTTGAAGTCATCTCCACCATGCTTTTTGCTAGGTACACTGTCCAAGGAGCTACAGGAGGCACAGGTGGAGTTGATTGACAGCCGCATCTGCAACGCACCTGATGCCTACCATGGGGAGGTGACCGAAAAGATGCTCTGTGCAGGCCGTGATCGGGGTAGAGCCGACACCTGCCAGGTAAGCGGCACAGAAAGATCAAAGGCCTCAACTTTCCTCCTCCAGCTCGGCAGCCCCATCAGGAGGGAGGGCAGAGCAGGGAATCATCAGTTCCCTTTTTCTAAGAAGGATGACGCTGAAGCTGAGCTTCATTTGGAGAGGGGACTGATGCAGGTTAAAGAGGGCAAGGCATGGCTGGTTGCCCTTCATGGGAGACAAACTAGGAGCAGGACGCAACATGCAGAGCTATTGATCCCTAGTGTTTCCATTTGGGATTCAGCTGAGTCCTGTCCACATTTATGCAGCCTGTGTCTTCCTTCTCACCCAGGGAGACAGCGGAGGGCCACTGGTGCACAAACAGGGCCCGTGGCACATCGTGGGCATTGTCAGCTGGGGCCATGGCTGTGGAAGCCCGAGCACCCCTGGCGTCTACACCAAAGTGCAAGCCTACCTCAACTGGATCTACACCATCCTCAGGGTCAGTGTTGCTTTTCTCTGGGGTAGGACCCATTTTCTGTCCTGGCAGGATGGAAGTGGGTGGGCAGAGTTAGGCTGCCCACCAGCAGGGGAATGGGATCCGTCATGGAGGTGCCTCTGCCTCAGATGGTCACCAGGCGGTTCCTCTGTGGGTTTTCTTCATCCAGACGGAGTCCTGAGAACAGACCGGCCGCAACTGTCCTGCACACATGCACGCCCTTGGAGCAACGTGCGTGTAGGGCGTCCTTCCAGTCCTGCCGCAGCTTCCACTGAGGACATGGGAAAGGCAAGAGGACAGCCACAGGATGGGGCCCTCAAGAAGGTGCTGGACAAGGCTCCCTGGGGAAGATGTTAATTTATGGCTGCTGCTGCTGCTGAAATCCACCTGAGATCCACTTTGCCAGCTACTCTGTTCCTTTCCATTTCCTGCTATCTTTCTTGGCAGAGCTTGGGGAAGCTCTTGCAACCCAGGAGAGGCAGTTTGCTTCCCCGTGACCTGGCACTGACAAAGGGAGCAATTGAAGAGAAAGGCTGGGTCCAGACCTAGGATAAAGACAGCCCTTTGTCTAGCTTTCCATCTTTTTCACTGTCTGGCAGGAGCCCTCACCTGGGCATCCTGTGGCCTTGAGGCTGTCCCTCCTCTGACCAGGCCTGCCAAAGGGGTAGTCTGACCCAGCAGCTCTTCCTCCTCCTATTTATTACACCCTGTACAAATCCCTCTTCCTCCCCCGCTTGGAATAAATCAAGGAATGTTTTATACCAAAAGACTTTTGAACCTGTGTTTGTGGCCAAACTGAGTCCAGTACGAGGTTTGCTGCACCGACAGCTGTTGGAGTCATGCATTAATTTTGGCATCAGGAAAAACTGGGAGCTCAGTCCATCTTGACTGCCTTCACAAAAATACTGCCTCCCTCTGAATATGAGGAGCCTGGCTGCTGGATCAGGCCAAAGGGGACCCATCAAGGCCAGCATCCTATTCTCACAGTGACCAACCAGCTGCTCCAATAGGAAGCCCACAAGCAGGCCATGAGTACAACAGCAGCGCTCTCCCTACTTGAGATTCCTAGATAGGGTCTTCAGAGGCATATGGCCTATGAGAGTGGAGGGAGAAAAGAGCCATTGTGGCTAGTAGCTATTGATAGTCTTATCCTCCCCCACAAAATTCGCCTAATCTTTTAAAGCCACCCAACATCCCTACATCTTGAAATTTCAAATTCAATAGCTTAAGCATGTGCCTTGTTAAGAAGTTATTTCCTCTCCAGAATCTTTCAGCTTCATTGGACAGCTCTGAATTCTAGTACTATGAGACATAGGGTGGATCTACACACAGGAAAAAAACCTGCTATAAATAAAGTCAGAAATTAGATCGTTATAACAAACTAAAAAAAAACCCTTATGGAAAATCACATATAAAATTTCCTGCTCTCTGGCACCATCTGGTGTTCATGTTTGTAGCGCATTCAAATTGTTTCTTTACTAATGTAGCTGTGTCCATAATTGCATACACATCTGTCATACCCACCCCCTTACCTGGTTTCCCTCTAAGCTAAAAGGTCCCAAATGCTGTAAGTTTTCCTTGATCGTTTTGGTTGCCCTTCTCTGGACCTTCTCCAGCTCTGCAATATCCCTTTTGAGATGAGATGACTAGAACTGTACACAGTGTTCCAAGTGCAATTATGTCACAGATTTCTATAACAGATTTGCCTAGGATGTTGACAGTTTTATTTTTGGTTCCCTTCTTAATGATCCCTAGTATGGCATTTGCCTTTTTCACAGTTGCTGTACACTGGATCAACAACTTCAGCAAGCTATCCATGCTCCAGCAGGAGTGAGGCTCTCAGTCTAAGGAGGGTAAATTATTCTAACAACAAACGTACCTAAGAGAGCAGGGCTCCAGCAGCAGCATGGTCTTCACAAGCCCAGAGAATCAGTCTAGGTCCAAACATGGTTCAGAAACAAGCTCAAGGAAGTGTCCAAGGTCAATATCACAAGGGAAGAGGAGGGCACAAGAAGTAGGAGCTAGGATCCAGAGACCTGTCTTGTTTCCAGCAACTAGAAGGGACCAGATGGATGCCTCACATACTCAGGCCTCCTAAATGTCGCCCTAATCACATCCCTGTGCCTTCTTCAGTCTCTCTTTAAGAATTGGTCTTGCATTGGCCAATTCCTGTCCTCGGGTAGAGAAGCTGATCTTAGAGACAAGTAGCAAATCTTTACTGGAACACAAGCAATTTCATAGTTGAGTTCTTTTAAGAACTCTGCAGTGGATGCCCTCCGGGCCTGGTGACTTCTCAGTTTATTAATTTGTCCATAAGACCTAGAACTTTGTCTCTTTGTCACCACTACCAGCCTTTGTTCCCTTCCTGCAAATGTTAGAACTTCAGGCACAGGGATCTGCCCTCTATACCTTCTGCTGCATCCTCCTCCACCACAGAGAGGTGGCAGAAGTGAAACTTTTTGCAGAAGTGAGACTTAAGAGTGCACAGCAAAGGAGGCAGCCAGCCCTGGCTACCAGTTGAAAGTGCAGGAAGCCCAAAGAGAACATAGCTGGTCTCGTAGGTTGAGCTTTGGACCCCGAAGTTCAGCAGCCCCAGGTGGCTGCTTGCTTGTCCCATAAAATAGGCATTGTCCCCAGCAACTGTTCTCTTCTGCCCCAGAGCAGGAGCAGCACAGAGGGTAAGAAAATGCAGCATCCCCCAAGCACAGGAGAGAGGACCAGCTCTTGGAAATTTCCCAGCACAAATCTTGCCCCAGAGCATTCCAGAGGGCTTGATGCCTCTGGAAATCCTTGCCCTTGCAAGTTACTTATTTTTCAGTGTGGGATCAGGAAGGCCTTGGCTCTCAGCCACGGAGGATGGCATGCGTGTCTTGGCTCAGGTCAGAGAAAAAAGGATCAAGTGGATCTCTGTCTCTGCATGCGTTTTAACACACATGCAAACCCAGTGTCATCGAGTACTTGCGCACACTCCAAAGAACAAAACGAAAGCAGCCCCAAGGAGCCTCTGTAGTAAATATAAAGGTTTTATTTCATTCACGGCAATGAAGCCAATTACAGCTCGAGAGTGCAAAAGAGAAGTCTCAAAGGCAACACCGGTTGCCGAAGGTGCACCTGTGCTTGGCCCAGCCTCTATGCTAGCCTGCCGCCTCCTCCTCCTGGCGTGAGCGCATGCAGGCAGCGCCGGGCTTGCTCCAGCAGAGGCTGCCAGCCTCTTTGGAAAGGGAAGGAGGGCAGAGTGGGGAGGCCTTGTGGCAGAAGCAGCTGGACCAGGAGGGATAAAGAGCTCTGCTCAGATAGTCTCTTGTATTTGCAGAGGGAACAAGGCGGCCGGGGGCGAGGGGGCACGCATCAGCGCAAGACAGCTTGGTGATGGAAAGCCCTTGGTGAGGAAGGCAGGGCCTTGAGGAAAGCTGCAGGCAGGGTCAACCTCAGGGTCCTACTGCCAGGGGAAGAGCCACCAGGGGAGATGAACAGGCCTCCCAAGAGCCAGCACAGGACCAATGTCCCACCAGCTACTCTCACAGTTGCACCAGAGTCTAGCTGGCCACTGCTCCTGGTGGCAACTTGCCCCTGCCCTGGGACAAAGGCTCAGCTTGAAATAAAAGCAGAGCTGGGAGGAACATGGGAGGGGCCTCAGTGTTAGCCCAGCCCGGAAGTCTTCCTGGACAGGAGGTTCCCTGGCCAGTGCTGCCCCTCAACTTCTTCCTCCACCCTAAGCAGCTGGTGCCCCCTGCTGGGCTGCTCCGGGACTCCCATGGGAGCTCTGCCTGCAAGCCTGGCTCTGAACTGGAGCCCTTCCTTGGCCCTTCCAGGATCCCACCTTCTGAAATTATTGCCAAATAATTTCGCAGACTGTGACTTCACCCACCTCCGCCCGCCTGCTTAGGCAGATGGTTCAGAGGAGTGCAGGTGGAGGCGGGTGATAGTTTCTTTTTCTTTGGATTTGCTGTTACACCCAGTGAAGAGAATTCATTAACCTGAGGAATCTGGTTAATTTGTCCAACGCCAGCCCGCCCTGCCGGCTGCTGCTGCTGGCTCAGGCTGGGTTGCACTGTTATTGCTGTTCACACCTCCTTGTATTGGGGATAGGGGTCAGGGGGGAGGAGGAAAGAAAGCAGACATAGGAGCAGAAATCACAGCAGGATCCAGAAATGGGGGGATGGCGTCTTTCCAAAGCTGGTGGGGTGTGGGGGAAAGAGCCAGGAAGCCAGTCACAGCCAGGAAGTCACTTGAGAGAGCTGAGGCCATCCATGTTTGCTGCCACAGCTGCTAAAATTCTTGCACTCACTTTGCCGGCCTTCCTCTCACCCTAATAACACACACACACACACTTACAAAGCATCTGACAACAGTCATGAATCAAGCCTCCTTACACCACCACCACACAGGGTAGGTTGATATTATTACACATCATATGGGAGACTGAGGCACGGATGAAGGATGTGACTATTTCAAAGGCACCCAAAAAGCGAGAGAGAGAACTCTGCTGTGGTAGGAGCTGGCCATTTCTCCTACTCCCCAGAAGAAATGGCATCTGCTCGGCCACTGTTCTGTCACACACAGGAAATGTATCTCTTCAATGAGAAAGGGGAGTGGGGAGCACCACCCAGAACTGCCTCCCTCCTCCCCAAGCCCTTGGGAGATCAGGAGATTTGGACACTGCCCTTAGCCAAATTCACCCAGACCACAATGCGGAGGAGGTGGCCTCTTGTGGGTTGCAGGACAACCTTGTGCAGGATTTGCAAACGCATAGCTTTCATTATTATTAGTTATTAGTGTTATTGATGTTAGTCCTCATGGTAAACAAAAAAAAGCCTGTAAATTTCTGCCGTAAGCTCAAAATCAGCATGGATCTGGGTCCACTATCCTACAGAGTGCCAAGCTTTGATTTCTTCCCCCAGTTTAAACAGGGGAAGACAACGTTCCAAATTCTGAAAATGCCCAACTGAACCAAACACACAACAATGGGGATGCAGCTGTGAGGTTGCCATGCTTCTCTATCTGTGTCATTTTGTAGGATCCCCATTTGGCCTGGCTACAGGGATATATATATATATATTATCACAGAGGAGATATTAGTGGCTCTAGCAAGCCAGTGTGGTAGAGTGAGACCTCTGGGTTTAGGGCGGTATATAAATAATAATAATAATAATAATAATAATAATAGTGGTGGTTAGAGTGTCTGATGAGGACCTAGGAGACCAGGGTTAAAATCCTCTGGTCATTGAATTCCTTTCATCCTACCTTCACAGGGTACTTATGGGGATTAAATGAGGAGCAGGAAAACCGTACATACCACGTTGAGCTCCTTGGAGAAAAAGATGGAATATAAATGCAAATGACCAATAAATAAAATACAGAACGGGTGATGTCGGGGGTTAGGGGTTCCAGGCCTCCCTCCACCCTTTGCCAGCAAAGAGGGACCAAGCTGCCCTGGGAGAGGGGAGCTTCCTGCAATGGGGGCTTTAGAGCTGCTGGGTAGCAGAGGAGACAAGGCCTTTTGGATCAAGTGTTTTGGTCATGATCCTGGCAAGACAATGTAACCTGCAGATGGATGCAAGCCTTGCAAGGTTCCCATCAGAGTTGCTCCTGACCGTGGCCAGACAGAAGAGACTCCCTTCCTCTTCTCCCAGCAGGAAGCCCAGGAGAGGGGGAGGGATGTAGGGCAAAGAGGCAGGCCAGCTAGGAGGAGAGGGGAGTGCCAGGGAATTGGCTTGCTTCACACTTAAGGCCTTGACAGCTCCAAGGTGGTCCAAAGGCCTGAAACAAAAAGCAAATCTCCTGGCTCTCTCCATCTCCTCTCTCACCAGGAGATCAGGAGAAGGAACCAATGCAAGTAAGCTGGGACCAGGACTGTGACTTCAGGAGCCCCAGGCTCACCAATTGTGTTGGAAAGAGGCTGCCTAGGAAAAGGTGCCATTCCTCACTACAGTGAACAGCTGAGAGCAGAGCAAGGGAACCACCATGCTGGGTGTTGCAAGAGCCCTGGGGTCTGCAGGTGGGGAGCGCCACTTCAGGAACCCCAACCTCAGAGGGGTGCAGCATGAGCAGTGAGAGCCAGGCTGCTTCTTCTATCCCCCTCAGCCTCACAATCACACAAGCTTTAAACAAAACAAACAAAAAATATTGTGAAGCTGTTGTGGGGGGTGAAGGGTGGGTGGGTGGGCAGTAGTGGTGACAGAGCAGCAGGCTCCAGGTTCAATTTGCAGCTCATCCACTCTCCCACCCACTCCAGGATACAGGAAAGATGACAAAGTCCAGCAGCGGTACAAGCAAAATGGCGCCTGGCTCCCAGGGGTGCTTCAAACTCCTATTACCTGTGCAAGTTCTGTCCCAGCAGTGTTGGCCCTCCCATCCTTTAGAATTGAGCCTCAGCTCCTGTGAGAGGCTGGCAGGGAAGAGGGCGCCAAGCATTTCCCCTGGATCACAGCCCATCTGTATCAGCTGGTTGCCCTCTGCCCAGGATGAGAACCAAGTCCCGGGCACCACGCCCACCTGCCAGCCCAGGCTCTTGCACTGAAGATGCCCAAGCTCACACCTACCAAATCCCATCTGGCAGCATCCTCCTGGTGGCTTAAGAACTACCTGAGCACACAGCCCCTCCTCCCCCCGGCCTGCCTGTCCAATGCCTGCAGTCTTATCTGAGAAGCAGTGCTGGTTGCAGCCAACTGTGTAATATAGTCATGTGTCTCAAGCATCAATCATTTGGAAATGGTCGACTCTCCTCCTCTTCTTCCTGGGCCTGGATTTCAGGGCCTCACAGGTCACCAGTTCCACAGCGGCCTCAGGCCTTTGGGGCGGATTTCTGTTCTGTTTTGGAGCCGGCTAGCCCATTCTCTGTGTTGTCATTTGCTGAAGAAGTCACAAGACACTCTCTGCGGAGAACAAGAAAGAGGCTAACTATCACTGCTCCCAGCAGCGCATCCTCTCCACCACCAGCACCACCACCACCACAGCCTGCTTCACCCTTCTTCTATGCAATGGCAGCCCCAAGGTGGGGAAGTCTTCCCATTCAGCAAGCAGGCCTCCCAGAGACATAAACCACTCTCAGGAGGTCTGGGGCTCAACAGGGCTTGCAACAGCAGCCCAGGGTGGGACAGGGACGAGATGGCCTCCAGGAAGGCAAGGAATCCCTTCACCCCAGTGATACTCCAAAGAAAGAAACCACACAAGTTGCCTACACCGTGCTGGAGCCCACATGCTGTGTGCCATACTGGGCCCCACTATGCTCAGGGCCTTCCAGCCCCTCTGGTGAAAGGGAGCCTCTCAGGAGACCCAGTCTCTGCTCCCAAGGGGAAGTGGGCAGGGAATGGGAAACCAACCACACTCACTTCTCCCGTGTCTTCTTGAGAATGAAGAGGACGAGTTTCTTGATCAACATGATGAGGACCAGGAGTCCAATGACGCCCCCAACGACTGACACAATGATCAGCGTTAGCGTGTTGTCCTTCTTCTCCACTGGGGAAGGGAGCAGATAGGGAAGGGTGAGGCAAGAGGGGCCCTGGGTGGTAGGGTGCCCCCTGACTGCACATCCATGCCAGGCTGTGCCATGAGCCAAGGAAGGGGCTTCAAGCACCCCCTTCTCTCCCTCTCTTCCTCCTCAATATGGCAGCTGTTGGGTGAGATGCAGCCTCCACACCTTATACATGTGAGGAAGACCCAGCTTGTCTCGCCACCCAATGCCAGGGCTGGGAAAGGAGCCCCAGCACAACCCCTGGACAAAAGGAGCAGCTGGTCCCCTGTGGCCCCCAACAGCTGCCCTGGTGGCAACTGGTACTTACTTTCCACGACCACTTTGAGTGTGATGGTGGCACTATGGTTGGCATTCTTCTCTTTTGGGTTCTTAACAAAGCAAGTGTATTTCCCAGAGTCACTGAACTCTGCAAAGAGGAGCAGGAGGGAGACGTTGAACTCCCGGTTATCCTTGCTGAGGGCCATATCTGTTGGCATCTCGTACTTGATGAGAGACCTGTACTCTGGATAGGGCTCTGGCTTGGAGTCTTTGTTCTTGATGATTCCTTTGAATATCTGCAGCAAGGGAAAACCAAAGAGCAAAGGGTCTGGTGGTCCAGAAGAAGCTTCCCCTGATGGGTCAAACAGTCAGGGTTGGGGTGGGGAAAGAGCTGCCTGATGCATTAATTATCATCATCATTTAATCACCCTCTATACATGTGTCTCAAGGTGATATATAAAAAAACAACAACCCAGCAGAAACACTTAAAAACAGCAATAAGAGTTAAAACAAAGACCCATTTACCCAGCTGGGAAAGCCTGCTGGAACAAAAGTATCTTGCAGGGTTTCCAGAAGATGGGCAGATGTCCTGTCTCAAAAGGGAAGCTGTTCCACAGAGCGGGGCAGACACACTCAAGAGCCCTGCTCCATGTTATACATCAGCTCAAAGTGCACAGCTGAAACGGGGCCAGTTTCTCAGGACAGCCAAAACTGCCAAGGAGAGACTGCCTCCGTTTGGAAGCTCCAGAAGGATGCTCTGGGGATAAGAGACCTACCCGGGTGGGAAGCGACCTTTCTCCACCTCCCTTGTGACCACGGCTGAGACAGGAGGGGGTGGGCAGCAGATAGTCACAGTTCTGTGTGTGAGCTGTTATACATGGAAGGAATTAGACCTTCACTCATTACTTATTAAGACACACGTATTTTGCCTTTGTGTCCTTCAAATCAGCAAATAATAAAAGCAGTAAAGTTACACCATTGGCTATTAATGAGTCTCATCATGATGCCTTTCCACTTTGCTATCCAACCCCTCGCCTGCAAAGTGTAGTAAGCCACACACTTCAGTGCTATTGCTGATCCACGAGAAGTTGGCTCTCTCGATTCCGATGCAAGAGGTGAATGTGCAGGGCAAGAGGACATCCGTGCCATTCTTTACATAGATAACGGCCGCCTTGCCCACCGAAACCTCCAAGGCAAGTGTCACAGAGCAGAGCTGAAGGCCTAAGGAGGAGAAAGCAGAGGCACGTTGACTGTAATGTGGTTCTGCTGGGGAGAACTCTGGGCACTTCCAGACTGTAGCTGTTTTTGGGTGAAATTCAACAGCACAGCGGCGTGTACAGGCTGCGCTGCTATAGTTGCTTGGGAGTTCTTGTGCAAGAAACCCACTTGCCCCAAAGATCAGACTTTTTGCCATAAGGAAATTGATTGGAAGATGCATTGGACAGTATGGGCTAACACTTGCTTTGATGAAATAAATGTCATCTAACCTCCCCAGGAACAAATCAGAATGGGCACTCATTAAATTGCCAATGTCATCTAATCTTCCTGCAAATCAATCAGAATGAATGCTCAGTAAACAGGCTGTCTGGAAGTGCCCTCTTTTCCTCCACACACCTCCAGAGAGGAAAGCAGAGCAGCTGACATCCATCACCACCAAGCAGGAAGCCCTCCCCAATGATGGACATATGTGATGTGGGATTTCCAGTCAAGAACACAAATGCATGATTGCCAGATGGGCACACGAGCAACTGACACGGATAGAGTTCCAGAATTAATATAGAAGGGACTATATGAAGTAATTTCTTTAATGCTTTGGTGGGAATTTCTAACAAAGGAGACAATCTGATGTATTTCCTCCCTGTCTGACCTCTCTCTCTTCTTTCAAGCTGGTGATGTGAGTAGACATACATGCCTGAGCTCTGCTCAAAGCCCAGATGCCATTATAGAAACTAATTTTGTATTTTGTAGCTGATTTTTAACTGCATATAATATTGATGTATTTGCTGCCTGCACTGAAATGTAAGGAAACCTTTTTGTTCATCTTGCCAAAATGTATGGTTCATTCTTAGTAATGGGAACAAAGAAAGAAAAGTCAGCAGACCACAAATAAATGGGGATAAAAGGTGTAATTGCCTAATTCCTAGCTTCTAGTAAGCTGCAAAAGTGAATAAGTGTTGCAGCCTGTTTACTCTCATATTTCTCCCACACGTTTGGGACAAGAAGTTTAAATTTTAACTTACTCATTAGTCCTCAATCCATCTCCATCAGGTGAGCAGAAGGAGCTGCCTTCTACTAGGGAAGTAGCTATTTGTCCATCTAGTTGTTTCAACAATACTGAGCTAGATAGACCAAAGGGTCTGACTCAACACAAAGCAGCTTTCAATGTTCTTACGGCCTCAGGCAGAAAATGATTTCTTTCATCACTTGCTAACTGCCATCCTTTTAGCTACAGATGTCCAGGGTTTCCTCCTGCAGCCTTCTGCATGTAAAGCAAGAGGTCTATCATTGAATTATGCCAGATACTAACCTAGAGTACATCCATGGTGATAACTGCACACACCCAAACAGTTTTCACCCAGTATTTGGCAATTGCCAATGCACCAGTATTAGTGGGTAAAATGGGTGAAATCGGGACTCTGCAGCCAGCACAGGTGGGGTTAGTGGCAGGAAGTGGCCACCCTGCCCAAGGGGCACTGGCTACCACAGAGTTCAACCTGTACAGGTCTCTTACAACAAACTGGCATGCCTTAAATGAAGAGGTTTACAGCCACCACAGAGGGTGTTTAACACTAGCCTAAAGTCACCCGAAATAGTCAGGGAGGCCACATGACAGAGTGTCTCAGAAGATGTTTTCTAGACAAAGAACATGTTGACCAGAAGAACTGGATTTTCATTGAAATGATGTAATGTTTCCTTCACAAAGAAAATGAACACACACACACACACACATAGATGAAGAACATATTTTTCTTTGGCCAAGAACACACCCTTGTGCCAAGTATGTGCTGATCACCCTAAGCTAGGCAGATGCAAGCCTAAGACTTGATCACAGCCCTCCAACAAATGTGGACATACCAGGGTATGTTCTGAAGGGATATGAGGCCACCACCTTGCTGAAGCTAAGCATGTTTGGGTCTGGTCAGTGCCATGGATGGGTGACCTCCTGGGCAGCTCATGGGTTCCATAATGGAAGAGAGGCAGGGTATGAATGCTAAGAAAATAGAAATAAAAAGCCTGTTGACAGCTGACCAGCAAGGCAAAAAAAAGGCCACATGTCCATTAGAAACTTGTTCACTGGAATGTTATCTAAAACAACCAGAAGACTGAACACTTGTTCAACAAATGGCATTAATGAAGAATACTGGAACTGAGGCCAATGGGCAGAAGCTCCACCTAGGCCAAGGACCCTTTAGCTACCTGCCCTCTGAGTCCTGCCTGACTGCCCCTCACAGCTCAAGTACCCAAATTCTTCTGGGGAAAGGTGCCACTAAAATACTTAAGAGACTTAAGAGTTGAAGATGATATGCTTAGGAACATTCAGGGAAGTGTTAATCTCATAATTGTTAAATCAGTCTATAGGCTGTGTTCAAAGTGAAAGCATTGTAAACCGCAAAATCTATAACTCTATAAGCTGTCATATGCGCTATTAGGATAAATAAAAAGCTGGCTGCTTAAAGTTTCAAGCTGCCTCTTAGTGCTATTCCCCCCCCCCTTCTTCCCTCCAGCACTTAAGAGTTCCAAACATACAGTGTCAGCTCAGGGTCCATTCTCATTGAAAAGGTTGCAATCCTTCTTTGGGGCCCTAATTTAGAACCTTCAAGAGAGGGGTCACACCACACAGCATGAGAATGCAAGAAGAGCCTGATGATTCCTGCATTGCTGGGGGCTGGATTCAATGGCTCTCCAGGGTCCCTTCCAACTCTGCAATTCTATGAATCATCATCCCAATGGCTCATCTAGCCCAGCATCCTGTCCTCACAGTGGCCAACCAGATGCCCAGGGTTCTCCAGGGTTTCAGGCAGGGGTCTTCCCTACCTGGAGAGGCCATTGGAGATTGAGCCTTGAGCCTTCTGCATGCAAAGCAGGGGCTCTGCTCCTGAGCTACAGCCCTTCCCTTCACCAGGGGTCCTCTGCAGAGGAGCGAGCATGGCTCATCCTTAGCCTGTCCTCCTACATCAGGAGCTTCTTCTAAGCTCTGTAAAATGAGCACAGCTCTGTCCATCTCTTGATAGGCCTGCAAGGGGGATCTGCAGTTGTCACATATGGGGAAATCAGTGACTGTTGCTTAAGATTACACAAGGTAAAGGATTGGAGAATCTGAGCATCCTGTCTTGTGGATACCCAGAAATGAGATCCACCTCTGTAAAAGATGTGGAAATGGGAGCATGAAAGTGCAAGATGCTCCTGAAGACATCTACCCCCCCCCAAAAAAAAAACCCTATCTCAGAGTTTTTTGCACACCTGCATGCTACCTGCCCTCAGTATTTGCTAGTTAGCCCAGCCAAACAGGCTCCATCTCTTATGTGCTGTTTGTCCCCACCAAAGATATCTGGGCAGCCTAGTCTCTTTGGAAGATAGCTTTGCCTTTGGTGCTGCAGCTGACAGATGACCTTCAGACTGCCAGCTTCAGAGCTGCTGCATCAGGCAACTTGCATCTCTCTCTCCCCGCATCTTCTCATATATATTAACAAAGCAGAGAGAGAAAGGAAGCAAAGGGAACGCATAAGGTTCTCTCTCGCTAGTTCCCCCACAGCTTTGGTCCTGGGCACCCACTCAAGAGGGGCCCAGCTGATTAAGAGATTCCAGAGTCCCCAGATCTTCAGTGCGAACAAGTATCAGGAACTGGGATTGATGCAGTTGCTAAGCTGTGCGCCATCACATCCTCTGCTGCACGTGCCTCAGCCTCCGTGCTGGAGTGCTCTCTATCCAGCTTGCCTCCTCACAGAGCCTGGAAAAGTGGACTCCCTTTGTCCAAGAACAGACCAGAGGCCAGCCCAGCAAGACTATAGATTTGAAGAGGTCCTGTGGCCCGAGCCAAATAATTGTCCTGCAAACCCTCTGGCTGTACAACTGTGTGCTCTTTGGGGGCCAACAGAGCAACTACCCTCTGAAGTATCTCACCACACTCCAACCAGCAAGTCAGCACCTACAAAGGCTCTTCCGCCCTCAGAGCTCAGTGCAAGGAGCCCAAAGGAAGGGTGCCACCTATAGCATCATAACCCTAACTGCAGGAATCCCCTTGGCAGCACAGTGGGCCTCAATGCTTTTGCCCGCTTGCTATGGCTTTGAGGGAACTGACAGGAGAACAAGGCAGCTGCAGAACAAGCCAACGCTCTGAGAGTTGGGAGCTTGCCTGTTGCAGAAGAGAATGTATCCAGATGAATCTGGCTTGGTGCTCCTGGAAGACTGCAGAAGGATCCCAGGCCAGGCCCAGGAGCTGGAAACCCAGACCAATGACCCTTGCCAATTCCCTGGCCTGTTCCACTACTTTGGGCTTCAATCCAGCCATGACCAGCACTTTGTGACAGCTCCTTTCTGCATTTCTAACCAGCAGCAGCAGTAGCCAGCCAGCCATTGACTCCAGCCTACCAATGGAGTCAATGATGAAAGGTGGTATGAAAATCTATTAAATAAACAAAAGGATAAAAAGGTAAAAGGGAGCTAAAAGGAAGCAGATTTTGGGGCTCCTTGGGTCAAGGATTAAGCGGTACCTTCAGGAGCATCAGGAAGATCTCAGTGGCAGAGCAACTGCACTTCAAACCAAAGGTCTGAGGTTTAATCTCTAGCATCTCCAGGTAGGGCCAAGAGACTCCTTTGCCTGAAATCCTGGAGAGCCACTCAATGCAGAGAGACACAATACTGAGCTAGATGGACCAAGAGCCTGAGTCTGTATAAAGGCAGCTTCCTATATTCTCCAGACAGGGCTAGGAGCCTGCAGCTGCCACCTGCATGGTGTGAGCTGCCTTTCTGAAGCCAGCAGCTTCCAGAGTTTCCAGGAGGGCCACAGGAGGCCTCCCTTCTTCCAGGAAAGGGCTGCTGAGCAACCAGTTCCATTAGGAGCAACAACCTGCCCAGGCCTCCTCCTGCAAACGGAATGGATGGGGGCCTCCTGGGGCCTCATCATCTCACTGCAGCTCCTGCCAGAAAGACTCTCAAAGAGCGTAGCAAGTCATCCTGGGGCCATGAGCCACCCCAGAAGAGCTAGGGAGCCTCAGAGCCAGGGCCAGCCCCTAAATAGTAGAGGCACAATCACAGGACACATGCGTAGTCCCTACAGCTCATTGATGCAAGGTCTGCCTTCTGGATCCCCCAAGAAACCCAGTGCTGAGATTTGTAAAGCAAACAGATATCAGATCATTCCATTGTGACCCTTCCTTGGCCCCTCTCCCTCCATTCTTTTTTTTTTCGTTGTTTTTTTTTTGCAACTTGGTGATAATGTTTAAACAGGGAGGTAGCCAATCTCACTCTGTAAAACACCACAGACAATGGTGGTGCAATTAATCATACAGCGACCAAGGCAGACCAAGGGAGACTAAAGAACTGGAGTGACTCCCCACTTGCCTACCGTGAAGCTCTGAGGTGGCCAAGTCAGTCAACATCTACTCTTCACAGCATAGGCAAGGATTAAATGCTATTTATTTTATTAGACAAATGATACAGTACTTTCCATAGGAAAATACTGAAGTTGTGTAAAACCACAATGAACCATGGATATCTATCTAGTTCCATTAAAAAAACTCAAATCATATTGATCAATGGTAAGCATAGCTAGGTCACATTTCGGAAAAAGCATGTGTGAAAAATAGGTTTGGAGCCAGCATCACAGGACTGATACAGCTGGCTCTTGCCTGATAATAGCAGGGATGGAATTCCTTCCACAAGGCAGGAGATGCAGCAGTGCTGTAAATGCCCTGCTCCTCCTGATCACGGAGTGGGCACCCTCTAAGAGGCACCCGCCGTTGCTAAACTGGCCAGCTTGTTTTATTGCCCACAGCCCAAAAGGCTCTGCAGGATCGCAGAAGATATTTGGAAGTAATCATAGCAATGCCCCGTAACATTTCACTGTTCCATAGGGAAAGCAGGGTCTTGATAGAATAACCAACTCTACCCACTGGGAAATCCCCCCCAGAGCATTCAGGAATCCATTAGCCTGTGTGGAAGAACCATTCTAAGAGGTCCCCACCCCTGCAGGGAGAGACAGATGCCATAAGCCCAAACTTTACCAGGGAGTGGTCTGACCATGACAATAGGATCCCTTACCTTCAGATAACCCATTTTCTCACATGGACCCAACTGAGGGTATGCCTTGCATTATGCATTGAACCAGTGATATTTTGGGCCAGCCCCATGGTTGCTAAAGAGGCCATGAAGTCCCAAGTAGGGCAAGAGGTATCCTTGATGTGACTGCTGAAGTCACCCAGGACCACCGTTCTGGGCTTTTGAGACTGCCTTGGACATCTCTGGGCAGCTGAGCGAGTTGTTGTGCGTCAGCTGTCTCTATGGCCCAATACCAGAAGCAGGCCCTCTAAACCAGATTCAAGACAGAGCAGTTTTGTGGTGCAGGAGATGGATGCTCAAAGGACCATGACAAACTTGCCCCGCCCCTCCCTCCAAAAAACCCTTCCGCCTGGGTTGGTGCTGCACTAAATGCCTGGGCAACAGAGCTGAGTCAGGTTACATACCTTCCAGCATTTCTCTGATGAAAATAGGGACGTCCCATTTCATAATTATAATTTTACTATTTATACCCCACACATCTTATTGGGTTGCCCCAGCTACTCTGGGCAGCTTCCAACATATATGAAAACATAATAAAACATTAAACTTTTTTTAAAAAAACCTTTCCCTATACCCTATACCCCCTGTTCAGACGGCTCGGGGTCAGATAACTCCATACCCTCCAACATTTCTCCAATGAAAACTGGGATATCCTAAGGGAAAGTGGGACATTCCGGGATCAAATCAGAAACTGGGACGGCTTCTCTAAATCAGGGATGTCCCTGAAAAACAGGGACACTTGGAGGGTCTGAGGTTATTCAAGTTACCTGGGCCTAAGCCATGCAGGGCTTTAAAACTTAATTTTGAACTGGGCTCAGAAATGAACAGGAAGGCAGTGCAGCTGTTCCCTATGACTGGAAGCCAACGCACACAGTCCAGGCTCCTCCCATCAATAGTCTGGCTGCAGCATGCCAAACACTTAGCAGTTTCAATCCCGTGTTGAGCACGCTACAGTCGTCCAAACATGGCATCACTAAGGACACATGGCCAGATCCGTCATTTCAAGGGGCAGATGCAATGGGCACACCAGCCTAACTTGCTCAGAAGCACTCCTAGCTGCAGCAGCCACCTGAGCATCCAGGTTTAAAACCAAGTCTGGGAGCATGGCTAACATGCAAGAGCACCCCATTCAAGACAGGTCACACTCTGGTACCTGGACTGGCCATTCAACTTGACCAGGAGCATGGAAGACCTTTGCCATCTCTGGGTTGCGTTTCCATTGACTTGCCCACCCACAGACTTGTGCTGCCTTGGAGCAGAATGCACAGGGAGTCAGGTACTGCCTGTTGACCTCCCCCTAGAGAGGCCATCAGTAGGCTTGGTGGTGGCTATGTTCCACCTCCACCTCTGAATACCAGTTAAACTCCAGTCCTGCTTGTGGGTTTCCCAGAAGAGACATCTGGTTGGCCAACGTGGTCTGAACTAGATGGGTCCCCCTTGGCTTGATCCAGCAGCAAGGAGCATTTTTAATGTTCTGATGCTGACTCTGAAAGTGGGCTCAGAGTAGGGCCATCGTGCCTAAATTAATGACCAATGGCCTGGTCTTAGGTCTGGGGACTTCGCTGTTCCCAGGTCCCAATGGGTCAAAGAGCAGGGAGCTCAGAGCAGGAGCAGGAGCAGGTTTGCCCCACAACCACAAGATGGGAGGGCAGTAGAGCCAGTTTTCCTTTGCTTTGAACTAAAGGCACCCTTTATCAAAGTTCTTTTTCCTTAGGCACTGGTGTGTGTTATCTTGAACCTATACACTGTTTAATACATACCTATTCCAGTACGATTTTAAATAAAAATAGAAGAACTAATAATGATTTTTTAAAAAAAGATGACGAGATGGGCTTCCAGGCAGACTGGAGCTCCAACGGGGAGGAGACAGGAGCTGTCCCAACAGAGCAGAGCAGAAGCAAATGTTGCCTCCCCCCGCCCTGCCGCCGCACTCAGGAGTCGGAGGATACGGAGCTGCAGTTTGGACAGCAGCAGTTTCTTCCTTGCAAGGGAGCCCCAGCGGCACTGCGGGTGCGGGTGGCCAGGATGTCCTGCTGGGGCCCCGAGCTGCTGCAGTTGCTCCCGGGGAGGGGGCTATCCGCCGAGTCCTCCGGGCCCGGAGAAAGCCGGTGTGTTGGCATGGGGAGGGGGGCGGTGTTTCGTAGCCAGGCTCCCGCAGCCAAGTTGCTGGCAGGCGCCCACTTTGCTCCAGCCGCCCAGATGCCGGCGCGGTCCTCTTCGGGGTGGGAGGCGCCCCTGCTTTGCGGTGTGGCACACCGCCCGCCCGCCCGCCCGCCCGGCTCCCTCCACCCCACTCTGCGCAGCTGAACCGGCAGCAGCTTCGCCTCTCCCTGCCCAGCCCGGGCGCGCCGCCTGCGGCAGGACCTGCGCCGGGTCCCCGCTCTCCACTCGCCTCCGCCGTTCCCTTCCCCGCCTGCCGGCCCCGCTACTTACCAGGGCGACCCCCAGCCAGCCCCTGGCCCCGCCGCCCGCGCCCCCGGCCATCTCCTCGCCAGCTGCAGCGCCGCAGTGGCCTCTTCTTCCGGCCGGAGCGAGCGAGCGAGCGGTGTCCCAAGCGTGGCTCTCGCTCCGCCGCTGCCTGCCCTCGCTGCCAGCCTCCGCGGCTCTCTCGGGCTCCAAAAGTTGCCGCGCGCGCGACCCGCCCCCTCGAGCAGCCGCGCCTGGGAGGCTCCGAGGGGCGGAGGCAGCCGGCTCCGAGCTCGGCTTCGCGGGACCGCCTCCTCCGCAGCGAGCCCTGGACTGGAGCGAGCAGAAAGCCTCTTTGCCCGGCCCGCGAGGCAGGCGAAAGTTGAGGGACCGGCCGGTAGGCAGCGCCGACAGGGCACGTCGATTGGAGCCCTGTCTGCAAGCAGGCAGGGAAGGCTGTTTGCGTGGGTCACTTTTTAGAAAGGCAGAATGCCTCCGCCGGAATGAGGACCCTAAAATCTGGGTCGGGACCAGTAAAAAGGACGAGAAGCTCGCTTCTTCGCCCTTGATGCCAGGGGCTCCCAAGCCAGTCTCTGCAGCCATGTCTGCCGGAAGCATCAGAGTGGGTGAAAGTCCTCCTTTATCAGGGCGATGTCCTTAGTCGACCCCCATCCCAAATGCCCTTGGGCATCCCAGTTAGTGGGTCCCACCCACTCAGCATTGATCATGACACGAGTATTCTAGCCCTTCTTTCTCACTGCAATGTGCCCATCCACACCTGAAGCCCACCTGGCCTCATCCCAGAGCTCTCTCTTCCTTATCACCTGGCCTGGATGAGAACAAGCTGCACAATATACTGTATAAAGGTAAAGGGACCCCTGACCATTAGGTCCAGTCGTGACTGACTCTGGGGTTGCGGTGCTCATCTCGCTTTATTGGCCGAAGGAGCCGGCATACAGCTTCCGGGTCATGTAGCCAGCATGACTAAGCCGCTTCTGGCAAACCAGAGCAGCGCATGGAAATGCTGTTTACCTTCCCACCGGTGTGGTACCTATTTATCTACTTGCACTTTGACGTGCTTTCGAACTGCTAGGTTGGCAGGAGCAGGGACCGAGCAACGGGAGCTCACCCCATTGCAGAGATTCAAACCGCCAACCTTCTGATCGGCAAGTCCTAGGCTCTGTGGTTTAACCCACAGCGCCACCCGCGTCCCTTAATATATAGTATAGGCAGTCGCTTTTGTGACCAACCGGGTGGGTGGTGCTGTCCACTTCAGGACCAGCCCACCATTAGGCAGGGTGAAGCAGCTACCAAAGAACAGGGATGATCATCATGAGATCGTGGTGGAGCAGCTGCCACAGGCCTTGTGGTGCAGCTGGCCAAGCCTGTCTTGCCCCCACATGCTTCTCTGGACCATTGGCCAAATAGCTTAAGAACATAACATAAAGGACACACTAAGTGCTGAGGGTTAAACCACAGAGCCAGAACTTGCCGATCAGAAGGTCAGCGGTTCGAATCCCCGCGATGGGTTGAGCTCCCGTTGCTTGGTCCCTGCTCCTGCCAACCTAGCAGTTCGAAAGCATGTCAAAGTGCAGGTAGATAAATAGGTACCGCTCCAGCGGGAAGGTAAACGGCGTTTCCGTGTGCTGCTCTGGTTTGCCAGAAGCTGCTTAGTCATGCTGGCCACATGACCCGGAAGCTGTACGCCGGCTCCCTCAGACAATAAAGCAAGATGAGCGCCACAACCCCAGAGTCGGTCATGACTGGACCTAATGGTCAGGGGTCCCTTTACCTTTACCTTAAGAGCCCTGCAGGAACTGGTCCAGCATCCTGTTCTCACAGTGGCAATCCAGCTGCCCCTGGGCAGCCTGCCAGCAGGACCTGTGCAAGAGCACTCTCCGCCTGCGTTTTCTAGCAACTGATTTTCAGAAGCATAAAAGGCTGTTAAGGCTAAAGAGAGACTCCAGCTTGTCCTACATGATCACTTCCCTCCAGGGTGTGGCATCCAGTTGCAGATGCCATCAGCAGAAGAGTAATGGGGATGGGCATCCATTAATGGATGGAGGCCCTCAAGGACTTTGCAATTGTGCCGCCTCAGCAGCACATTAAGAACAGGAGCAGAGCCCCACAGCTGGATCAGACCCCGTCCTGTTCTCATAAGCAGGACATGAGTGCAGCAACACTCTCCCAGATTCTGCTCCCTAGAGAACTGTCCTCCTATTCCTGCTCTCTGCTTTCCAGTTACTGACCCATGAGAGGAGTGTGGGATTTCCAGTCAAAATCACAAATGCATGATTGCCCAGACAGGCAGGTGAGGGGCTTACAGACATAGAGTTCCTGAATCATTATAGAAGGGACTATGTGAGGTCACTTCCTTAATGCTTTGGTGGGAATTTCTAACAAAGGAGATAATCATATATACATCCTCCCTGTCTAAGCGCTGTCTCTCTCTCTCTCTCTTCTTTCAAACCAGTGATGTGAGCAGACATACATGCCTGGGCTCTGCTTAGAGCCCAAACTCCATTTTGGAAACTATTTTTGTAGCTAAGAAATATTTTCCCCCACATACTACTCTTAGGTATTTACCGCCTGCACTGAAATGTAAGGAAACCTTTTTGTTCACCCTACTAAAACGTGTAGTTCATTCTTCGCAAAGGGGACAAAGAAGGGAAGGTCAGCAGACCACAAATAAACAGGAATAAAAGATGTGATTGCCTAATTCCTAGCTTCCAGTAAGCAGCAAAAGTGCAGAAGTGTTTTTACTCTTCTCAAAGGGCTATTTACTGTCATATTTCTCCCACACACATGGGATAGGTGGTTTAAATTGAATTTACATATTTAATCCTCAATCCATCAAGTAGGAGCTCTCCAATCATCCCAAGACTGCTAAGCTTAGTTGAGAGTGGTTGGTGAGGGACTGTTGTGTCACAAGGACAAAAATACCATTAGTGGCAACTAACCACAATGGCTGTATACTACCTCCACTGTCAGAGGAAGTGTGTTTCTGAATATTGGCTTTTGGGAATGACAAGCAGGAAGAGTGCTACTGTTGCATTCAGGGTCTGCTTTGCAGACTGTCCAGAAGGGACATCTCATTGGCTATTGTGAGAACAGGTTGCCGGACTAGTTGGGTCCCCTTTGGTCTGATCAAACAGCATATTTCCTTACCTTCTTATGTTAAAACAGAGGCAAATAATTCATTCATCTTCTCTGTAATCTCATTTTCCACCTTCAGCACACCTGTGACTCCCTTATTACCCAGAGGTCTAACCATCTCCCTAGCCTGTCTCCCAATTCTAATGTATTTGGACATAACTTCCATTTTCAGAAAGAAACCACATTGGCAACTTTCTTTTTCTTTTTTTCTTCTTTTTTTTACATGCCTTTTTCATTTTTCAGATTGCTACAAAACCAAATTGGAAATCAAGCAGAATTTTACAACTTCAAACAACAAAAAGTGCCCTGGCAAACATACAGACTTGTATCACATGTTACAATAAAGTTTAATCATATTATTCGTCTCTCCACATTTGACAGCTCTCTTGATTCTGCTTGTTAACCACACTGACATTCTTCTAGCCTTGGTTGTGCTGTTTCTGATTTGCAGTCTATATTTTAGCTGAGAAGATTCTATTTCCCCACCCACCCAGGCTTCTAGACCCCTTAAAGCACAGATCCTAGGCCAGGCCAGCTTGCTTCCCTGCCTCCCTGATGCAGTAACCCATATCCTGAGCTGAAAAGTGGGAGATGACTGGCCAAGGAGAGCCCATCTAATGTTGGGGAGCAGGACAAGCATTATAGCACAGGAGTCAGTTAAACAGAAGCCCAGAAACACACGATGCTGCAGGAGATGACAGTGTCTTGAGGCAGGGCATTGATCCATTGCAGCAAAACTAACACAGAGTCTTGTGACGCCTTAAAAACTATTGTATGCCACATCGCACCACAAAGGAATTCACTGCTGCATCTCCCTGAATCACCAGGAGAGCAGCAGAGGCCATTCATGCCTGTGCATGTGCTGCAGTTTTAATATAATACTTTACAAACAACAGCAGGTCGTGAGTGATACAAAAAACCCTTAAGCCAATTTTGGTTATCTCCAATGTTTTTTGTGGCTCTTTGATGTGAGGCTGGACCAGTTCACCGCTTGATCATGAGGACCAGAAGCACAGGCATCGTAGACTCGTCACCCGGCTCAGCAGCAACCTGACAGGGGCAGATGGCTGGCTTAGCCCAAATATCTGCATCTCAGGATCCCTGCCTGATCAGAAGGCATTCTGATGCAGTGGCGTGCAAGGAAGTAGTGCCAAGGCTGTGAGCTGCTCACAATGCATAGGAACATAGGAAACTGCCATTGGCCTACCTACTACTGTCCGCAGGCAGAGGCTCTCCAGGGTTTCAGCTGGAGTTATCTCCCAGCCCTGCCTGGTGATGCCACTGGGGATTGAACCTTGAAACTTCTGCATGCAAAGCAAGTGTGCTACCACTGAGCTATAGCCTTTTGCATACTAATAAAGCCAGCTTGTAACAGATTTAAAAGTTCAGCATGCACGGGAGGCAGCCAAATTTGGGTTCCTTTTTAGGGACGACAAACGTGGCACAAGGCATGCAACCCTGAGTTGCTGCAGCTTCTAGTGATGGCAGGACACCTCCAGCCATTTCAGTAAAGGTAAAGGTACCCCTGCCCGTACAGGCCAGTCGTGACCGACTCTAGGGTTGCGCGCTCATCTCGCTCAAGAGGCCGGGAGCCGGCGCCGTCCGAAGACACTTCCGGGTCACCTGGCCAGCGTGACGAAGCCGCAACTGTCAAGCCAGCACCAGTGCCGCACACGGAAACGCCGTTTACCTTCCCGCTATAAAGCAGTACCTATTTATCTACTTGCACTTAGGGGTGCTTTCGAACTGCTAGGTGGGCAGGAGCTGGGACCGAAAGACAGGAGCTCACCCCGCCATGGGGATTCGAACCGCCGACCTTACGATCAGCAAGTCCTAGGCACTGAGGTTTTACCCACAGCGCCACCCGTGTCCCCATTCCAGTAAGCCTGCACAAATTGGTGCCCCCTCCGAGCCATCTCCCCCCCCCCCACTAACAGAGGCTAGAATTCAGGAAGGGGGTGGGACAGAAAGGAAAGTAAATTATGAGAAAGAGAGAGAGCATTTAAATGTGCAAATGCTGATCTAGCAATTTTCAGCAGCAATCTCACATCT